TGCCTATCTCATACATTCTTCATTATTGTTTCCATTTCAAGAGCTAGATTTAGGACATTATTAGATAATATGTTTCCAAAATATGGATTCAAACCACATAGAGAGTTTCATTTAGATCCAGAATGGATTAAGTTTGTTGTATCTTAAGACCCCTGAAGTCATTATAATTATTTATGATTTATATTTCAGAAACCTAGTTAGTGAAGATGACAATAATGAAGAAGAAGAAGAAACTAATTTATAGTGCCATGTTATATTATAGCGTATTATAAAACATATGTTATAATTAATGTTATGTTATAATGTAGCATACACTATATTGATTAATGTTATGTTATCATATAGCATATACTATCTTGATTAATGTTATGTTATCATATAGCATATACTATCTTGATTAATGTTATGTTATCATATAGCATATGTTATAATGTAGCATTACTATCATGATTAATGTTATGCTATCATATAGCATATTTTATGATGTTTTATGCTATGTTATAATGTAGCATACACTATCTTGATTAATGTTATGTTATCATATAGCATGTGTTATAATTAATGTTATGTTATAATGTAGCATACACTATCTTGATTAATGTTATGTTATCATATAGCATATGTTATAATTAATATTATGTTATAATGTAGCATATACTATCATGATTAATGTTATGTTATCATATAGCATATGTTATAATTAATGATATGTTATAATGTAGCATACACTATCTTGATTAATGTTATGTTATCATATAGCATATGTTATAATTAATATTATGTTATAATGTAGCATATACTATCTTGATTAATGTTATGTTATCATATAGCATATGTTATAATTAATATTATGTTATAATGTAGCATATACTATCATGATTAATGTTATATTATCATATAGCATATGTTATAATTAATGTTATGTTATAATGTAGCATACACTATCTTGATTAATGTAATGTTATCATATAGCATATGTTATAATTAATGTTATGTTATAATGTAGCATATATTATCTTGATTAATGTTTTATTATCGTATAGCATATGCTATAATTAATGTTATGTTATAATGTAGCATACACTATCTTGATTAATGTTATGTTATCATATAGCAAATGTTATAACTAATGTTATATTATAATGTAGCATATACTATCATGATTAATGTTATGTTATCATATAGCATATGTTATAATTAATGCTATGTTATAATGTAGCATACACTATCTTGATTAATGTTATGTTATCATATAGCATATGTTATAATTATCAAATAAGCCAATTTATGTAGCTTGATGCCAATTTTGAAAGTGCCATGAAATTAACTTATGGCATATATTCAATGCATCCATCAACCAAGCAGTCTTAAGATAACAGATCTTCAGATTAATGCACCTAACTAATTCTATTTCGGACTATCATTCAATATTTTACAGAAAAATTAATTCAATTGGCATAAGGAATCCAATATCAGGATACAGATGAATATTTTTGGCCGTTTGACAGTTATTAAAATATGTAAAATATGCTTATGATTGCCTTCTTCTGTCATTGACATGTAAGGATAATCAAGTTTGAGTTGAAGACGGGGACAATTTGACTTAATTTTACAGCTTTATTGTGATATCTTCCTTATACAATCTCAAATATTGTACATTATAATCTGTATAATCAACTCAATATCCTTTTCTTGTCTACATATATATATATTTAGCTGTTGTTCACATAATTTTCATTTGATTTTGCCTGGGATGTGAAAATAGCATGAAAGATTTTTGCGGTCACTTGAAACTTAAAGGGATTGTGAAGAAGTTTTCGAAATTTCTTTATATGTATCTGGGAAACTGATAGCATTAATTTGCACTTTTCCAATTTTCAATCAGATATCTGTGGTTCCTGCAATTCTGCTGAAAAATAAGAGTTTGATAAAACGCTTAATTTTAGTTGAATTGCAGGTACTACAGATGTCTGATTAAAAATTGGAATGGTGCAAATTAATGCTATCAGTGTTCCAATACACGAAAACCTCTTTGCAATTCCTTGAAGTATAAACAGTTCTGGTTGTACTCACAATCAGCTTCTTCAATTTGAATTCCTGTTTTCATAGATAAATTGCAAGCTGTCTTTTTCCACTCTTTTCTCCATTGATAATTTTGTCATATTATTTCATGTCTTTCTCCACTGATAAATAGATATTATGGTACTTTTTTCTCTTTCTGAGTAAATTAATTCTCAAAAATCTTTTTTCCACTCTATATGCTTTAGGAATTATAATCTTATTAATATAAAGTCATAGTCACACAGTATATTTACTAAATACTTTTATTAGAAAGTCATTCTAAGGAGATTATAATGGACATTGTTTTTAAGTTGTAGGTAAAAAGAGGGTTATTAAATGAATGTTCTGCTAAGCTTGATGCTAATTACCTAATATCATAATATGAATCTCTATTAGTTCTTATGTAGTGATATACTTTTCACCATTGATTATCTGCATATACATATTGTTCATATTAAACTGCATTTAAAAACTATATTTCATCAAAACTTCAAAATCAAATTTTGTTAATTATAGGTAGATGTAATAACTTGTGTTTTGATAAATTAAGAGTTTATTTTGTTATGAGTTGTTATGTTTTAATATTTTGTTGAATTTTATTTTCAAAAATATTTTATTGAGAATGTTTTGACTGCCAATTGGTGAACTCTGGATTGAATTCTTTTGTTGTTCTTTTTTCCCTATTCATTTCTTGGTTTTATTGCATTTAGAAAGTGCTATGTTTTAATATTGATCTGAATCAAATTGATTTGTAAAACTGAATATTTACTAAGTGATGCAATGATATTAGCTGTCAAAATGCAGTAAACCTATTCACATATTGCATTCTGGAATTTGTCTTATTGACTGAATCTCATTTACTTTGAATGTATTGAATTAGATTTTTGTCAAAGTGTTTACTATCTCAATATCTTTCACTTGTCAACTACTATCATCTTCAAAATGTTAAACTATTACGAACTTTGTACTTATACCTTGACTGCAATAGCCACCTTTCTTGTATCATGGTATACAGAGATTTGACTGGATTGTATGGCAACCAATCAGAGCCCTCAACAGAAAAGCTTCAAATATTATGACGTTGTATTCACAGACTTGCTATTGAGGCCTCTGATTGGCTGTAAGCACTAGCGTACAATTCAAGCATATCATCCAATCAAATCGCTTTATTCAGAAATTCTATAATACAAGAAAAATGACTATTGCAGTCAAGGTATAAGATGAAGTTCATTATAGCTTGACATTGTGAAGATGTATTGCTATATTATCACAATAATGACATTATTGGTCATAAAAAGCAAATAGCTTTATGTTTTTGGGACTGTTGTTATTTTAATTTTGAGTTAAAAATCTGTTTTGAGAAAATTAAAATGAACTAGCCAAACAAATATAAAACTTTAATGCTACACTACCCTGCATTGGGTTTATTAAACAACACACTCAGATTGGTGGATTCAGTGATACAGTACAAGTAATGTATTCAAATTGAATATTGATATGTATATTTTGTATGAATGTAATGTGTTGTATATTTATGATTTTAATTACCAAACATTTATGCATGCCAATCTACTTAATGTTTCTACTGTAGTGTATGTTAAAAATCTTTAAAAGCCAAAGAAATGAGCAATGAAAACTACAATCCTTTTCATTAAATACTGGTAATTTTTATTAACTTGTAAGAATCTCTCATTGTTTCCCTATTCCTGTTTTGAAATTGGAATTATTCAAATGTTACTTCAGTGATATCAGTTTGAGTCTCCTTGCAATAAATGTAAAATAAAGTCCCCTTTGAAGATTAATTTATTACTTGTATATGTATATCACGCAATATTTGTATGCTTTTAATCTTCTAAATCAGTAATGTTAAAGACTACTGATAATAAAACATGAAATATTACTATGTCTAGTTATTGTAGTAAGGTGTTTAACACTGCACCTGATTTAAGTTACATGTATAAGAGTGAACTTAAAATTTTCAAACTTGGCCAATAAGAATATAATCCATTAGTGTACTAGTGTAATGTTTGAAGTTTGAGAATTTAAATATGTTCATGCAGAGAGGTAGTATTCTTCGACATTACATGGTTCCAAAAGTGGAAATTAGATCAAGTTTGAACCTGGCAAAGCGCTAGATCTGCATACTTGACCACACATTTCTGGACATAATAAACACATTTTTTGACAGCCTTTGATGGGGGAAACTTTTCTTATGTACCTTATCAATTCTCCATACATTCCCCTATAACAAATGCTATATAGTTTCTTTGTCATGGGAAGGTTGGGCAGGGTTATCAAAGAAGGCAACTTGTTGAGAATATTTTAATTTTACAAAATATTTCCAGACATTGTTTACAAGGACAAAAAGGTTAGGTGAGGCTATGCACAAATATAGACTACATATTGCATGGCAAACACACACGCAACAAAAAATAAAATAATTACAATGAAAACAACTGATAAGTAAGCAGTATATACAGCCATTTAAATATTGCCTAATGCAACATAATATTATTAAGAAATTCTTTCCCTATAAAGCCTAAACATTTCTGTATTTAAAACAGAATTTTTTGAAACACACATATTACTATCAATTTGTCTAAACAACCAGTTAAGTTATCCTGGAGTTGAAAAGTAACAATTAGTGCGTAAAATAATGTCAACGTTTTTATGATGAATTCTTTACACAAAGCTAGAAACCTTAGAGAAAAACATTGCAAAATCAAAATGCTTTTGGCACAATTTTGAAAATATTCCATCCTTCCAACCCTACTTTTTTCTGTACTAATTCAAACTTTGATATTTTTGTTAAATATCCCAATGTAGAAAAGACATTGATGAAAAAATAAGTGAAGGAAACATAATATGTGAAAACACAACCATTTTAATTTATGAGGTAAAGTATTTCTGATGTATTTTCATTGTGGAAGTATAATTTTTGCTGCAATATGTGTTTTTATTAGTGTTTAAAAAATATTGAAAGCTTGACAAAATAAGCTGAACTTAGGGAAACGAACGAATTTCCCAGCCAATGGAATCAGGTGTGATATGTTTGTCATTTTTTATGCAAGCAATTTGTTATCAATTTAAAATTTCCCCTGTGATCCTGTATCTGTAGCTCAATTTAAAAAAACAATCATGGTATGCTAATGATTATCTTAAAAGATTTTGCAGACAACAAGCCTTATTGATCATTCTCTTATTCTTGATAAAATGCCTTTTAATTTGTTTTTATATGGTGTACTATTTGATGTTAACGCCTACAAGTACATGTAACTGTTTTACAATGCAAAACATTTCACTTTGTCACAAAACTAATTTAAAAGTGCATGATGGGTAAAGTACCTAACACATATATAGCAACATTGATTTAGTAACACCTAAACTTTAAAACAGAAACCAAAAATATACTTCCATCAAAAATAGTCATAAGAATTAAATTTCTAATAACATTTACTTGTATGTATATTAGTATAATACACTTCTATAAACAAACAAAAATATTTGACCACATTCAGGACCAAATCACACATAAACACAAGTAGTCTATTTCACATTGGGTAGAATAAATAGTTTTGAAACTGTAGAGAGTCCTTTGTGTTCATATCTACTTAAACTACCTAGAACTAGAGTGTTCACATCTTGAATTGGACCCAGATGTTCTCAAATATATTTGTTTGAATATACTTGTTAGTATAAAGTGGCCTGCACTTAAGTGTAAGTTTTATACATCTACATAAAAAATTGCTGCTACACAAGTTTTTTTATCAATGACAACTATTAAAGAGGTTATAGACAAGTCTAAAATTCAAATGGTGCACAGCATATTCCATATTATACCACCATTGAAAAAATATTTATAGCACATTCAGGAAAGTGAACAGTTTATTTTGCTCTAGTCATATGGTAATGGAAAATTAAAAAACCTACTCACTTTAGCTGATGGAAACTTTACTGGCCAAACCTACACTTTAGCTAATGGTAATGGAAACTTTACTCACCAAACCTACACTTAAGCTAGTGGTAAAGGAAACTTTACTGGCCAAACCTAACCTTTTGCTAAGCTAAATGGTAATGGAAACTTTACTGGCCAAACCTAAACTTTAGCTAATAGTAATGGAAACTTTACTCGCCAAACCTACACTTTAGCTAATGGTAATGGAAACTTTACTGGTCAAACCTCACTGTTCCTATTAATGTTATAAATTGTGCATAAGTATTTTTCAGTGACTATAACCTCATTGATAATTGCATCTTAAATTGCTGCTAAATTGTTCTGTTCATTGATCTAAACTATGGTGAAATTGAAACTATGCACCTATACATACATGTATTCACAAAATCAAGTATTTGTGAAAAATACATATTTTACAGATCAAAAATATCAACATCTGAAAATAACTGGAGCCATTTTAATATTGAAAGGGGTATTAAGACAAAGAATCACATTTAACATCATTTCAAGTATTCTCAACAATTTTTCTGAAATAATTTTCCAATCAGATGTAACAGATGATAACATTAATCTAAAATGAGTCAACATTCATACATTGCAAAACTGTGGTCATGGTATCACAACATTTTGTTTACGAAAGTGGCAATCTAATTTGAGAACACAGTAAGGGAGAGAAAAACTTCCATTTATTGCTAAGAGCGCAGTTAGCAAGTATTAATTAACGGTCAATTTTTATCCACTGACTAACTTTTGAAATATTTTACAATATTGTGTACCATGAAAAACGTAAATTCACTTTGAATATGAGTGTCTACTACATGAACATAAATCATAAGTGTTTCTCAAAGAAGTCACACTTGCTCATCTTAAACCCTAAATGATGTACAGAACAAATTGTTGACAGTATATACATTGCTTCACTCAAAAAAACAAATTTAATGTACAAGATTATAAAGGGAGCCAGAAATAACGATTAGTCATACACGATATAGTCCATAATAATCTATTCTTTCCCTTCCATTAAGAAACTGTACATGATGATATATTACATAAATTATTGTACAATTTTATATGAGTACATGATATATTTTAACCTTAACACTTTCTAAGATGGGATATATATATTATAATATTAGTATTAACACATAATGACAGTCAAACAAGTTGTCCTGTAAACAATTTCTATAGAAATTACCCAAAACTATATCTAAGGAAGATAATTCAGAGATGAAGAGGGGATCCTTTAAGATATAAAATATATTTTTGGAAATACATGTATATCATCTCCCTATTTCACAATCTGGGCCTTTAAGTCTTGAAATCCTTTAAATAGAATTCATTTTATATAATTTTATACATGAAGGATTTTAAATAAAATGCAATAAAGACTGGAAACATTATACACATTACGTATTCAGAAACCAGAAAATGGATGGTCTATGTGCATCTATTTTATTTTAGAAAAGTTAATGACTTAAAAACATTTCACCATTTTGAAATCACAAGCAACTGCTGCTACATGTACATGATCAAATTTTATACCCAAGACTACTTTAACATAGAACAAAACTTTTTAAAAATTGAAGAAAGAAAAATGATCTTATGAAGAAAAAAACAAGAGAAAATGAGGATATAAAACACAATATAAACAAATAGTTGTACCTATATACAATAACAACCAGTAGATATCATAAGCAGAGAGATATATCTTATCATAATGTCAACTCACACACACATCAGTGTTGATCAAGTGTGAAATCACACTCAAATCAAGCAAGTATGTGTGTTTGTGCAGGCAGTTTTGTTGAATTTTTTTTTAATTGATTTATTTGTCAAGAATTGGACAAATTATACAACATGTATGACAACATGTATAAGGTGCATTGAGATATGAATACTTGTATATGTCATGCTTCAGACTAGGATACATTTATACACAAAGATAATAATGATAAATTGCATGATACATGTACCATAAAACCAGTATTATGCTGTTATTTGGTGTGATGCAGTATGTTTTGTGGGGAGTTATTTATTAATCATTTACTGAATTAATCTATATCTGAATCTGAACATTATCAAGATATATGTTTGAATGTAGGCTATCCCACATGAAGAATATTGAGATATTGAGGTAATATAGTTTTATTGTCCTGATATAAGCTACAATAACTTCATCCTCTTATCTCTTACTGCCAAACAAATATAGTATGATATATTGTGTATGAATATACCTAGAAGTTATAATATATACAATGCTGATATGTTGACACATGAAATTTTTTCATATAGTTTTACTCATATTATGCTTACCTCGGCTTAGGTAACTGACATGTAATTAATCCTGAGTGAGGCCAATCCTACAGATACACTACTAACCCAGGCGACCTTATTTAAAGCTATTGTCAAGATTTATCAACATGAAATCACTGAATTCAGTATTCTTCTTGAATAATATATATATATATATTTTTATCTCTGCATATGTCTACTGATATAAGGACAGAAAAATATAACATAACAAAGGGGGATCACTCACCCAAACCAATAAATAACAACAGACACAGTTTTACACTCAACATTTGCTTCAAGCCATGAAAATATGAGAGACATAGAATGGACACAAAATAATGAAAGTTTTTCAAGTAAGATCTAAAACAAACTTGAATTCCATTTTCAAAATACATCTGATTGACAAAATATCTTTTTTGGGGAAGAATTTGGCTATTTTTATAAGCAGAATTGACGAAAAGAGGAACAAAATTAAGACAGAGTAAAATAAATCCAGACATTTTGACAATCAAATGAAAAAGGAAAATGAAGTTATTACATAAAGAATTCAACTCATAATATAATAAATATATTGAAGTATTATTATTAATAATATTGTCCACACAAATCACTCAGTTGTCAGGGCAACATGAAGTCCCCTAATTATCATATAGCCTCTTTAGTCTGTACCATCACCCATTTTTTACATTTATCACTAGTTACCTCTTTACTATCAGCACACATTATTGTGATATGGTCTGAACATTTGACTTTCAAACTAAACATTTTAAAATTAACAATTAGATATCAGTACCTTTTTACTTTTAACACTGTTGACCTTAACATATAGCTAGATCCATTCAAGATGGCCGCTGAAACCAACCATATCAGAAATTGACCTGCTGACCTTAATGACAAAATATATCAAACCATCTTGAAACCATCATCAAAGTTTGAGTTTTAACTGCAAAATGACTAACTATTCTCTTTACAGTTCACATAATCAAAGCTTAATTTACTGGTAAAGTTTTCCTTTGTAACTTCCATGCTCAAACTGTATCACAAGTACATATAGCATACAATATGAAAAGTCAAGGGGAAAGAGGTATCATGTGACATCACCAATATTTGTAAATACATATTGAGAAAAGCTACAGTGAAATTATCATCTTATATACTAAATTAACTAACTAGTTACAGCATTGACCGAGTTGTTCATTATTTTATTTTTATTATTTAATTCTAATTTTTCTAGTTTCTTCCATAGATCTTCTCGTTCTTTTTCCTTCTTTTTCTCTCTGGAAATGAAATAAATTGGAATTAAACTTGCTCCTATTGCAATCTCTTCAAAACATACAATTATCTATATATAAAATCTTCTCAATTCCTTCTACAGAGTGAGCTAATGGAAGGCAGCACAGCGGCATTATCCTACTTTTTTTATATTTCCACCTGCCGAGTGATCTTTAATGTGCATGACTGCAGCAAATCTCTCACTCTCTGAACCTATAGTAAATACAGCTCTTCATGTAAGACATAAAACATTTCACTAAAATGACGTCAAACACTTAGTTTAAGTGAAATTGTAGCAAACAAAGACGTCTGATTGAAAATTGGAATGGTGGAAATTGATACTATCAGTTTCCTCGATAAACACATAAAATTTAGAAAATCTATTTACATTATCTTTCCAGTATTCAAAAATAAACTTACTTTTGTCGTTCTGCTTTATAATTGGCTGTTAATTCATCAAATAATTTACTATTCATCTCCATAAAGGTTTTTAATACATTATAAACCAAGGCGACTATAGTTTGATTCCAATGATCTTTAGATATTCTATATAATGCAGGAAACATGATGGGTAAAACTTGAGATGAGTTCTCTTCTATTAAACTCATAATATATTCATTATTCCAATAATATAATGCTCTTTCTGCAACCTACAATACAAAAATTCAAACTTTTTCTTCAAACTGTGTATATTTTACATCACTTATTGACAGTTGAAAGGTAGGCCAAAATCTGCTGCTCTTGTGAGACTGCAACATGCATGATGTTGGCTTAAACTGCAGCAGAAATGTAAGACATGAAACTTATTTCAAAATTCCAAATGGTAGAAGCCTCAATCATATGAAGACTTCTAAATACTTGATTTACAAAAAGTAACAACAAAATTTGAGTTTAATGAGATAATACAAAAATTTATTTGTTCTTCTGTGATTTTGCTGTCTGTGAATGAATTTGTTTGCTGGGAATGCAAGACAGATCTAACAAGGCCATTGTGATCTAGAGTGATCCATTTACCTGAAAGTGTGGACTGGATACACAGCGTGCTATTTGTTTAAACATTGGATCAATGATCTTCTGGAACTGAGTTGGTTCTATCACATCTAGTATTTCTTCAATTTCACCAAGAAACATCACCTAATAAAATACAGTAGTAGTTTTTTTCAGTAATACACAAATATTGCATAATATACGTCAAACTAAAGATTTCTAATTATGTTTTTTTAATATTTCAATGACTTTTTTGTATATGCTGGAGTCTCAAGAAGAGACGAGTTTTCCTTTTAACTTTCAACCACACTTGATGGTTAAAATTTCAACAGTGAGCTGTAAACATTATTACTGATTAGCATATCTACAAAATCTCAACTAATTCTTTTTCCTTTTAAGATGTCTATCACAAGTCACGTGTGTATCACTTAAAAAATGAACTTAGAATATAAATTTGATCTACCAACCTCTTTCTGACTACTTGTTTTTGGCCAAACTTTTAACAAGCCTTTTATAACCTAAAGAAAATAAGAAAACATATTAAATCTGAATAATTGTGAAGAGGATAAAACCATAAAAGTATACAGGTGAAAAATAAGAAAGATTTCTAATGATTCACCGATTTTTAACTGACAAATTATTAGATTATCTAACACAACAAAACATGATAGAATTCCAAGTAAATCAAATTAAAATAACTTGGGGCCATTGTATTGAAAATATTTCATCTATTTCGAAAATTTTTTTGTATGAACATTATAAACCTTATTCACGCTATGTTTTTGAGACAATGAAAGCAACCTTTATAACACAAATTATGTCATCCATTGATAAGTTGGCGGCATCATATAAATGAATAGCCAATTTGACATGTTTTTATTTATTTTGAACTGTTGACAATTTCCACTGCCTGCAGTACTGGTTATCAAAACGACTAGGCATTTCTTTCACATGAGCCCATCCAACCTGCATCTGGCAGGGATTTCAAATATTTACTCACATCTTCCGTTAACATGGCATCTTTTTCTAGAAACTGTACAACACAATATGCCAGCTAAAATAGACAAAATATGCTTTATCTTACTCTAGAAAAGTCTTATGTTTATCATTTTTCATATCTTTTAGTCTATGGCTTATGATATAAACAGAGTGTATATTAGGTTTTTTCTCTTTCTTAAAGTAAGAGTAATCTAAACTTGTATGTCATATATATATATATATATTATTAGATGTGTCATGGTTCATAATTGGTATTTATCAAAGGAGATCAATAATATTATTTGCAAAGCCTAGCTATTATCAGTGTGAATTCTCCATTAGAATACCAAATAGTGTATGTTATAGAAATTATAAAATACAACAATTATATAACTAAGGCTATTATCAGATTATAATGTAAATAAAAATCAATAATGCTTACCTGAGCATGATATAAACTTAAACTTCGTGCCTTATGTAAAGGTATTAGTACCTTTGTTAAAAATAACTTATGCTCAGGTTTTAGTGGTAAAGCAAAACCATTGATAATGCTGAAAATACAAAGAAACAAAATTTTTGCATAAAACTGAATGTCACCACACAAAAAATAGGATGAAATTTGAAGGCAGGATATCTACCATTGTTCTGAACTATTACCTTCTCACACCTTATTGATCTTATTATGTCACCCCTTCATCCTAGATTTAAGCTTAAAAGGGAGATTTAGTTCTTTGATTTTGTGATGGACTCAACATGCCATCCATGATCTGACTAAATTTGTATGCAATACATGTTCTACGTCATTAAAATAATCTAATACTTTGTTCTTAGAAAGACTTCATATAAGAGTATTAAACCCATAGAAATACATAAAAGAAGATAGTGGCCCACAGCCATATACGCCCACCAAGACATGCGGATGGTAAAAACAAACTATCCATTTTAAGTTTCATCAAAATCGGTTGAAAACTAAGAGAGTAATAGCATATTCAAGATTTTGGGGCAAGGGCAATAACTCTTGCTTCTATCGGTCGAAAATAGCTTAAATTCAAACTTGATCTTCGTTTTATGAATATGTATACACATACTGAATTTCATTTGATTCCATCAAAAAATCTAACAGACGGACCAACGGACGGACAGGGGTGCCGACATTATACGTCCACATAGAGAGATGTGGGCATATAAAAAATTCTGGATCTGCCTTTTGAATGAAAAAGGCTTTGAATTGCATGCAAGATATAAATAAGTCTCCTTTATAATGTTTCATTAAGATGGTAACCTAACAACATAAAAGAATTGCTGGAGGACATTGTGCTAAATGTAGATGGTATTCAAATGACAGAATTATGACTAATGGCTCAAATGTCCTACTGTCAGGAACAAGTTAGTTATTAGAAACACCATTTGAATAATATCTTATATGAAGAATAGACTGTACCTGCCAAGAATTTCCAATAATTCACCAACACCATTAAATGACTCAGTTTCATAAATAAACCTGAAAAAATAAAACCATTTAAACTGAATAAACATAGAATTAGGTATAAAATATAACATTTACATTATTCTCACCATTTCCCTTACAATTCATACAATTTTAAGCTGATAAAAACAGATTAAGCTGTTGGAGACCTCTCTTGAGTGGAAAAATGAACACTACTGTCTTAGTACTTCCATTGGTAAATAAGATTTTACTGATTAGTTTTTAGTGTAATAAAATTAGATTATCAGCTTCAAAAAGTTCTGAGAGTCAAAGAATGACTGCATTGAATCTAAACACAACAAAAAAATATATAAATTGCATTCAGTAAAAACATATTTCAAATAAAATATACGTCCATGATTTAATTGCTATCATTTACTTTCATTTACTAATACTGATATTACAATTTACATCAAATAATCAGTGAAAGTAGATGCACTAAATCAGCAAAAAGGTAACTGTGGTGTGGTGTCCAAAGAAGGAAATTTTGTAAACACAACAGCATTAGCTTATTTTTATTTTACTTCCAACTGTTGATGGACTGTGCAGTCTATAGCACACCAGGCCTCACTTTATTGTCAAATCCAAAGAACTAAGACACCCTTTTAAATGTGAGCCCCTCTGACCTGCATCAGTGATGGGGGCAATGCGGTTGAGAAATCAAAAGGTATTATTTCGACCCATAACAAGATTGAGCCTTGGACCTTCAGGTTAGAGAATATCTTATTGCTCTTCCCTAGACAATGATCATGAGCCATATTCTCCAAAAAATATAACCATAAGCAGAAGGAATACTCTTTTATAAAAATACAGTACAATTCAAACGTTAAGTAATATTTTATAGATTTTCACCCTTCTTTTGACATTTAAACCAAAGACAAGAATGTAAAAAGCAGCTTGTAGGGAGATTTTGATTAATACTGTTCAATACTAGGTGTATTCTATATATAGATATATAATATATGTAGAACTATCTGGTGGTTGTAAACATGTTGAACTCTGGTATTTATTACTCAGTATCATAAATCTCTTGTGTTTACATGTAAAATGTACAATTTGTTGAAAGTCTTACGTACAGTTACTATAGTATGCAAGGACATGATGCAATTTAGTCAATTTTACTGCCAATTTTCAGGCAGTTCAGATAACTATATGAACTGAAAAGTTTTGTTTTCTCATGTTTTTTAGCAACTTTTTCACTGTGTTTGCTTTCACTTAGAATTTCCCTATAAAGCACAAGTTTTATGCAATACCAAAATACTTTGATTTCTTCGGAAAATGCCTCAATAGCATTTCAAATATTATACTAGTTTGAAATTTGGCTCCAGTAAATTCTTGTTATTTTTTGTCTCTAATGTTCACAATTCCATCACTGAAAAGGTGCTGACTTAACCTTTTTTGCAATATGTAAAGAAAGATATTATGAAAGACAATCTTACTCACCTGAGGAAAAAATTATTAATCTGTTTTCTGATGAAAGCCCGTAATCCTAAAAACTTTCCATATATACGATGTAATACAGTTTTCAGAAAATCTCGTTCTCTTGGGTCTTCACTATCAAATAATTCTAATAACTGAAATAAAAAACAATATACTTTGATATATACATGTATATAGATAATTTCAACTTTACTTAAGCTAACCTTTACATTTTTAGCTTGAGTACTTTATAGTTTGTTTTTCTAATTTCTCATAATGTTCTAGAGCTTGTTTTGTTTTTTGGACACCTTATGTCCCAAGACTACTGTGTTTCACAAAGCAGGTTAACCTTTTATCAGTTACAAAGATAGTATATATCTATGATGTTATACGATTTTGAAACTAGCCAATCAATGAGCCTTCATTGGCCATTTTTGTAAATATAAACACACTTAAATGGTGAATAATCAATCCCTACATGCAACCTCTCTCAGTTTTTAGTGGTTAAATCTTAGAGCTTCAAATGAAAGTTTTTGGATAATGTGAACCACAGCCCTTTCTTAACATTGATAAGAATCATAGTTTGAAGGACAATGTAAACTGATCTATTCATGAATGAAGATTAGGCTTCTGAAAATAACTTGACAACAGTTTGACCTGGGTTTCTGTATAAATACTTGGTATTTGTTTCACTGAATAATAACAATCACAGTATGTTTCAGTTATGTGGTCTAGGTCATGGTGAATAATCTAATTATACACATAACACAAACATTTCCTATAGTTTACTATAGTATAGATCTGTAGTGTTGACAGTTGTTTCAGAGCAATGCAATTTAGGGTAAACAGTAACAGGCATCCATGTGGGATACAAGAGGAGATTCTATCACTTTTAAGGCATTGAAAGGCATTTCCTTTATTTATAGAAATCTTTTCATTCCTCAAACCAAATCTTAGTGGTTTTACTTGAAAAAAAAATGCCACTGGCCAAAAAGATAGAGGAATTTCTCTAAAAAGAAGATGTCTGGGTTTGGTGAAAAATGTAAATAGCTGCTGCCCTTTCCCACAGTATGATTAAAGTGGGAAGGAGTGTCTAAGATAAGTAAAGTCAACATTGTAAATGGACAAGGTATATTACTAATAGTATTCATGTCATGTGAAAATAGCCCCTAGGTCGACTTTAATTACTATATGATATATAGGACTTAATAATGCTACATATAATATACATAAAATTTTCACATTTTCCTTTACCTCCATTCACTTTTACTATGTGCCATAGCCATGGGCTATTGTTTGCTTGAAGAATAATGTTTTGACCCATTGGCTTCCTGTTTCCCTACTTGCACTTGGAGCACTATACCCACTGAATCCCCTCTCAGACAATTTTATATTTTTAAAGATTAAGATTCAGACATGACAGTAAAATAAATCGGTGACCTTTTGTCAAAGAATCCCCTTCCCACATGGCTACACTTGTTGAGAGACAAGGCTATTAAGAACCAGAGAATTAGCCATTCAAGTATGACTGAAATATTATAGCTCTGTATTTTAGACTGATGGAATGAGTAATGTGTGATGAGTCATACTTCCATTTCCTACAACTACATTTTCTTGAATGAATTTCTGAGACAAAATACATACATGTACATCATAAAGCTACAATGTACAGTATGTTCTAAGTGTGGCCTCAGGGCTTGATTGAGTTCATGTTTAAAGGGACATTTACACCATTTTAGGGGGTTGATTTGAGTCTTGAATATATGTAAATAGTCTTCAGAAGTACTAGAAATTTCCTTGTCCCTTTAAATACAACTGTATTTTTTTTCCATGCCAAATGAACTTTGTTCACTATGTCATGTATCTTAAATATCATTAACTGTAAAAGATTTAAGAATCACGGAAAAGCCTGATATAGAATAAACATCCCTTAGATGTAGGTTAATGCCTGAATAAAAGTACAAAGTATTTAACAATTCATTTGAACACTGACACAATTTAATAAAATGTTTTTGACCAATCATACCTTTGTCTCAAAAACAGGAATTTTTTTTTTAGCTAACCCAATCAGTAGTAGTGTTTGCAGCTCATGGTCAAAATTTGAGACATCAAATCCAAGTGTGTCCAGAATTATTCGTGTTTGAAAGTTTAAAAGACCACTTGTCTTTTCTTGAGACTAAGCTTATGCCATATAAAATATTGAAAGAGAAAGTGAAATTCCTAGTTTGAAGTATTTTTGGAGGAATTATGCCATTTTTGTACACTTCCTGTACTTATGAAGACTATTAATTTACATAATATATTCAGCAAATCAACCTCACAGAAAATGGCAAACTTGTCCCTTTATGTTCATAGCAAAGAAAGTTGTACCAAATGGAGAAAATATATTCTGCCATTCTGTGTACAAGGCCTAATCACTTCTGATAGTTACTTCTGTATATATAATACATGTATAACATTGTATATTTGTATATTATGTATCATATATGTTCCAATATTTGGTTATCAGTACTACTATTATTTATCATTATTAAGCTCAGGTAGAAAAAAACCTTTTTTTATATTGAATACAAGAAGAGTGTTTCTTTTAGATACTATATTATTACATAATTATACCATTATTTTGAATTTATAAATCCAAATGTATAAAATATAGGTTTAACATTTGTTTTATTCAAAACAATTGTTAATCAATTTTTGATATTGATTAAAGTTGTTGACTGTTGTATGTTCATAACAATGTGTATAATATCAGATGTCATTTAAAAACATGCTGTAGAAACAATCAATAATGGAATAGAAATAAATTGAATGTCTTATCAATTATTGTCAAGCTCATTAAAATGCAGCCCCACAAAGTGAGAAAATAATGATATCTTCATACAAGGTTTCTTCCTGTCTTGTATGATATAATATATTTTATACTAGGTTACTTTCTGTCTTGTATGATATAATATATTATGTACTAGGTTTCTTCCTGTCTTGTATGATATAATATATTTTACACTAGGTTTCTTTCTGTCTTGTATGATATAATATATTTTATACTAGGTTTCTTTCTGTCTTGTATGATATAATATATTTTATACTAGGTTACTTTCTGTCTTGTATGATGTAATATATTTTATACTAGGTTACCTTCTGTCTTGTATGATATAATATATTTTATACTAGGTTTCTTTCTGTCTTGTATGATATAATATATTTTATACTAAGTTACTTTCTGTTTTGTATGATATAATATATTTTACACTAGGTTTCTTTCTGTCTTGTATGATATAATATATTTTATACCAAGTTACTTTCTGTCTTGTATGATATAATATATTTTATACTAGGTTTTTTCCTGTCTTGTATGATATAATATATTTTATACTAGGTCTTTCTGTCTTGTATGATATATTTTATACTAGGTCTTTCTGCCTTGTATGATATAATATATTTTATACTGGGTCTTTCTGTCTTGTATGATATAATATATTTTACATTAGGTTACTTTCTGTCTTGTATGATTTAATATATTTTATACTAGGTTACTTTCTGTCTTTTATGATATAATATATTTTATACCAAGTTACTTTCTGTCTTGTATGATATAATATATTTTATACTAGGTCTTTCTGTCTTGTATGATATAATATATTTTACACTAGGTTACTTTCTGTCTTGTATGATATAATATATTTTATACTAGGCTACTTTCTGTCTTGTAAGATATAGTGTGTTTTAGTTATAAAACCTGTGTAGATAAATACACATGTTATAAATAATTGGTATGATAAAGAAATAATTATATCCAGTTGACCTGAAGGCAAATTGTTTTATATGATAAATATTGTAAATGGGCTGCATAATATATAACCACCTGGATAATTTAGTCATGCATGCACAATTTATATCAAACAAGGAAAATGTAAACAAAACACAATCCTGGGTTTATAAATATTTAGACATCTATTTTTGGGTAGAGGAAGGTCCATTAAAAAAACAAACACTTATAAAGGACTGCACTCATTTTTTTCCCCCCAAATTTTAAATCAGATATTATCTTTCTGCTTTTTCTTAGTTTTATTTATGATGTTTGATCTTTGAACACATCTTTTGACATAAAAATAATCATATGACTTCATTGATCCTAATGATTTGAATAACTGAGTGAATTCAAACTTATAATTCAAGTTTTAATCATTACCAATAATAAAATTCATTTCATATCTAGCCTTAATTAGCTTTCCTAATTAATCACCACAATTTTGCAAGAATATTGTAAATTACAAAATTACTGAAGATTTCACTGAATCTTAGCTGACTGGTTTCAACTATCAACTCATTAAAAACTGGTTTTTCTCCACCACTGAGAACTTTTCGCCCATTTCTATTACCATAAAATTCTACTTTAAATGTCTTCTGTCTGACTCTGTATCAAACATCTTACCATTAGATTAATGATAATGTAAACTGCTTCATCACAGAATTCATTTACTGTCATTTGATTGGCCAAATGAGAAACTGTAAACCAATCACGTTCAAGTTTTCTCAAACAATCAATCCCTCCAGTCTCTGATCTTATTAGTTCTGCTTAAGTTGGGAAGGAATTGACTTTTCATCAATAATAATAAGAGAAGATTGTAAGCTGGAGGCTAGAAGAAATGTGGTACAGCCAGCTTATTACCATATTAACTTTATGTGACATTTGTTGTCATGACGCAATCTCAAAGACATAAAACACAAGATATTCTTACATTAAGATATTAATATCTCGTAAAGGGCAAAATATTTTTATGCAATATTATATTATCTTAATATATTTCTTTAACTTTTCTCTGAACTGTAAATTCAAAAATGTTAAAATATCACATTAAATGATAAATAATTGTTTACAAACTGAATAGAATTCCAGCTGTATCACTTTGCACAATCAGATTCAGGCATCACACACTAAAAACATTAAAACTGTTTTCATTTTCATAATGTTTAGATTTTAACACGTATTGGTATAATGTATATTATTATTATTCATTTTATAACTGTTAGTGAGAACGAAAATATTGCTTGGAAGTGACATTTACATTTGTTGAATTGCACCAAAACCAGATTTCTTACGTAAATCTTGAAACTACGGATTGAATTCTTTACAGCATATATTTCAATTCATCCCAATAATTCACTAGAAAGTATTCAAATAATTTTGAACTAAAAATTAAGTGATAATCGAGAATTAGTACAAATAATAAAAAAGTTTAATGGATGTTGAATTAGATTACGTCTTAAGAACAATTACTAATTGATTGACATGACTTGATTGACTCTAATAATCCATTGAATATTTTCTTAATCAGTCATTTTCTATTCTTAACTTAATGACTTCTTATTATTTATAAGTAGTTATTTGTTCACTCACTCACCATTTTACCAACCATTCAAGATTTTCTCAACCTGATGACTTGCATAAATAATGAGGTAATATTTAATGATTTATCATAATTTTTTGAAAGAAAGGATATTTTATGAGGATATGAGTTCAAAAGATATTTATACAGGACATGAATGCATTGCTGATGTTGATTTCAGACTTTCAAAAATAGTGCACAAAGAATTGTTGTTTTTTACGAAATGTTTTTTCACCTAATGGTACTTCTCTTCTGAGAAGTCCACTACTATACAATTATAACTCCTGACTTCTGACGGAATTGTTCTACTTGTATGGATTTAGATTACTTAATCCAAGTTTCTCTCCGTAGGTAAAAATGTGTATATTAATTAATTCATTGTAACCTGAATAGCAAACTTATATATTGTCTGAATTATTAAGGCCTCTTCGGTACCTTATACATTTTGTAACATCAGTCATGAGCTTTTTTATCAAAATACTTTCATTTTCTTGGTTTTGATGACTTATACTATACCCTACTGAGGATTCTTTATTCATCATAAATTTACATTGAATCAATCACTTTCAAATCCCTGCATTTAAGGAACCCCATTTTGAGGGGTTGATTTGAATCTTGAAAATATTTCAATAGTCTTCAGAAATACTAGAAATATATGGAAATCGCATAATTCCTTCAAAAATATCTCAAACGAATTTCACTTGCTATTTCTATAGATGCCTTTGAAATGTCAGTGTCTCTAGAACAGACATTCAACTTGTCTTTTAACTTCCAAGCGCGGATAATTCTCGGCACACATGGATTTGAAGGCTCAAATTTCGACATGATTAGCCATAAACAGTAATATTGACTTGCTGAGCAAAAAAATAATTTTAAGGTACGGTTGGTCAAAAAATGGCACATCTGTCCCTTTAAAATTATATCAGATATATAGATGGAGATCTAATGAATAATGTAAAGAAGTATTAAGTAATCATATCCGCTAACTTGGATCATTTCCCTATATTTATTTCTAGTAGACCTCTTCCAGACTTTCTGAACTTTCCAATGACATTGGTAGACTTGGAATGGTTCCAATAATCTTGTAATTGATAATGTAGGGGAGTAAAGACAAGTAATTTTCTAATTCATCAATGCCACAGCCTACACTAGATCATATTATACCATTTTTACATTCTTACTAAAAGCTTGATGGAATATTCAGAAAGTTATTATTTATAAACTTGTTCATCAGTCATGGCACATTACAATTAAATTATTTACTGGCATATCAGAAATATTTACTAATAACAACTATATAAAGATTGGATACATGTAAAGATCATCAATAAATGGGCAGAGATAATTGTTTAGATTGACTTGAGATTGTAAAGAGGTTTCTAAAACTTTTTATGTGTATCAGTACACATTGTAAGAATCGATTTACACCATTACATTTTTCAATCAGATGTCTGTGGTTCCTGCAATTCCTCAAAACCTAACAGTTTCATGAAGTTAGTATAGCATATAGCCTCATATACAAATAAAATAAGCAGTGATAGTGATGTCATCGAACACTTAGTGGTACTGGTAGTGGTATTGTTGGAACTACAGAGGTCTGATTGAAAATTGGAATAAAATAGAATTTATCCTAACAATGTATACTGATACACATAGAAATTAAGGTAAAAAAAACTTTTTACAATCTCTTTAATGCAGGATCATTAGCTTTATAGTAACATAACAATACTGTATATTATAGATTTTCTTCTGTTCACATGCAAAAAGAAAGCATTTAAAGCTACAGCTTGTTCAGATTATGCATGTAATGAGTCTTTGTAGCCTTTTTCATCTATCAAATAATTTATAAAACAGAAATAAGTTCTATCAAAAGAATACAACCATGAAGACCGAAATATCACTAATGAAAGCTTACCTGTAATACAAATTTTTGGTCTATATATTTCTTAGCCAAACTCGGTTGGAAGTCTGGAGATTCAAGGAACCGAAGAAAAAATTCATAAACAATCTGAAAATGTAATATCATAACTTAGCAATTCAATTGTGACCAAATTTCAATATTGCAATGCTGAAATGCTCATGAGAACATATAGCTAGCTCATTAATGATACTTAGTTTACTCAAATGTCATATAAACCCTTTTTTTCCAGATCAATTGTACTGATGAATTATAAAAAAATATTAAAATACATTAATTGTAAATTGACTAATACAAATTATTCTCAATGCAGAAGTTTTAGATATAGAAGGCTTAGATCAACCAAATCCTTCCATATGTAGGTACAGATTTATTTTAAGAACCATTATATAATGGCAAATATGAATATGTATAGGTTAATAAGTATGATCACTACCAACCTGTAAATGTGGCCATGATGCTTCTAATGTAGGATCATCTTCTTCAGGATCAAAATCAGGATTATCATTTGGTGGAAGAGTGCGGAATATATTACATGCAATCTGCAATAGATAAACAAAAACTATTTATTTACTGAAAATTTTAAATTTGAGCAAGATTTACAAAATCAATCTAACATTGTATATTGTGTTTAATGACGTCACTGATCGCGAAGAACTTTATGAGATAAAGCATATTTAGTGACGTCATCAAAGAATTTTTTGTGGAATTGCAGGAACCACAGACATTCGACTGAAAATTAGAATGGTGCTAATTGATGCTATCAGTGTTTTGGAAAACCTCTTTACAATCCCTTCAACATGTTGTTATTCAGAGTTTAAATAATTTGGAAAACAATAAAGTCAACAGAAAACAGAAGTCTTTTGGTACAACAAGATGAATTCTAGATAATGAAGAAGAGTTAACAAAGCAATCTTAATGTGGTATAATCATATTGATCTCTTATTTATACACTAGTAACTAGAGTCCACTTATCAAATGACCAGTATCCACTTTCTTAATGGATCAAATCGAGTGCATCTGGAACAAAAACAATCATGCCACCAATGTTTTAGTGTTTCATTGTATAAAAGTTGCTGACAAAGAAAGTTCTTTGGAATGACCTTTACTGATTCAGGTTTTAATTAAAACAAGCATGATCAATGGCTATAGTTGACTTTGAAAGAAGATGTATGGCTCATTAATTGTAAGATTAGTTTTGTTTACATTCATAATCCAGTATAATCCATTTGAAATCCTAAATCATTTAATCATATTATTCTGACAGTCATTAAACCATATTTTGCTAACATTATGTCAAATGACCTCATTTTCATAGCACAGGGACTATTCTTCTGATTTTTCAATGACGAGATCAGGTTTCTTTGTTAGTGGTCAAGAGGGGCTGACATGGAAAAAGCATGGTTTGGGACAAAAAACTGAGAAAAAAAAATCTTCAGTAGCCCACACAGGTGCAGAAAAATAGAATGTATAACTCCATCTTTCTATATATTCTGATTTTAGTGTTAATAAAGGAAACATGTGAATATGGTAATTGGCATAACAACTAGGTAATATAGTTGTTGTTGGTTACACCAGTTTGGCAGTGTCAAAGCCAAGCTGAAAATTGAAAAGTTTTCTCTGACAGACAGCATAGCAATAAAGCTAGATATAACATGAACTGTTATAATTTAAGCAAGCATTCACCTCTACAACTGATTATAATAAATATATATGTAAACAGGATTACCAAGACTGGTAAACGTCTTGTTGGCATGATTACAAAACATTATTCTATAGTTATGATGGAAATAGAAATACTCCTTTCTTATACAGACAATTAATATTAGTTCTAAAGAAGCCTTAGTTTGAAATGTCAGATAGACTTGAGAGCAAAAGAGAAACCATTTCTATTTCACTGTTTTATACACCTTTATTTGATTGCTTTCTCAATGATTTATTGGTGTTTGGTTTGGAGAGTATGTAAAAGCAGACGCAGCCAATAAAAAATTAGCACAACCTGTTAATGATACAGTAAAATTTGATACATCTTGCAGAAAAGTTAAGAAATTTGTTAATCCAGCGAATGGTATGTTGTTGATCAGGTGCCAAACTATGAGTAGAACACCTTTTCTATTAATAGCCAGATGATTTGTTGCACTCATAGTGTGTTGATCTGATTTCAACTGAAGTCAAGGATAACATCAACAGTTCTCTTTTCTTCAACTTGTTGGGCACAAAGTGGATTTTTGTTTTGTGTCAATTTCTCTAAATTAAAACCATAAATGTCAATCCATGTCAATGTCAAATATCAGCTTAAAATATTGGTTTTTCTCTGTAATTCGATGCATTTGATTCTGACATTATTTTTGAAAACTTAACTTAAAACATTATTTTTTGTATTCCAGTCACTTAAATCAATTTTATCTTACTAATTTTTTGAGAATTAGGCCCCAGGCTTAAAATATAATGCTGTTAAGACTTAAATTCACTACTTTTGATTGATTAAGTTGGCATAAATCATGTTGTGGAGCTTGTGATCAGGTACAAATATAAGCATATACAAAATTCAACATAGTTTGATATGCTTTTTGATCTTCCACATTATTGAGAAAAATTTTGAAAGCTCTTCGATCAGAACTATAGAATTTTTCTGAAATGTCAGTAGACATGGAAATACAAAGATGATAAAGCATTCACTATTTCTATCTATGCTCTCTCTTCCTGAAACAAGTTTTTATTTATAATCTGGAAAATGGCAGGTCTCATCTGTGAAATGAAATTGATACTTATATATTTTGTACTTTCCCTGAGCAATACTGGAAAGCACTCGCTCGATCTAACCAATCCTAAAAATATCTGTCCAATAAACAAGAGTATAAAGAATATTGTATTTGTCACTAGCCATTTGTTAAGACGACCAGCTATAAAGGATATTGCCAAGAGGTTTAGCACTATAAATCAATAAAGAAAGTGTTAAGTAAATAATACTGGAAGAGGATATTGGGAGTGCATTAACAATGATATAGAAGGAACCTACACTTGAATGTGGTTAAACACGCAATGGTACTCTTACTTCTTATTATTACTCAAGACTTTCCTTGTTTCTTGAGGCCAAGCAAAAAATGTAATTCGAATTAGCTTGCTGTAACATTACATTTTCTAGAAAAATTCCATCCTTTCCCTCACACTTCATAGGATTAATAAATGTTTATTTTTTCTTATATATGATATTGTCTATCAGGGAGTCATATGGATGTCAAGATGAGAAATATCAATACTAATTGTTTAATTCTTCAATGCCTGAAACAATCTAATGTAGTAAGTTTGAAGAGATTGTAATGAGTTTTTCTAGTATTTGTATGTATATCTGGTACTCTTTCCATTTGCACTAATCTTATTTCCTTTCTGACTTCTGTGGTTCAGGCAAAATTCATATCATGACATCACAAATGCCAATCGAACCAAATGGTATTGCTGCAATAATAGCGTCATGTTGGGTCCTAGAATTATATCTGTCAAAAGGGATATCAGAATGGTGAAAAAGGGAAGATTTCAGTTTACGATATACACTCCGTCTACAATAATGGACCAAACAAGATCAGTGACAAGCACGGTGACAAGCACAGTAATATGCTGTATCATGGGTTTGAGGTGGAAATGAAGAAGACAGAACTGACAACCCACTCATCAGCATGATTACACTAGTTCCACTGAAATAATTAGTTACCATGTACTTCACAGTCACTTTCTACCAATAAGAACAAAGACATGATGAAAACGCTTGTGTTTCAAAGATGAATGTTCTAATTCAACTAATCAAAGTAAATGTCGTGGTAGAGACTCAGAGCAATTAGTAAGAGACCAATTATCTTGGATCAATACTATAGAACCACATGCATTATTATTGATGAAGTCAAAAGCCTTCTCTCTCCTTAAGTATTAATCTGACAATTTTCACCAACATTCTTCATAAGATTTCTCCTCAAACAACCTGTTCCAGACAAGCAATTTACTTTTCTTTTGTTCTCAGTCTTGTTTTTTCATTCTCAAGTTTCAGATGATTGTTGGAAATATCAGGAAAGGGATTCACAGTGAAAAAATAAGGCAAAGAGGTTTATAATTGTCAGCTATTATTAGTGTTGGGCCTAGCCAATCATGCCATGGTACGCAATATAGGGTAACAGAGTAAAATTTGACACTTTATCTGAATATTAATGTTAACTTTAAAACTGTGCTATTTAGAAATGTAAGTTGATAGGAGTGGTAAATGTCTACCATCTTTTAAGTAGTTACCAACAATTTCAATCAAGTCAGTGAGAAACATTTGTGAATCCTTTCGTAGACTTAAACATAATCTGAATTTTTATGGTATTGTCAAGTATCGATACACAACCTTGTGATACGATAAAAATATTGTGGTATGTCATATCGCGATTCATCAATTCACATATGTATCGTGTATGTATCGTGTATGTATCGTGTATGTATCGTGCCAGCAATAGCTTGTATGTCCCGTAAACTCTTACGACATGAAACAAAAATTGTTATTTTTCTTATTCTGGAGATTTCAACTAAAAGTATGGAGCCATTATACAGCCCAACACCAATTTTAAAGAAGTTTAAACTGCTTAGCCTTACTTAGCTATTAAACTAACAGTTCGTTAAGTAAGCAGTTTTTAGCATACCCCATTTTTAAATTACCAATGCAGTACCCCTTTTAAAACAACTCAAGGCTGATACATAGAGTTAACAGTATATTCTAGAAATATTTTCACATATAATTCACACTGTTTTTAATAATGAAAATTTTGCATACTACCCCTCAAATAGTTTCTGCTAGTAGCAATTTGCTCTACAGCACTCAAAATTCAGTTACTAGCCTCACTTTAACTACTAACTTTGGCCTAATTTGAATTGAGTCACATTAGTAGTAGTTTTTGTAGTACCTAACTGACAGCTAGTCAGACTAAAATAACTCTAGCATCAGTGAGATAGAAGGTCATACAGTCGAGATGTAGGTGGAAGAAAATATGTCTACAGTATGTGTATATAGACATATTATTACCACTTGATGCACTTCAGACTTCCTTATTTTAACTCTCCTGTCAGTGGGCAAAGGCACTAGATTTCCTTAAATTAATCTATAGACGGAAGAAGTCGAGACTTTATTTTATTCCAAATAAAAAAAGAAAAGCTAAAAAATTTTATTCTCACTCATGTATTTTTTTTTACCTCATACCAATCGTCTCGTCAGAATGGCAGGCATAAAAAATGTTGAATGTGATTGGTCAATTACTTACTCTGGCTGTATACGGAGCATTTTGTCATGTGATTGATATTACTTTAAACCGATGGATTTGATGTTGATATCTAAATGGCTGCTTCTGCTATTGTATACCAATCACATGATCAACGACAAAAATTAGCGAAAATACATGCTCGTCTGCCCAAACATTATACCAGGTGCACCTTTCAGAAATAAAACCTCACAAAACAAACCATCCAGAATAAGTGACAACCATTGTTACTAATTTCTGAATTGCTTTTTTATAACGTAATGTACCCAAATTAGTTTTTTTGTCCAAACAAACAGTTTCAATTTTGTATAAAGTGTAATCTCCTTTACTAGTAATTTAAGCACTGATCTAGTTCACCAGTAGAGACCATGTAGGTTCCTTCATATTAAATATAAATTAATCTAAATAGAATATTGTTTACTGAAATATATTCATGTAAATTGTCACTTCTGAAGAAAAAAAATAAATCGATTCAAACATTACATCCACTGTAATAACTTCAAGAGAGTAATGAACCCATCCTTTGGGGACATATATAAAATATAAACCAGGACACAGTTTGAAAAGCATTCCATGATATTATCAAAATATATATGTCAACAATACGCTTGGTCCAGTTGAATCAATGTTTACTTAGGAGTACAGACTAAGCCAAGACTATTAAATGTTATTTTTCTCATCCCAACTTTTTTTTATTTCTATAATTTATTCCTAACCATGTTTTAAGAGTGATGTGTGTGACATACCATGTATATATTTCTTTTTTTTGGATGAACAAATTCAGTTATAATATATTATATTGTTTACAAATGTTTCATGCTTGTCATCACTTGATTTTAAATCAATAGTATTAATCCACACAATAAGCTTATAGTGTGACTGCTTGAAGAATTATGATTTAATATTTGATTTAATTCCTCTTGATTTTGTCTTGACTTTTTCTCTATGTCACTTCATCAAATGGAGATTTCTTCTATGATTGTGACTCATTTGCAATCCTGGTGAATTTTTCTATGACTGCAAATCTTGGTGATTTTTTCCAATATAAGCTTAGTAATTGTTACCCCTGGTGATTATATCTATGATTGTGATTCTGGTGATTTTATCTATGATTGTGATTCTGGTGATTTTATCTATGATTGTGACTCCTGGTGATTTTATCTATGATTGTGACTATGATTGTGACTCCTGGTGATTTTATCTAAGATTGTTGACACCTGGTGATTTTTTAACTATGATTGTGACTCCTGGTGATTTTTTATCTATGATTGTGACTCATGGTGATTTTATCAATGATTGTGAGTCCTGGTGATTTTATCTATGATTGTGAGTCCTGGTGATTTTATCTATGATTGTGACTCCTGGTGATTTTATCTATGATTGAGACTACTGGTGATTTTATGTATGATTGTGAGTCCTGGTGATTTTATCTATGATTGTGGCTCCTGGTGATTTTATCTGTGATTGAGACTACTGGTCAATTTCTCTACGATAGTAACTTCTGTGGATTTTTTAATGATTGAGACTTCCAAAGATCTTATCTATGACAATTTTAGAGATAGAAATGAAATGAAATGAATGGAGTTTTATGTCCTACTCTTCTACACCTAGTGGGTTAATGAAGACGGGCAACGCCATGCAGGGTGCCATGAGGGAAATTTTGCCAATTGAGCGGCATTAGCCTGCTCTTTTCGATTTCAAACTGTCGAGGGATCTTTAACGTGCACAGCCTATAGCACACGGGCCTCGTTTTATTTTTAAGAGATAGATGAAATATGTTTGAAGTTGGACTAGAAGTTTAATGATAATTTAAAGATTCTTATGGTAAAAAATCAACCAAGAATAATTCAGGTGCTGGTATTGCAAAACAATGAGAAAGATATCCAAGAATATGGGAGGATTTGAAAAACAAATAATGTTAATCAACTTAAAGCAGAAAGGCATGACACTAAGAATATAAACTAATTTTCGCCCAACCTACCTTGTAGCTATAAATACAACCATGTTATCTTTCTATCAAGTATTTCTATGCTCCACTATATAAAGATACTAAATATAGACCACACAAAAAAGTTTCTAGGGCAATATTTGTAGAAAACACCTTACAAACAAAATTTTACTTTTTTAGCTGTTGTCATTAGTACCTTTTGGGTAGAAAAGAAAATGTGTGCATTTATATCACTAACTATGTTTGAATTTGTATAAGAGAAGAGATTTATTGCGTTAATTTCCAATGATTTGGATATCATGATTACTATGAAGAAGAAAGCGTATGAGACCCTGTGCTTGTACCCCAAATTTTCTTAATTTTTATGTGCCCTTTTGCTGTAAGATTGAATAAGCTAAGAGGTTTCTGGAGGGCTCTCTGTTCGATGGCACCATAATATTGGAAGTAAGGTGTCCATGGAGACATTTAAGACATTTAATCTGATAATCAAATAGTCTATTTTTAAATGTAAATCCAACCATGACATTGTTACTTGTAAAGTACAAATTGACTTATATTTGTTTACAAATCACCAAGGACTTCAACGCAATAAGAATCAATACAAAATCACTTCTTAAATAACTCTATTCTGGGATATTAATTTTGTCAAGTAAGGTCATTTCAATAATATAGTTGTCCACAATTCACGCTTGATGACCATAAAAAGAAATCACATTCTTACACTCATGCTAAAGGGTCTAGTTAAGTTTGTACTAAAAATGAATTTGAAACTAAGGTGTGATGATGTGTTATGTCATGTCAAGAACTGTGATCAATGTGTGCATCATTTCTGATTGATGGCATAAGATTTGATTTGGAGTGAAAGCAGAAAATATTTAGGTCAATAAATATAGACTGGATTTACCTTACAAATTATCAAAATATTTCAAATTCCATTTCAGGCCTATAATACCAGTAATCATAATCATATTTTTGGTTTTCATGCCAGAAATAAATTCTAGTGAAAATGAATTTTTGAACAAGTGTTTTCATGGTTCCCAATAAGTTTTTGTGTGAAAGTAAGATAATAAAACTAATTAACTATGACAAAGAGGGGTAAGGTAGGATCTAAAATATGATAAATTTAATATAAATATTTATATAAACATATTTTTTGTTCATCTTTAATCATTCAAATTTTCTCAACTCTCCTCTAAAACATTTGAGTACACGACAACAATCCAATGAGATGAAATGAAGTGAAATGAATGGAGTTTTACGTCATACTTTTCTGCACCTAGAAGCTTCTCAATGTCAGTCCAATCCTCACTGATACTAGGAAACCATGTTTAAAAATCAGACCTATGCTGGGATTGAACCCTAGACCTTTAAGGTTAGCCAGCAAGCATCAAACTCACTGAGCCACCGCGACAACAATACCATTTAAACATGCAGACAATTTCAATTATGTAATGCACATATTCTAGGACCACAAATTTTTTAAGATAGCTTTCCAGGCAAGGTAATAAATGCCCACTACCAGTTTTGATTTACAAAAAAAAAAAATTTGGTAGTACAATCAAAATCTGGCATGAATCGAGCCTTTAAGTGTTTACGAGCTAAAAATTGAATGCGTTTCCAAGAACAATTTAAAATCATTAACTATTTTTTCAATTTTCAATAAAGTTCATCATTAACTATTTTTTCAATTTTCAATAAGGTTCATCCTTGGGTGATTACAAATACTCACACCAAGTTTCATCAAAATCTGTCAAAAATTTGTGTCTTTTAGAGTGTTTACAAGTTAAAAATTGGCACATTTTCAAGCACAAGGGCAAAAACTCACACTTAATTTTTTCGATTTTTCTGATTTTAATAGGATTCATCCTTGGGTGTTTACAAACACTCCCACCAAGTTTGGTCAAAATCCATCCAGAATTGTACCTTCTCGAGTGTTTACAAGCAATTGCGAATGGAAGGAAGGACATGGGTGACGCCAATATACGCCCCCCCATTTCATGAGGACATATAAAAATTGTCCGATTGTTTTATAATTGGCCTGAAAAATGAATATTTTCTTACTTACCAATCTTACAGTTTCAGGATATGTAGGTTCTGTGAGAACATTTCTTGTTGCTGTGATATAATCCACTAACTCATTTAAACAGGCTCGTTTAATTTCCTTACTCTTCAGATCCGAGACCGGATCCATAAAATCAAATACAACACAACATTGCTGTAATTTCTTAATAAATAATTCCTGTTGCTCAGACGGACTCACATCTACAATAAAACAATAAATATCATCAGAATAAGCCTAGCCTAAAAAAAACTTGACTGCTGTAGGAAATGAATGCAAAAGTTATGCACCAATTATCATCTGAGTGCATTTCCTTGATTGGTTAATTTTAAGTGCCGTAGAAGATTTATCTTCAGGTTTCTCCAAAGATTTGATAAACATGTGACAGTATGTTGCCTGATGCTTAAGGGCTACCAAGAGGTTGATAAAGCCTCAATTTCCTCCTGAAGATTTCTCTTTGAATCTCATTATTTATAAATAAATATTGTGCAGGTTAAGAAAATATTACAATAAAACATATTTTGCATAAAGATATATATCAAACAAAACAGCAAGAAGACCTTCAAGGGACAGGTTGGCCATTCTTTTTAACCAATCATAAGTTAAGTCTCAGAAATAGGAATTTTTTAGCGAAGCCAATCAGTAATAGTGTTCACAGCTCACCGTAGAAATTTGAGCCTTTAAATCAATGTTTCCAGAATTATCTGCGTTTCACTGTTAAAATGACGACTCGTCATATTAAGATACTCTGTGATATATAGAAAAGATATATATAGAAATAGTGAGTCAAGTTCCTAGTTTGAGATATTTTTGAAGGAATTAATTCATAAATGTGGATTATTGCTTTTCAAAAGTAATTATCAAAATTTTTTCATTTTCTGGCAATTTACAGTCAAATCATCCTTACTTTAAAGGGACAATTTTGGGTGCTGATTTGGGTCTTGAATATATCTAAAGAGTCTTAAGAAAAGAGGAGTTGTCTTTTTAAGCTTTTATGGTGAACTATGAACATTATTACTGATTAGCTTAGCTAAATAATTCCCGTTTCTGAGACTAAGGTATGATTGGTCAAACAGATGGCATAACTGTTCCTGGATGAGTGAAGAAAAGTTACTGAATAGCGTTAGGCCTACTTACAAATATTTTTGAAAATACTAACATAAAATCCTTCACAGAAACATCTCAATTCCCAAAGAGAAAATTATCCTTTTACAAAAAAAACTGATATCAATCCAAAAATACATATCAGAATATGACATAACATAGCCATATGGATCTTTCAAGTTTTAATAATTAATTGACTATTCATCTTTACAATCTGATAGATATCACTCCCTACCTATTTTATATTGTTTTTGTTTATTAAATCTACCCATGTCCTCCTAGTTTTGTTATCAAGTCCAAATATAAATAAAATCCATTTACTGTGACTAACGACTTGTGTGTGAGCTCATAAAAACTAATGAAAGGAATTAGTAACTATGAGTAAATCAAATGACGTAAAACTTGACAATAAACCTCAAGATAAAACTGTCTTCTATTGTAGAAACTTACATTAAAGACGCATGTATCTTCAATTCATTTGCACAATTTTTTGCCTTAAATTTTTTGAAATATTCATGTTTTGTGTTATCATCACCATGCTAGGGATTTGGTTATTTTAAATCTGACCTCTTTTCAGACAATTTAACAAGTTTATAAATAGGATATATAATATGTACAATTAACGGAAAATTATTTCTGTTAGTTACACTTTTTAGAAGAAAAGAATAACAGAAATGAAATTGGTCTATTACTAGTTACTCAGAATTGGGTCATGTCCTTTGAATAAAAACCTTCTGGAATAAAACATGGCCATTTCAATTTCAATTAGAGACTTGTATAGAAAAGACATAGAAATAGAAAGTGAAATTCTTAGTTTGAGGTATTTTTGAAGGATTTACAAAAGATCCACATGTTCCTTTAACTATATGTAGTATACATTAGTGCACATCGCTAAAAATACTGATCTTAATAGAAGAATCAAATCAAATTTTTGAATTTGATAGTAAGTCTGTCTATGTCTTGTAGTTAATAAATTGAATATTCAGAATCCAAACTGAGACCTTAGTGCCTTTTTACCCTGTATTTATGCTTTATAAAAATATCAAAGAGTGAGAAACAAATACTGATTAATCTCTATCTTTCCAAATAATATTTGTCTATTATATTTAAGTTATATAGACATGACAGTCTTTACTGATAGATAGAATTTGGATGGATATGCAGTCAATAACAAAACATCACTTTGACATTCGCTTTGACTTAGTGAAATTACATATCATCTTCTCAGGTTATGTATGATTTCTTATAGGATAGAAAAATTCAATTTAACACTTAAACCAAAATCATGCTTACAACTTCTTTAAGGTTTAAAAAAAAAGTTAAATGTATCAAAATGGTATTTTATAGGATATTTTTAACAATTTTCAAATAAAATACTTTATGAACTGCTTTTTTGATTATGGAACTGGAAGGCTGTAGCCATTAATTGTTGTCTCATGTGGTCATAATGCTGTCTATAAAGTAAATTCTAAATAATAGGCTCATTAGTAATCACTTATTGATTAATTATCTATATTGTTTCATATTAAACTAAAATATTATGTGAGATATTGCTATGAACATAGAAGGAATGATAACTATGTTGCAACATCAAAGCAATATGGCGTTTGGCATCATGTTTCAATTCTGTTTCCAAGAAGTGGGTCATGCTATATTTAGAACAGCATTTCCTTTTAATAATTTGTCGGCTTTTGGAATTCCATAAACTGTGACATAGCATCTGCTACATCAAATATATTCAATCCCAAATAAGAAAATGGGACACGTTCTATATATAGACATATAAATTCTCTGCCAGGGAAGCATCAATGGCGATTGTGAGCAGATAAAGGAAACAGACATTAACCGGTCAGTAGGGTCGATTCGACCGCAAAATAGCAACATTGTTGCACATTGTAACGTTCTTACTTTATAACACCATGTATTATAACATTTATTGATCATTACGTCATAGGTCATATTTCGTTGTTGACAATGTAATAAATTGTATGACAATATACAAACCTTTAAGATGAGGCAATGGCTGAAGCTCGGGGGCATTTTTAGTCCGATAATGTGATGATCCTTGAGACCGTTTTTGCTTCTTTGATTTGATAGATATTTTATTTGTAAAAGGATCGATACGATCTGTTACTTTAGCAGACATTTTGATGGAAAATATAGAGTAAAAAGCGGGTGAACCGCGAGTTATATTTCAAAACTAAATCATAGATCTATGTTACGCAGAGAGAACATGGCTTCACAAGCCTTGCTTACAAGCCGACTTTTTGACAAGTCCGAGGATACAACTCGACACAGCTAGATTAAATCCACTATTAACTCATCCGAAATATTTCTTTTATTCCATACACACATTTAGCTGATTATATACACTCCATAAATTATATAGAACCAGAAAGTAACGGAATTAATCACGTTTTTGAGACTCTTTTGGGTGCTCAAAACAAATAATTTTAGTGTTGCTACTGCAGATCAAATGGTTTCTCAAATCTCGTCTTACAGCAAGGTGCGCGTGAAAACACGAGACTTCAGTGTCCTTCACCCAAGAAGACATTATTGCTAGGGTCATCAGGGGTCAAACTTGAAATAAGATTATCGATTTTTCAATGGAATTTGAGTTGAGAATTCTGAGTTCAAGTGACATTTATCTTGTTAGATTAAACTGCTTTATTTGACTAAGTAATCGACTGACACCTTTTCTGATAAGGAGTTGGTTGTAAAATGTTTCTATTTCTTGAAAACAGTAATTTTGGTTTATGATAATTTATGACGAGTTACTCCCCTTTATTAGTTTTCATTAGAAAAGAGCAGAAAGAATATCAGGCACTTGTTCCTGAGAAGTAATAGCAGTAAAAGAAAGTCTTTAAGAAAATTACATATATTATGGAGGAGGCACAGACAAAATTACGATTTTCCTCACCAAAGCATTCACGCAATAAATTTGATGATGAAAATATTTCAACAGAATCATCTGTCGAACAGGTAAAGTAGCTTATTATAGATTTAGATTGAAGAACAAGGCTAAAGTAAAATGAAGCCCAAGATACTCTCACTTTGGCAGTTAGCTTATTAGCCTACTAATTAAGTTAAAAATGGAATTTTTGTCCTTTCACATAGAAGCTACTCAAGACATAAGTTTCAGTTGCAAACCATTATTGTGGGATTTTTTGGGTTAGGTTATCAATAAAAATTCTAATACTGGTACCCCAAGTTTTATGATATGACATAGTTGATTAAACATGCTTGAAAGCCGAGCAACCACTCTCATGCTTTAAAGTTCCAGCAAAGTTGACTTTCTTTACTTGTTTGTTTATACTCGTATATACTTGTCTGGTATGGATTAAAATGAAATGAAATAAATGGAGTTTTACGTCCTACTTTTCTGCACCATGTGGGTTAATGAAGACGGGCAACGTCATGCAGGGTGCAGTGAGGAAAATTTTGTCATGACAGCGGCATTAGCCTGCTATTTTTTTTTATTTCCAACTGTCGAGGGATCTTTAACATGCACAGCCTGTAGCACACTAGGCCTCGGTTTATTGTCCCTACCAAACGGCTAGATGCTTTTTCCATGTCAGCCCCCTCTTATCTGCATCACGGACAGGGGGAAATCTGGTTGAAAAATCCAAATGTATTATCTCGACTTATGCCTGGATAGAACCCCGTACCTTCAGGTTAGCTAGCAAACGTCTAACTTATTGAGCTACTGCAGCTCCCTGGTATGGATTAAAGGTGTAACAATTTAGCTATTTCGGTATTTTTAATGTCTTTCATTGGTATTAGTGTCAAAACTAAACTATGTTCAGTGGACTTAATGGAAGTAATCCATTTATGTGATTGTATAGATTAAATCATCTAGGTAATTAGCACAGAAATTTATATGAAACAACTTTGATGAACCACAGAAATAAATTTGAGAAAAAGGAAGCTATGAAATAAACGTTGATTAACTTGATTATAATATATACTATTTATTTTAAATTTCATTATACAGTCAATGTGTTCTACTTTGTATTATTTTTGCAGATCAGAGTAGAAGATGCAATATCAGTTATTATTGATGAATTTAATAAAGAGATTGAGTCAGACCCAGAGTAAGTTCTTGTTGAAAAAAAAAACAATATTCATTTTGAATATTTATCATGTATTTTTTATGTTTGGCTGACAAATGCAATACCAGAATTGCAGTTTGTTGTAAAAGCCAATTTTCATCAATGTTATCTGGAAATCTATGTTTTAAATATTGCTAGAAAGTCCTTTTTTTTTTTTAACAGTGATCCCGTTTGAAAGATCTGGTTACATTTGAGTGTCATCAAAACCATTTGCATAAAGTTTCAGGTGCAATCTGATTAAAAAAACAGACTTATATGGAAAGCAACAACTAGGTCTGCTTCTGAATCAGATTGAATTCCGTTAACTCTCGCTGTCAATTGATCTGTTATTTTATATCTTTTAAATGAAAAGGATTCTATGAAGTTATACAATATGCATATTTTGTGTCTTTAATTACATACAGAATATAGCTATTTCATTATTTTCTAGCATTCCAGTATTAAAAAGAGATGAACATACTATGTTTCTATGGAAGGGACTGAGACATCTAGGCATATCATATGAGGTAAGCTAAATTTTCATTTTCTTCCACTCTAGTAAAATATTAAACAAAGACATGACAAAAGAACTTTCACAAATCTTGGTGAAGTGCCTAATACAACTGATTTAGTTAGAAAATGGAGATATGCAGAAATCACATGGGAAACATGTTGGTTTTACAATGTTCTGGCTAAGAAATAATTGAAGTGAAATTTTCTGTTTGTAGTGTTTAGATGCTAGTCGACCATGGCTTTGTTATTGGATATTACACAGTATGGAAATATTAGAAGAAACCATTCCTATAATGACAGCTAAAGAGTAAGAGTTTTAACATAAAACTATTTTGAATGTTTTTGAACATTATAATTACTCTCTATAAATTGATATAACGTTAATGTCTCATTCTACAATTTGTATAGCTTGGAGTGCAGTTCATATTATTTCATTTCCACATCTGAATTTTGGTGTACCAAGGATTAAAGGGAAACTTCCTGCAATCATATGACCCAATAAATTTTTCTTTTCAGAATTGCAAAATTCCTTGGTAAATGTCAATGTTCAACTGGTGGTTTTGCAGGTAACTTTTATTTAAAAATACATCAATGTAAACTATTATCTAATAAATGGTCTATTGGGTTCGTTAATTTGCTCACTAATTTAGTAAGTTTTGATTCCCTTCTATTGAGTTGATGTTCAAACTTGTTTAAACTTGTATCCATAAGTTACATGAGATTTTGATGTTTATAATTGTGTAGGTGGTCCTGGTCAAGTTGCTCATTTAGCACCAACTTATGCTGCTGTAAATGCTTTATGTATACTGAGTCAAGTTACAGATGAAGCTCTTAATGTCATAAACAGGTAAATTATCTTGTCTCAACGGCTGGATGCTAAATATATACATGCCTTGACTCAATTCTGAGCTTTTGGTAGGAATGACTGTGTATATCTAATGTGTCGGTTTTTGTAAAGTTTTATATTAATCCTTCAACCAATGGCATCTTTCTCTATATTTGAATTTTTTAAGGTAAATTTATTTGCCAATATATATGAAGTTATGTTTATTTGCTAAATATTTACATCCAGTAAAGCTGGTAAACTTTATTATATTTTGACAGAGAAACATTATATGAATATTTATTACGAATGAGAACTGATGATGGTGCATTTTTAATGCATGAAGGTGGTGAAGTTGATATCAGGTTAGTTTAACACTCTTTAGGACGTCATAAGCTCTTAAGCTTAGTATGTTCTTTTGACATATTTACTAGTATGTACTTTTAATTCTTTTGATGAAATACTGATTCATGGATCCCTATTCTAAATGTAGAGTAGACATCAGAGTTCTTTTCTGAAATACCATTAAGGATCAAAACCTCAAATATATAATTTAATGCATACAGATTTTGTAGAAAGTTTTTTTTAACTTGCTTAATGACACTGTGAACTTTCTATTCATTATTCCATACTCTCACCAGTCTAAAACATTATTTAATTCTTTCTACAGAGGGACATATTGTGCTGCAAGTGTAGCTAAACTTACAAATTTGTGTACCAAAGAGTTGTTTAAAGATACACCTCAATGGCTTGCAAGGTAAGTTGTTTTCTTCAACTAAAACTGTAACCACTTCGAAGATTTTTGTGCTATTCTTTCATGGGTCAAAAAATAGTCTCTAGATTTCTTTTCATTGCTTACTGTATGATGTAGGATTGAGTGGCTGACATAGAAATAGCCCTCTTTGTTAGATGAGAAAAAGAGAGAATAAGCAAAATGGTCTCAATAACCAATTTATTTTTGATGGCAAAATGCATGTCTTTGTCCATCTGAGTGTCGGGATGAAAGTAGATTTTATTATACGCCCACATGTAAGATGGGCGTATATTGTAATCACCCTGTCTGTCCGTCCGTCCGTCGGTCCGTCCGTCCGTTCACATTTGGCTTTTGCTCACTCTACAGGCTACAGTTCTTTATGGATTCTTTTGATTTTTATTTTGTATGTCAATGTTGTTATGAAGATGATCCCTATTGATTTTCGTGATGATCGGATAATTTTTCACCGAAATATCGTGTCTGACTTGACGTTTTTCTCTATTAGCTATATTGTGCAACTCGTGCTCACTCTACAGGCTACAATTTTTTACAGATTCTTTTGATTTTTATTTTGTGTGTCAATGTCATTATGAAGATGATCCCTATTGATTTTCGTGATGATCGGATAATTTTTCACTGAAATATCGTGTCTGACTTGACGTTTTTCTGTATTAGCTATATTGTGCAACTCGTGCTCACTCTACCGGCTATAATTTTTTACAGATTCTTTTGATTTTTTATTTTGTGTGTCAATGTCATTATGAAGATGATCCCTATTGATTTTCGTGATGATCGGATAATTTTTCACCGAAATATCGTGTCTGACTTGACGTTTTTCTCTATTAGCTATATTGTGCAACTCGTGCTCACTCTACCGGCTATAATTTTTTACAGATTCTTTTGATTTTTTATTTTGTGTGTCAATGTCATTATGAAGATGATCCCTATTGATTTTTGTGATGATCGGATAATTTTTCACCGAAATATCGTGTCTGACTTGACGTTTTCTCTATTAGCTATATTGTGCAACTCGTGCTCACTCTACAGGCTACAATTCTTTACAGATTCTTTTGATTTTTATTTATTATGTCAATGTCATTATGAAGATGATCCCTATCGATTTTCGCGATGATCGGATAATATTTCACCGAAATATCGTGTCTGACTTGACGTTTCACTCTGTTAGCTATATTGTGCAACCCTGTAGTCACTAAAGACTGTTTAATCATTTCTGACAGCTGCCAGTGGGCGTATGTTACCTTGCCTGGCAAGCTATCTTTATTTTGTATGTCTATGTCGTTATGAAGATGATCCCTATTGATTTTCATGATGATCTATCGATTTTCATGATGTCGGATAATTTTTCACCGAAATATCGTGTCTGACCTGACGTTTTACTCTATTAGCTATATTGTGCAGCTCGTGCTCACTCTACAGGTTACAATTCTTTACAGATTCTTTTGATTTTTATTTTGTATGTCAATGTCATTATGAAGATGATCCCTATTGATTTTCGTGATGATCGGATAATTTTTCACCGAAATATCGTGTCTGACTTGACGTTTTTCTCTATTAGCTATATTGTGCAACTCGTGCTCACTCTACAGGCTACAATTTTTTACAGATTCTTTTGATTTTTATTTTGTATGTCAATGTCATTATGAAGATGATCCCTATTGATTTTCGTGATGATCGGATAATTTTTCACCGAAATATCGTGTCTGACCTGGTGTTTTACTCTATTAGCTATATTGTGCAACTCGTGCTCACTCTACAGGCTACAATTCTTTACAGATTCTTTCGATTTTTATTTTGTATGTCAATGTCATTATGAAGATGATCCCTATTGATTTTCGCGATGATCGGATAATATTTCACCGAAATATCGTGTCTGACTTGACGTTTCACTCTATTAGCTATATTGTGCAACCCTGTAGTCACTAAAGACTGTTTAATCATTTCTGACAGCTGCCAGTGGGCGTATGTTACCTTGCCTGGCAAGCTATCTTTATTTTGTATGTCTATGTCGTTATGAAGATGATCCCTATTGATTTTCATGATGATCTATCGATTTTCATGATGTCGGATAATTTTTCACCGAAATATCGTGTCTGACCTGACGTTTTACTCTATTAGCTATATTGTGCAGCTCGTGCTCACTCTACAGGTTACAATTCTTTACAGATTCTTTTGATTTTTATTTTGTATGTCAATGTCATTATGAAGATGATCCCTATCGATTTTCGTGATGATCGGATAATATTTCACCGAAATATCGTGTCTGACTTGACGTTTCACTCTATTAGCTATATTAAAAAATTTTGTGGAATTATTCAGCATAAATAATTTCTTCAATATGAGAAAATTCGTACTTTAGTCACTAAAGACTGTATTATTATTTCTGACAGCTGCCAGTGGGCGTATGTTACCTTGCAACGCAAGCTATCTTATCAAATTTTAAATTACCTAATGTAATAAGTGAAAATGCTACACTTATTAAGACTATTCTTTGCAGATGCCAGACATATGAAGGAGGGTTTTCAGGAGCACCAGGGTTAGAGGCACATGGTGGTTACTCTTTCTGTGGTATAGCAGCTCTACTTATTCTGAATGCAACCAAACATTTTGACATCAAAGCTTTATTGGTAAGTATATTTACCATTGATTTAGTCTACCAGACCATCTTGTATCTATCTTGATAATAGCTTAACTGTGGTAACTTAATCAGCTTTACTTTTAAGATTATGAGTATAATTTGTTTTGTCAATTACCAAACCTTCTTCATTTCATTAACCAATGATTAAAGTTTTCAGGCTTCGTTCATTTTTGTCAAAAATGTTTGAATGTAGATAATTCCTTCTTTATGAAGGTATACTTTCTGTGTGACTGTTGTTTATATCGCATTACCTGTCAAATAAGCAATTATGTATTTCAGCGCTGGACAGTAAATAGACAGATGAAATATGAGGGTGGTTTTCAAGGTAGAACAAATAAATTGGTGGATGGCTGCTATTCATTCTGGCAAGGTGGAGCTTTACCATTGATACACATGGTATTATGTGCTGAAGGTAGGCTTTGGCTAATTTTTATACCATACAGATACTTTCAAAAACATAATATGGTGAAGATGGAACACAGGGATATCATTTAAGAGTTTTAATTGAGGTTTTCTGTCAAAAAAGAAATCTGTGTATTCATTTGTGATTCTGGGGTCTTTAGCTTAGTGAAATTTCATTTTGTTTTCTAGAGGATCCAGCTGTCAGTGCTAATTCCTGGTTATTTGACACATCAGCTTTACAAGAATATTTATTAATATGCTGTCAACATCCAAATGGTGGTTTAATAGACAAACCTGGAAAGTAAGTCAAGTAACAAGAGCCTGAATTTACTTGACCTTTACTGGGTAACTTTTGAAATAGAAAGAACATTTCCTAGGAATATATACACATATATTAATCATAGCTTCTTTCATTGAAATAGCTTGTAAATTGGATTTGAGGTTAATAAAAAAAATTGCATTGTGTGGTCGAAGGGAGATAATTTGTAAAACATGGTTATTTCCCTTGGATCGTTATCTTCTGCTTCCCCATATATAATCACTTTTGTACTTTATTTTCAGAACCAGAGATTATTATCATACTTGCTATTGTTTAAGTGGGTTATCTGTAGCTCAACATTTTACTAGTGGTCATTTATATCACACGAAAGTTGTGGGTAGTCCAAAAAATGCAGTTGTAAGTTTATTTTAATTGCTTCATTATTGGATCTTAGTTTCAGAAATATGCTAAAGGGATATAGATGTGTAAATATCAGCTGATCTGTACATTTTCCGAATTGAATCTTGGATTCTGGTTCTCCAATTAGGTTGTGTAGAACATTCAGAATATAACATTTAATGTGAAAATAACGCGCACAGGAAAGGCATTCTGAACTGTCTTGTCAAAGAGTTCCCAAGCGGTATTCACTAGTCAACCCCCATGTGTTCTTAAGAGTACAGAACATTCTGGATGGCTTGTAATGAAAACCTGACCATGCTTTTTGTTATGTTTTGTAGAGAAGTATTCATCCAGTCTTCAACATTGGTGTAGAAGCTGTTGTTAAAGCAAAAAGTTATTTTAGTCATCAAGTTCCAGTACATAAAGATAATGGAAAGACATCTTGAAAAATAAATTTATCATTCCCAAAACCTTCTTCCAAGTTATTGTGTGTGTTTCATGGCTAGGTTAACAAGATGGTTTTTATGGTATTACAACAACCAAAGACAAGTGCAAGGTTTTTCTTTCATACTGTCCATTGTATTGTTTACATTCTTAAATTTGTGCAATAAAGTACTGTCATGGCCCAAAAATCATCTGACATGGCAGAGATCATTGTTGTTGTTTATCTATTAGTAGATGAGCATGGTACATGCATCTTCACAATGTCAAGCTATTACAAACTTTGTACCTATACATTGACTGCAATAGTTCATTGCATCATGGAAGGTTGTAAAGTAGAACCTATTACAAGCCTCAACAGTACGTCTGTGAACATGAAAGCAAAATGTTAACAGCCTTTCTGTCAAGAGCTCTGATTGGCTGTATTACCTTGCATACAATCCAATCAAATCGCTCCATTTCATTTTACAAGAATAGTCTGTAATACAGTTAAGATATAAGTTCGTAATAGCTAGACATTGTGAAGAGGGTTCCACTTTAGATACTGTCTTGTTATTTGTTTGTTATTATGTATCTATTTTTTAAGCATGTGAGTAAATAAAAAGTAGACAAAAGGAAAAATCATATAAGTAAAGGACATTTTTCCAAATCAATATAAAATCAGGTTTATTTAATAACTTTGATCATTGTCCATGTATGTCTCATAGTAGTCCAATGGATTTAAAATCTCGACTTTTTTCTTATTTAAGTCTAGATGAAAGTTAGTCTTTAAAGTAATAATTGAATGTACAAGAAGTCATAAAAACTAGATCTGTTCATATCCATTATACTTTGCTAACTGATGTACTTATTGGTGAGGTACATGGAAATATTTTCAGGGGCCAGTTTCACTTAAATGAATGAGAGTTTTGTAATAGATTGTTGTAAGAGAAACAATATTTCAGATAACCTGATTGTTTTCTATTAAATGTTATGTGATATTAGAAAGTTTGTATTAGTATAATACTGTATTCAAATAAATCTTACACCAATCATTATTGTATTTTTATTCTGGAATGACTTCAAATATCTTGTCTTTCTTTGACTAACTGCTTTTGAGTGAATGCAGACAAATGCCATATATGTAAAGATGAAAGTCAATATCAATCAAAGGATAAATACTTTGAACAACCTTTAGCACACAGTTCCTTGGTTTATACTTAACAAGACAATGCCATGCCTTTATGTTTAACTTTTGACTTTCACCCATCAACATCTTTGATAAGACGCAATACAAACTAAACCAGGACCTTCACTTTTGAAAAGGACCCTCTGAAATCTCCAATAACAACCCAGCAAACACCTTTTTGATTATCAGATGCTTTATTCCAACATTCATGCCATATAACAAATCTAGTGCATGATGATAGTAAATGATTGATTCAGTGTTTTCATTGAACAGAAATTAAAATCAAATAAAAACATTGTAATAAATTAACAGGAGTCCTAACTGAACATATCACCAAGAAAAGGAAAGGGCTTGTCATTTTCATTCCAAAATAATTAGAACCAAATTATTACCAATTGAAGACTTACATAAAATATTTCTTTCAGCATGAGAAATATCTCAATACATTAACTTCTTTAGGATACTTGAAACATCTACATAGTTGGTATAATAGATCTTGTTCATAAATATATCAAAATATACACATCAAATACGTTGCCATATTTTTTTTCTTTGATTTTACAAAAATAAAAGGCAACTCAACAATTTTAGGCTCTATTTGAGACATGATATTTCCAATTTCAAGATACCCTTGATATAGCTTTTAACTTTCTATTGTTATTTCTGCTGAGAATCCACAAGGATACAGGCATCAAATTAGATCTGAAAGTTATTAATAATCAAAATAAAGGATTACTCAAGATAGAATAACTAAGCAAAATTAATAACAGTTTGTATCATTTTTCATGATAACAAAATAAAAATATAAATATACTTTGTTCTATCTTTCAAAATGGGACAAAAAAGGATAGAAGTTGAATCTACATTTAGGCATTCTAATACATTGATGGTAAGTTGTCAGCTAAACTTTTCTCAAAATGATGATGTTACACTCACTCTTTCAAGCCAAGCATTTGAAACCATTTTTAATGAGCATTTTGCTCAACTCTTCTGATAAAGAATATATTTCTAAAGCATACCAGTCATAAAAAGCATTGGTGATGATTTTACACAACTATGATAAAAATATTTGGTTAAAATTCAACACGATGAATGGATGCTCCTATAGCCATGCACAGAGATCTTATTTTTGTAGGTAGTAAAAAGGACGAGTATAGATTGTGCATGGTTTCAGATAATGATAATATAGATGCTGATATAATTATAATATATAATAATGGTAAATGATGACAAAAGTATATCTATAAAACAACTCCCATCTCTGTAATAATTAAGAACTTTACATAGAAATGACTCTAAATTGACATCCCCACTTCATTTGCTGCCTTAAACATTCAACTATGAGTCGTTTCAACTAGCTGAGAGCTTTAATTTCTTACGATGACTACCATTAATATCTATAGATTCTGAACTACTTGTATCAGTTTCTTCTGAGATACCATCAAATGAAACTGTCTCACCATTGGTAGATGTCTGAGCATACTGTCCGGTATTCTTTGCTTTCTCTAAAGCTCGGACTGAATAAAGAAATAAATGTTCTAATGTGAATCCAAAAACTTCCATTACACTGAAACTTTGTTTCACTTCTAAAACAAATTCACAAAAAATAAACCTGATATTTTTGTGGCAAAAAAGTGCATTTATTTCCCTAAGAGCGTCGTTCACTTGAAACCTAGGACAAATTTTCATCAGAGAACATTTTGCAAAATGGAGGCCTGGAAAAATGTTTCACAATCTCTTTCAAATCATCTTACTTTTTCAAATAATCTTACTTTGTTTTTCTAAAATACAGTTTTGTTTTTTCAAATCTTCAATATCTTGTTGATTCCCCTGATTTTTTTTTCTCATAAACTGGATATAGTCGGATGCTTTCTTTAATACTTGAGCTCGGGATACCTACAAAACATAAGTTGATCAAAAATGCATACATGTTGATACTGAAGTTTAATAAAAGAACTATCAGATCATCTTAATTACTACATTAATACAACTATTTCTGGCATTTTTATAACCTCAATCAATCATCTTCTTCATCAAATAGCAGGAAATTTGAGTTTGGTTATTATTCTTTGGCAAAGGTCTTAACAATAGAACTTGGCAATTGCAGATGACAAATTGTATGTATTACTAAGCTTAACAAGTTACCTTTTCTCCTTGTAAAGACGGAACAGAATCTCTCAAACTGTGGAAACTCCCCTTGATGTGATCTCTCCTCTTTCTCTCTAATGCATTATGATGTGCTCTTTTCTCAGTCTACAAAAAAAAGAAAAGGTCTTCAAAAAAACTTTCAATTATATGGAATTGTTTCCCCTATACAGATACATCAGACTGTGAATCCTGCTCTAGCATCATTATTGAATTAGCAGTGGTATTCTCTTTGGATTAATATTACTGGTTTGTTATTAGATAATTATTTGGCACTATTGCCAAACCAATCATAACCACTGTAGAATTCAAATTTACCAGTAGAAGACTTCAATGGTATAAAATAATTTCTACTTATTACAAACTATCAAAAAAGTAAACTTCCTAATAAATTTATCACTTGAATGAAGAACAAAAAAGCATAAGTCCATATGAATTGATCACTAAATTGAAACAAAAATATTTTTAATACTAAAGTTAGCATTAACTCAGAAAATAAAAGCAAGCTACTCAGGTAAACATAATAAATTGTGTATTTAGTCTGTCATAGAGTTTAGAGAAAACCAATCATTCAATATATTATAATTCACCACAATTACACTTATATCAGGTGACCTTTAGCCAAATTAAAATGAGACATGCTTACTCTATTCCTTACAATTGTATTCATAACAATTATTTTATAGTAGATCAAGTCCAAATTGGTCCACTTCTCAAAATTCATGGAATAAGTTGAAATATGAAGAAACTATAGCATTTTCAATAGGAAGATCACAGGGATTTATGTATTCAGAAAGTACTCAAGAAATAAAGACGTTTACCAAATATCATCAAAATAGTTTAAAAACTAAAAAAGACTGAGCATTTATGAAAAACCTTGACAATAATGCTGACAATATCGAAAGACTTAAGCATATTAAAATTCAAAAACAAAACATAACTTTATATTCATACTTTAAGATTCAAGCAGCATCTTAGATTATGATACCAACTAGAGGACTATCAATCAAAAGAAGTCCACAAATTAAAAAACCTCTGTAAGTACTATATCATTCAACTTTAAATATAGACTAATCTACCTATACCATCTGGTAAATAGTACAACGAAATGCAAATCTTTAGACAGTTTACTCCAAGTCTAAAGCCATCCAGGCTCATATAGATCTATCTTATATCGAAGTAATACAAACCAATGGATTGTGTCAGAGAAAAATTCAGAATTCAGTTTAATAATAAGAAGTAGAAATACATTGATTCTAATTCGTATTTGCCTTATTGTTTATTTTTAATTTCTAACAATGTCTATAATGTATAGATATATTAGAAGTACAAAGGACATGTGTTATATGACTTAACTATATATCAAAAGTTTAACAATAGCACATGTTAATAATGCTTGAACATTCTACTCTAGAAATATTACATAGAATGTTGATAAAGTTCACATAAAATACTATATATCTATACTATAAATAATTTATAATAGATTAATCAACTTAATTCTGGTGCATCTCCTTGCATTTTTATCCTAAAATCTTAAAATCATAAATCTATCTGTTCATATATTGTGTCAATTTAATTGGTCATGCCAACATTTAATCAAATATGTCTCACTAAAAGATACTTTACATTATGCTTTCATTTGCTGCTCTTTCAGACTCAATACCATATATCAAATCAGGTCCTATCAAAAGTTTGTAAAAGTTGAAGAGGCCTGAAGATGTGTAAAATTATCTTTACAAAAAATGTATTAGGTACCGGTATGTGAGCCTAGAAGTTCTAAATGATGATTTATTGGAAATAAATGACAAAAACTTGAAAAATATTAGATCTATACTAGTAATAATGGAACTAAGAAATATGTAACTCAATGAGTACTAATATTATGTCAACTTTGTTTTTAACTCATATATCTATATCGCTTATTAAAGGGCTATTTTTATACATATAATATCCAGAATGGACTTGTCATACGTTTGACAGGTTTAGCTATTGGCACGCGCTTGGGTCAATAGTCACGTGGTAGCCAATAAATGTGTTTTTGACGTTCCATAACAAACCAAGCATGCTCATCTGTCAAAGACAAACTCTGTCAGAATTTTCCACACACAAGAATTTGCAAAAGTACCCATGTGCATGAACGATGAAAATAATCTCATTTGCAGTTACCTGACTAGCAAACTGGCTTGATGATGCCGAATTTGAACCGGATTGGGAGATTCCACTTACACTATCAACATCATCAAAATCTTCCTGAAAAGGAACAGAAATCCATTATTTGTAGCTCAATATCTCAGCAAATATAGCATCTACAAAAATGAATTTGGGTTTAAAGTATAGAGCATAAAACCGTCTAAAACTTACATCACTTTCAACATCGACTTCCCTGTCTTCATCGCTCATCGTGCGATCAAAGCCCATACACCAACCAGCTACTGAACAACCCGAGCTCCCAATATGGCGACTACACAACGCCACGCGGTCAAACCACGTGCTGTACGAGGGCTGTCAAAATGAAAATATCATCTAAGAGTGAAAATTTCAGTCCCAGAACAGAGGTAAAAGATAGGGAATGAAGGAAATAGACAAGAATGTATTCTAATGTGCATAATTTTGGCTTGGAATTGTATTTTTGGGCATAAATTATTCAATGACCTTGACCACATCTATGTTTTGATCTGATAGGTCAAAGTTCATAAGTGTTAGTCTCTTTTACCTAGTCGTATGAAATTGCCATGCTCTTTGATGTTTTGACAATCACGACTTAAACCTACATTATTCAGGGGACATTACTCTAATTATGCAATCATTGAATTCCTTTTCTTGCGATTTTGAAAATGCTCTGAAGTTCAATTAATTCCAATGAATAATGGAATGTCATGGGCGCAGCATGTACCACCAATACCACTGCCCTTAATGGAAGTGTGACATCGTTAAATGATAATGTCAACATTATCAAAATATTACTAACAGGTCCAAGTAAATGTGGTATGTGATTTTTGTTGACTTTTATGTGGCTGTTAAGTATTTTAGTGAGTATTGCCAACTTATATGAAGGCATGCCACCATAATTTACGATTTGTAAAGAAAGTTGCTTTTACGTCTTTCAATAAGAGATTTAAAATTATATGGACTCGAGATTTAAAAATTGATATACATGATCAAGTTGTAGTTAGGTGTAGGGAAGGCTTTCATTATATTTTCTAAATCTAATCAATCTTTTTCAGGCAAATCTTACCTTTTATCAAAATGGCTATATGGATTTGAATCTGATGATGTAAAGGGATCGAATGACTTCAACATGAAAAAGGTCACATCAAGAACTGGTCAAGTATTTACTGTATGGGAAATCTCTTCCAAACCAAATTTGAAGTCTATTCGCAGGAATATGTTTTATGGAACACAAGGTATATTTTAAGTACTGATTCATGATAGACCACTGTCTTGATGCCAATTTCCCACTCATTATACAGCTTAGGCCCCATTAATAAAAGTTTCTTCATTTTGTTAGTATTATTTGGTTGAAGGGATTTAAAAATCCAGTCCAGTTGAATGAAAAAGATTCAAAACATATCACAAGCTGTTCACTTTATTATTAGATAGCAATGAACACAATATCAGAATGGCTTGTATTTTTGCCTAAAGGTAAACAAGACTATCTGTCTTTTTGTTATTTAAGGACTCATGCATGTTACTATAGCGGCATTCATAAATTCAGAAATATACACCATAAAAATGTAATTTTTGCTTCAAGGAATGGTGTATGTTGTAAGAAATATTGAAGAAAATAAAGAATATTGGATGGAGGTAGAAAAAGATATAAATTCTTTATTACTTGAGCCTGAATTAAAAGATATACCAACTTTAATAGTTTTAAATCAATCACAAACAAGTATGTTTTTATAGCTTATAAATTAATAAAATAATTATTATTATAATAATCAATACACTGTAATTCTTTTTTGGTTTAATTTCATATGCAAATGTAAGACAGTATAGTCAGAATAAGATGAGTTTCTAATGTATAAATATTATAGCATTTAAAAGATTGTAGAGTGTTGTTTATAAACTGTTCATGTGTATCGGTATGACTGATAGCACCACAGATGTCTTATTGAAAATCAATGCCATTAGTGAAATTGAAAGACATAAAAAGTTGTTGCACCTTTGCATACTTCTTACATATTTTTGTAACTATAAAAATAATGAATATCTATTTATTCTTAAAGATTGTACTATTTCAGATGGAATACTAGCCAATGAAGTAAAATCAAAAATAAATCTACCAGCTGATGTAAATAGGAAATGGAGTTATTATGAAGTCCACAGTGAACAGTCAGAAGAAATAGACAACATATTGATGACCCTAGAATCTCTTTTAAATCCCATTGAAATACATGTTGATGCAAAAAGTTAACAGAAAAGTTGATATGAAAAATTTATATCCAGACAAGATCTTTTAATTCAAAAGCTTGAAAGTATCGCTATAAAAAATAGTGACCTTTGGACCTTAAATTTTTCATATCATTAAAAATCATATAACCAATTCTTATATTCCGTCCAATATCATCTTTATACAACTGTTAGTGCCTAATACTTCTTGTTTTATAATCACATTTTTGTATAAAAACAAAAATTCTCTGTTAAATACATGTAGTGCTAAATACATCAATTATAGAGGGATATAGTATATGTAAATATATTAATGTTGAGATATAGATCTATGTTATATATAATTGTTGTTATTTTTTTATCATGTAGTTAAAATCATAATTAACTTTTTAGTTATTGTTTTATTAGCTCTTTGTTTATTTTTTGTTTATATAGTGCCAAAATTTAAATGTATTATTTCACTCAAGGTTTTAAATTTTATTTATTATATATTTAACAGGTTGTAACGATGTTTTATAACTTTATCATAAGCATCTGGACCATTTTGGCTTTTATTTGCATTGTTCCCATTTTCCCTCAAATGTATATGGGTCCTGTAGGTAAAGAAATGCTTAACCCATGCTATGGGTATCCTCAAAACACATAAAAAACCTCTTTACAATCCCTTTCACCACTGAAGAATGCTCATTGTTTGGGGATTTCAAATCTGCAAACAAGACCTACCTCTCAGAAAACTACAGCATTAGTTTTGGCTGTACAACGTAATAGATCTACAATTATTAGCACTTTTCAGATGCAGAAACAAAATTATAAACTTCTTAAAGAGTCTTGTTAGACTCTCATTACAATAGCTTTCATAATTAGAATTTGTCCAGATTATTCAATAATCAAAAGTTTGTAATTGATAAACACGTTGTCCTTTCTTTAATAAAAATCCTTGATTATTGAGAGAACTGATAAAACCCTCAAAATCTGTCACTAGAATATTGATATCCTGAAATATAAAACAATGAAACTAGTCATAATCATAATTTAAAATAGAAATTAAATGAGGTGTCTACAGTAAAATCAACAACACAACCACTCCGTTATATTTCCAAGGGTATCGAGTGTGATGCTATATTACCTTTGGAATGATAATGAACTGATTGTGTTTATGTTGAGTATGATCCTCCTGTTCAATTATATTTACCTACCAAAAGTACAATTGTATTGTTACATTTAAAGAACTTCAAATGAAATGTGTTACCCAATGTTTTTTCATATGGTTAGGATAATAGGCACAGTAAAATAGAGTGTGTTTCCTGAACAATGGGCATTAGTATGAGCTACTACAATTGTGCAAAAGAATACATACCTTAGCTATTTGTCTGATCTGATCTACTGTAAATATAGAATTATAAGTTTGTTCTGCTATACGTTGTAAAGCAGCAATGAATTTCTTGGGCTGAAATGAGATATATTGTTAAATTTAATCAGGTTGACATCAGGTATCACAAGTAAAACACAGTGTGATAAAATATTTAATATTTGTTATGAAATGAAACCAACTGGCTGAAAAGAAGAGAGATTGAGTGCAAATTTGATACCAGCCTATTTTCCATTTCCAATGATGAGGTGCTCAGTCTGTAGCACAATGGGCCTAGGTTTATTGTCAAATGGAAACGATAGTCCTTTAGCAACCCTGTCACCCAATTATGCCAACAGAATCAAACTCTAGGTTTGTGATTAGGGTTGATGAAAGGTAACAAGTAACTATTCAACAGAAGGCACTGGCACAGGTTTAAAGCAGTGTTCATTATTGTTAAGGCTAGTATGTTAAAATGGAAATTTGTAGTACTAGTGAAAAGGTTTAAAACCTGTGGAGAAATTGCTAATGACTGAATACTGTATTTGAATATTAAAATATGTCAGTTTTCCTAGTAATATCTTTACCTTTGAACGCCCACTCATACCAGAGCCATGTTGAGATCTCTGAAAATCTATACAACCAAACTGATCAGAAAAAGTTTCAAACATACTGAAATAGATAGTATTAAGATGATGTTGACCAACTCAAGGTCTAAGAGTGAAGTTGAGCGTCTATGATGTCACTGCGTTTAGCATAATTGTCATTTGTCTGCCATTCACGGTCCTACCAAAGCCCCATGAGCACAGTTTACAACAAAATATTATAAAATAAACGCTAATTTTTGTTATAGCCACAAGTTATCTTGTTTACAGTCTTTAAAATGTTTAACACAAGACTAGCAAACTACTATGATGATGTGAGCATTTTAAAATCTTGACCATATTGTACACAGCAAAGGGTTCCAATCCTTGTTGATGCACCAATTGATCAATAAGTTCTGTTAGTGCAATTTGCGCCTGCCAATGGTATAAATTTTTGACTCAATTCAAGCATAACCTTTAAAATTTCAGTCTTTACTTATAAAAAGTTGGAGTAGAAGTCATTCATGTTCTTAACAGTTAATTCTTAAGTCTCTTGTTAATACATGTCAATCTCACCTATATTTCATGATCTCAACAACTTGTTCAGCATCAGATTGAGTTGCTTCTTCTCTTAATTCTAATCTAGCTCTGGCTTCTGTGAGTCTAATTAATGATTCTAATTGTCTAGTTGTTATAGGTGTACTGTCTTGACTTTGATGTTTCTTACGTAAATTTAAATAAAATTCCTACAAGTGTAATAAATCACAATCCAATTACTAAATTACGATTTCGTTTCTTTTGTTTCATATATTTTGTTTTTGTCGCCATTGTAATCTAACAAGTTTTCTACCAGTCTTGTTCCAATGTGATATTCTGACCAATCCAGGCGTGTCATATAGGACCCTTTTCATGATGACATAATGAATTAAGGGATAGTGAAACCAAAAGTAGAGCAATCTGACATCATCTTCTGGTCTTGTATGACAATAGGAAAATTTAAGTTTTTGAGAAACTGAGATTTATTTTAGATTAACATACTCAAGAATTTATCAATATTTAATAGTATTAATGAATATACCTGCAACACCTTAGCAGCTTCACTACCAATTTTAGGATGTACATACTTCCTTGCATAACCAATATACTACAATAGAAAACCTTTTGTTATTATATCAATAAATTATTTCTTGCAATATGGTAACTGAACAAACTTCTGACAGCTCTCAGGTGAACAAATCTGAGGACATAAATATGGCATGGTGTAAAGTATATGAATTTTCTGAAAAGAATTGATCAAACTATCAAAGAAAAAGGGAGTAATTCCTGAATTACTGACACCACCTTCAGAGTGATTCTTGACCACAATTTTGGAAATAATCATACCTTTCTAAGTAACTGGTTTGGTATTGGATCAAAAGCTTCTGTTTTAGGTATTTTTAATTTCTCACTGAGTGGTTTATCAGCCTCCCATTGTAATCTTGATTCATCTAAATTTTCCTGTAATAAACAGGTTAAGATCTTATCTTGAAAATCTAATTTTCATCTGAGTAAATGTTTTTGAAACCTGTTTATGATAAATAATGCTTAGTTCTGACAAATGTAACATGAAGAGAATCCATATTTAGAACTCTGATTGGTTTATGTTATTGAGGTACACCAGGTTACTAACATGACCGAACTTTGTGACAACAAAATTCAGATGTAAGCATCTAATAACAATTTGAGACACACTTACAATTTGTTGTCTTTGAACTGAAACTTTGGTGACAGGCCTACAAATATAGAATTATAAAGTTATTTATATTATTTGTAGTTGTAGTTAAACGTAATCTTGTAGTGCAGATGTTATATGTAAAATATTCCAAAATATTAATCACGACCTTAATTATCTCCCACATCAGAAAGGGATTTTCACTATTTGAGATAGTCAGTTTTCATACATTTCTAGTACTTCTAAAGACTAATTTAATATATTCCATTCAAGACCCAAATCAATCCATGAAACCATGGCCTTTAAAAATCTGAAGAAACTCTTACGACAATTACCAGGAAGAAATCCTGTACCTCCAGATTAGAGAGTGATGATGATACATGCTGAGTTTACATTGTTATGAATACTGTAGAGGATACCTACCTGGTTTTCTTACCAGCATGTAATGACATAACATGATCTGATAGCATACAGTCTAGTTCCTTAAACACAATATAATATCAATATATCTCTAGACAATCTTTTTCAGATTTTGTATCATTTACGGGCTTTAAAGCAAAATTTATAATATCAAAAACGTCTTAAATTATACCTGAAAATATTCATAAAATATGCAATTTAAATCTATATGTATCTACTTGATCATACTGAATTTGTTTTGTTGCTTGGAATCACCAACCCTTATAAAAAAGCATCTTACCTCATCTGGATTATCTAACAAAATAAATACCAAATCAAATCTTGAGAGTAGAGCACTTCCCATTCTACAAATCAAACAAAACCACTAAATTCTTTTCTTTCACTGTCACATCAGTTTGTTTTGCTTGTCATTAAAGAGATTGTAAAGATGTTCTCGCAACATTTTATTTGTTATTTATTTTAGCCATAAATATCCCCGATACACATAAAAAACCTAGAAAACCTCTTTACAACCATTTTAATTTTTTTCATTTATTCTAAGATCTAGAAATCTAATCAGATTATACAACTTACTTGAGATTTTCTGAAACAGTTTTTCCTTTATTATAATGACCACCAACAGGATTAGCTGCTGCTATTATAGATGTTCTAGCTGGTAAACTGTAATATATAATACAAATAGCTATTTTAGTACTTTGTATAAGGTTATTCTACATTAGAAATTAGATTAATGTAGGTATAAATGATAATATGAAAATGAAATATATTCTGAATATCAAAATCTAAAATATCTGACTATCAAGAAATGTTTTAAAATATCTGAATTAAAAAAAAAGATAATAGGAAAATTTCTTTATGAACAATATGATATATATGTAGGAAAAGTAAGTTACTTAATCTCTGAATGTAAAAGACAAAGGATAATATATCATTCTGAACTGCAATAACAGTTTGAGTAAATAATATTCATTCAATTCCCAAACCCCAGTCTGTCTAAATAGATTAATAGAAAAGATCATACCTGCAAACTATACCAGCCTTGGCAATACTAATACTTTGTTGTTCCTTTAAAAGACAAAAATAACAGAAAATAAGCAAATCAAATGGAATTCTGTAATTCAAAAGAGCATGTGAAGATTTTATGTATCTTTTGTGACTCTATTTCATACCATCTCTCTATTTCCTTAATATATCAATCTTACGTGGTCAACTGGTCATCCTTGTTGAAACAATACTGGGTATTATGGCAAATTGTTGAACTAATTTCGTTCCTACTGAGGATAAAATAGATATATATAATAGTGAAATGATCTTACCATAGCTTCCAGTAATGCCTGATGTTGTGAGGTCATTTTATCAAATTCATCAATACAACAACATCCCTGATCAGATAACACCAAGGCTCCAGCTTCTAATGCATAGTCACCAGATCCACTATCTTTAGATAATGTCACCTAGAATAATCACCGGACTTCAGCTTATACAATCACCATAAATAATGTCTAAGTAAGTATATTTAGATAATGTCATCTAAAATAATCATCAGGGCACTATCTTAAGAAAATGTCATCTTAAATGGTCACCAGATCCACCATCTTTAGATAATGTCACCTAGAATAATCACCGGACTTCACCTTATACAATCACCCTAAATAATGTCTAAGTATATTTAGATAAAATGTCATCTAAAATAATCACCAGGTCACTATCTTTAGATAATATCATCTAAAATAGTCACTAGAACAAGTATTTTAAGATAATGTCATCTAAAATAATGACCACAACCATTATCTTAAGAATACTAAAATAATCACCAAGGCACTATCTTAAGAAAATTTGATCTAATATAGTCACCAGGCCACTATCTTTAGATAATATCATCTAAAATATCACTATGTCACTACCCTAATCTTCAAGTAAAAACACCATTTTGGTGCCTCTGCTGTGCCATGTCAACTAACAAGGACTGTTACATTATCAGATAAATACCAACCGTAAGACCTGTAGTAGTTGTTGTATTACCGCAAACATAAACACTTCTTGGTGCTATATTAGATACAGCTTGTAACATCTATAAAACATCAAAATATTGTTTAAATAAATCAAAAATTATAGAAAACTAATACTTATTGATATTGCCCCTTTTTACTAGTAATTTGACACTTATTGCTTTGCTTTTTTCTGCTCTTTCCTTATTTCATGACTTTCCATCTTTATCCATAATTCAAAAAAATATACAGTAACACCATAATATTCAAAATCAAATGTGGTAAATTACTTTTACCTGACTTTTGCCTAAACCTGGATCACCAACTATCAGTATATGAGGATCACCACGAACTGGTATTCTATTCTGAAAATAAAACACAAAACAAAGAATAATAAATATCAGTTTGAAACTTGTACAGCAGTATACAACTTAAATATGTTTTATAGAAAACGTGTTGGTATAAAATGAATTACCTATTCTGAACCAAAGAGACCTATTTTTTCAACCAATGATATCATCCATTGGACAATTTTAAGCCTAATCTAAAGAAGTCAACACAACATACCTTATCATTAGTATATTTATTAGAACCACCAAATAGTGTTAAAACTAAACCAGCCTTTACCATCTGTAATAAATATACTACTTTGTTATTTATTTTATATCCTAGAGCTGCCATGGTGGCTTAGTGAAAAAAACAATCACATATTGACAACATTCCTGAATTCCAATATTCATAGAAAAAAAATTGATAATGATTTGAAATTTCTATTGTGTAGCTAGATACTGACTACATGTAAACCACCTAGCACTATAACAAACAATAAGAAATAAAGCCTCTTTACAATCCATTTTTTCCACCGTGAGGTACAAAACAGCAAAATAGCTATCAAAGCTTATATTTATATAAGAGGCATCATTAGATAACATCACATACATCTTACCTCATGACCATAAATTGATGGACAAATTGATCTGAAACATAGAAAAACAAGATGGTTTAAATCTGAATAAGTTTTTTCTGAAAGGATTTCTTTTAAAAATAAAAGACTATAATTGAATGACACCAGAATTTTTATCTTGAATAAAAATGTGAACATAAGGTCAAATTCTATTGCTTTTCAAGTATTTCATAAAAAGGTTGAAGGTTTCGATGACTATGAATCCTGATGCTCCTTGGTTAACCTTTGATTGACTTCCCAGAAATTCAGACCTCTGTAGTAACCAACTTCATGAAAACTAAATACTAAAACTATACATACCCTATCAATAATCTAAAAAGATTTTCTTCACTTTGTATTTCTTCAATAGCATATAATTCTTTCATAGAAAAATCCATTGCTAAACCATTGGAACTTTCATTTTGATTTGATTTATTATTTCCCTTTAAATTAGTGACACTATTAACATGTAGATATAATAAAAACATACATTTATCTTTACTTCTACTTCTATCTACAAATACACATATAATAATATTTATTGATCATTATAATTTGCCTTGTAACAATGATTTCACAAAGTGTTACAATTTTCTAAAGTAAAGTTTTAAAAAGTTAAAATTCATCATTTTTATGGGCCTAACTGTCTGAAATTCCATTTTAGATACTGGTAATTTGCATACAATATGTTCCCATAATGTCTGACACAGATAAAAAAAAAAAAAAAAAATTAACCTCAATGACAGTTTGTCAACAAAAGTTCATTATTATATGCAAATGAATCAGGTATAAGTTATCACAAAAAAGCTTACTTTCTTCAACATTATTGACTTTAACAATACCAGTAACAGTAACAATATCACCAGGTACACAAGTATCAACTAAAAATATAAATTTACAGTAACAATATCACACTGTACACAAATATCAACAAAACTAATAAAGTTACAGTAACAATATCACCAGGTACACAAGTATCAACTAAAAACATACAATTTACAGTAACAATATCACCAGGTACACAAGTATCAACTAAAAATATAAATTTACAGTAACAATATCACACTGTACACAAATATCAACAAAACTAATAAAGTTACAGTAACAATATCACCAGGTACACAAGTATCAACTAAAAATATAAATTTACAGTAACAATATCACACTGTACACAAATATCAACAAAACTAATAAAGTTACAGTAACAATATCACCAGGTACACAAGTATCAACTAAAAATATAAATTTACAGTAACAATATCACACTGTACACAAATATCAACAAAACTAATAAAGTTACAGTAACAATATCACACTGTACACAAATATCAACAAAACTAATAAAGTTACAGTAACAATATCACACTGTACACAAGTATCAACTAAAATTATAAAGTTACAGTATCAATATCACACTGTACACAAGTATCAACTAAAATTATAAAGTTACAGTAACAATATCACACTGTACACAAGTATCAACTAAAAATATAAATTTACAGTAACAATATCACACTGTACACAAATATCAACTAAAATAATAAAGTTACAGTAACAATATCACACTGTACACGAGTATCAACTAAAATTATAAAGTTACAGTAAAAATATCACACTGTACACGAGTATCAACTAAAATTATAAATTTACAGTTACAATATCACACTGCACACAAATATCAACTAAAATCATAAAGTTACAGTAACAATTTCACACTGTACACAAATGTCAACTAAAATTATAAAGTTACAGTAACAATATCACACTGTACACAAATATCAACTAAAATCATAAAGTTACAGTATCAATATCACACTGTACACAAATATCAACTAAAATAATAAAGTTACAGTAACAATATCACACTGTACACAAATATCAACTAAAATAATAAAGTTACAGTAACAATATCACCAGGTACACAAGTATCAACTAAAAATATAAATTTACAGTAACAATATCACACTGTACACAAGTATCAACTAAAATTATAAAGTTACAGTAACAATATCACACTGTACACAAATATCAACTAAAATCATAAAGTTACAGCAACAATATCACACTGTACACAAATATCAACTAAAATCATAAAGTTACAGTATCAATATCACACTGTACACAAATATCAACTAAAATTATAAAGTTACAGTATCAATATCACACTGTACACAAATATCAACAAAAATTATTCTAGTATTTGAGAAGAGAAGACAGTATTTTTTGGTTTTGCCATATATTCATGCACATTTTGGACATATACTAACTTTTAAACTCTTTGTCAAATTTGAATTTCTTTGTTAAAAATTAAAGCTTCGGTTAAAACAATAAACAAGTCAATCCCCTTGTTAATCTTACCTAAATCATATGTTAAATCACAATCAATGGTTCGAGGTATTCTTCCTGATTCCTTCTGATCATCACTCATTATTTCTTGTACCCTTAAAATCACAATTTTTTTAAAATTAATTTAAATAATACAAACCAAAAACAAATATAATTCAAATAGCATGGCAAACTAGTTCATTAAGATTTAGTGGATACGAAAATGAATGGATTGGATTTTCTGCTTTGTCTTTACCCTTTTTTTGTCATTAGATTACTGAATAGCATTAAAGAAAACTTTACCTGATTGTTTGCCAGTAGAACTAGAAAAATTTGTTTAGTTTTTTGTGATGAAATTAGTAAATATAATCTATAAAGTTTACCTGATAGTTTGCCAAATGAAATTAGTAAATATAACTATAAAATTTACCTGATAGTTTGCCAGATGAAATTAGTAAATATAATCTATAAAGTTTATCTGATAGTTTGCCAGATGAAATTAGTAAATATAAATCTATAAAGTTTACCTGATAGTTTGCCAAATGAAATTAGTAAATATAACTATAAAATTTACCTGATAGTTTGCCAGATGAAATTAGTAAATATAATCTATAAAGTTTATCTGATAGTTTGCCAGATGAAATTAGTAAATATAATCTATAAAGTTTATCTGATAGTTTGCCAGATGGAATTAGTAAATATAATTTACAAAGTTTACCTGATAGTTTGCCAGATGAAATTAGTAAATATAATCTATAAAGTCTACCTGATAGTTTGCCAGATGAAATTAGTAAATATAATCTATAAAGTTTACCTGATAGTTTGCCAGATGAAATTAGTAAATATATAAATCTATAAAGTTTATCTGATAGTTTGCCAGATGAAATTAGTAAATATTTAAATCTATAAAGTTTACCTGATAGTTTGCCAGATGAAATTAGTAAATATATAAATCTATAAAGTTTATCTGATAGTTTGCTAGATGAAATTAGTAAATATATAAATCTATAAAGTTTATCTGATAGTTTGCCAGATGAAATTAGTAAATATATAAATCTATAAAGTTTACCTGATAGTTTGCCAGATGAAATTAGTAAATATATAAATCTATAAAGTTTATCTGATAGTTTGCTAGATGAAATTAGTAAATATAATCTATAAAGTTTACCTGATAGTTTGCCAGATGAAATTAGTAAATATAATCTATAAAGTCTACCTGATAGTTTGCCAGATGAAATTAGTAAATATAATCTATAAAGTTTACCTGATAGTTTGCCAGATGAAATTAGTAAATATATAAATCTATAAAGTTTATCTGATAGTTTGCCAGATGAAATTAGTAAATATATAAATCTATAAAGTTTACCTGATAGTTTGCCAGATGAAATTAGTAAATATATAAATCTATAAAGTTTACCTGATAGTTTGCCAGATGAAATTAGTAAATATAATCTATAAAGTTTACCTGATAGTTTGCCAGATGAAATTAGTAAATATATAAATCTATAAAATTTACCTGATAGTTTGCCAGTCTATAGTTTCTGTAAAACTTGATGATACTTGTGGTATAAATATTCTACCACGACAAAGATTTGATATACACTAACAAAAACAAAATATAATATTTATATAAATATTCAAAATTTTGAATCAAATGCCTACAATTACAACAAATTTACAGCAAATCTACCTGAATTATGCAACAAGTTTGTTCTTTCTTCTTACTGTACAACAATGCTTCTTATAAATTAAGAGGGCTGTTTTTATCAACAGATAGTTATCTAGTAACTAGACAAATTTCAAAGCTACTTACTCTGGTTGGTGTGATATATTTCCCATCTGGTAATGCTAAACACTGAAATATATTTTTGAGAAAGTTTTAAAACTTCTTTTTGGTTTTGGACTACTTATTCTATGAACATTCAAAATGTTTTATTTTGTTAAAGGGACAGGTTTACCATTTTCTTGAATATATGTAAATAGTTTTCAGAAGTGCTAGAAATGTAAGAAAATCATATAATTCCATCAAACTAGGCATTCTACTGTATATTTATATAAATGGTTTTTCTGACAGTCTCAAGAAAAAACTTTCAAATGCAGAAAATTTTGATGGTGAGCTTTGACCACTATAATTGAATGGCTTATTAAAAAAATCAAGTTTCTAAAACAATTGGTCAAACAAATGGCAAAACCCTAACCATCAAAATGGTGAAAAGATTTTAAGACATAGTTACAGAATAACTGAAATACAGGCAATAAGTAATAATAATGTTGCTATATCAAAACCAACTAACCTGTAAAGTACCACAAGTTATACATTCAAAACCCATATTAGTACATAATGGTTTAATATTACTAACACGTACTACAGTTCCTTTTATACATATAAATTTACCTACAATATCAAAATCAATTATTGATGTTCTTCAAAATATTATAACAACTTACAATTTTGACAATGATGATGATGTGATGAAATCAGACGTAAATTATTGGTTGAAGATCGTGATATATGGTAGTTATCTTGATATATCGTTAAATTTTTCTACAGATGAGATCATCTTATAATTTTCTCTTTTTGTTTTTTTCTTACCATTCTAACATCAAAATTTTTTAGATAGAAAAAAATCCATTTTTTATCAAAAACCAGTAAAATCCATACTTTATTAATATAATGATATATACCACTATCATGATATATTAATGCTTAATATTGTCATATCCACTTGAACCAATATTGTCCAGCACCATTACCTGGGCTCCATCTCTTAAAAAATTCTTTAATTTCAATAAAAGACAGACAGATCTTTTGAGAAATACCCTGATACTTACCATAACAATTAGCCTTGACTAATTTTAAAGGGGTTAAAGCCCCTATATTGTGAACTCTAGCATGTATGATAGGTACAGAATATTGTGTTTGCTGGGAAGCAGGTACATCAGACATAGCTTCATCATGTTCTCTTTTACGAAAATTATACACAACCTTAAATTATAATCAAATTCAAGAGGATAACAACTTGACCAGTTGACAACTAATTCTTTCAAGAAAAAAATGTGTATTTTGTTTGCTAAAAAAAAATTTCAGTTTTGATTAGATTTAAAAAATAACTGAATAAACATTATTGGAAAAAATATCTTATCAAGCAAGGTACAATAACATAATATTAGATATTCAGTATATACCTGATGTATTGCTAGTCCTAAACATGCTATTATTTTTTCAGGGCTGTTTCGCAATTCACTAGCCAAACTAGGATAACTGCTGATAATAGCTGTAAATAGAGAATATCAACTTTTTAAATATTTTAATGCATAAAATATCGAAAATATTGTCAAGTTATTTCATTATAAATTTGTAAAGTATGTTGCAAACAATTTTACAGCCAGAGAACCCTAAGTTTGCTTCAGACTAGAGATGATTCATTTACTGGTATTGGTGAAAAGAATTTAGCTACCGTAAATTTCTACTGTTTCAAATCTCAAAAGGCATCATGTTAGTCTCAATAGTGTCACAGCACTCATGTATAATGGTAAGAATAAACATCTATGGAAAGAGTTTTAGGAAACAGATGCTAATTTGAAACAAGCTGAACTAAAATGTCCTTACTTTTGTCTGTTGTCAGTTCTTTAAAATCAACCTTAATAAAACCTTTCACTTCAATATCATCCTGTAAAAACACAACTGTAATGCGCATATGAAACCAAGTATGGTTCTTACATGGAAATACACACACACATGAACATAATTCAAAACCATTTTTAATTTCTTCCTAGACTATTATTATTAAGATGTATTCATATAGCGCATCTTTACCTGAGTGCACTTTAAAACAAAATATACATTTTATAATACATACAAATAAATACATAAAAGACTACAGCTCCAAATGATGGGTGAGAACAAAGTAAGAAGACCAAACACCAACTCACCAAATCATACGAACTAGACCAGCTTACAAAATATTTCTCAAATGTTTGAATCATCTTAACTGAAGGGGAATGGTCTGAATAACCTGAAAATTTTAATGAAACATTTTTTTATCTTGCTCTGAACCTTTATCATTCATAACACCATAGAGAATATAAAAGAAGAAAATGTGACAATTTCTCATCCAAATGAGTAATAACATTAGGTGCTTCAGATATCCAATGAAGGTTAAGGTCAAACATAGGTTAAAATACTATTCAATCAAATTAAGCAACAAAAGCACTGAATGGCCCCACATGTTTTACATTTTACATTTAGCATTCTGTTTCATGAATTATGCAGACCTACCTTCTTCAGGGAAATAGTGTTTCCATCCATTATATGGTGATACTATTTCAATATGAGCTTGAGCTAGTCTTGGTCTGTTGTTTTGTTGTGGATCACCCATAAAACTTAACTGGGAGCTAGCGGGTCCTGAAATAACAAGATCACAAAAAGGTTAACTAAAGCAGAAGAAGACAAAGATTTACAGAATTTTGTTAAAAAAAATATGGCTAAGTTTCAAGCAAGGTAGCTCCAGCGGCTAATTGATATAACCTAAAGGGCCACAGTTCAATCCTATCATATTGCAATAAAGCCTTCCCATTTTTCAACCATGATTTGCCATTTGTCATTGATGCAGGGGATGACATGGAGAAAGTGTCTAGTCGTTCATATGGGATAAAGCATGCACGTCAAAGATCCCTCAACTGATGGAAATAGAAAAAGAGCAGGCTAATGATATTGTCCTGGCAAAGTTTCCCTCATGTAGCACACTTAAGGCATTGCCATCTGCCGACTGTCGTCTGTTTTATTGCTCCTAAGCAGTGCCACCAATCAAGTGAGTATTCAAATAAAAAAATAGGCATTTACACTACCTGTACTAGTTTGATTACTTCCCCTTCCTCGGTTACCATATTGATTGTAGTAACTTCCTCTTCCTCTCCAGTTACCACCTCGACCTCTCCAATTATTATTACCTCTGCCATTTCCACCTCGCCATGACTGGTAACCTCCCCTATTATTCCATTTATTACCACCACCTCGGCCATTCCATTGTCCACTCATGTTATTTGCCAAAACAAATCTCCATCATGACACCTGAAAAAAGCAAATTTTTGCATCATCAGTATTCACTAGGACTACATCACTATTCTGTGATTGTAATCTAGAAGAGCAAAGCCCAACTGGTATATGGCAATGCTTCACACTCAGTCTCATGATATAGTAATAGGCCAATATCAAAGGGCCAACTGTAGCCTGTAACATATCTACCTATTCCAGCCTCTGGTAGATATTTTGACATTTTTCAGTTTGAAAGTATTAGAGGCTGGACTAGCCCCCTGCCCCACTAATAGGGCCTAATCCAACAGCTGTCTGAACTAAATTTCTGTGCCTACTAACATTAGCCTAACGGTACTAATGTTATGATCATATTGAAACTTGACAGCTCTCTCAAATCTGCATATTTTAACAGAAAAATTAGACATCTAAAGCCTTGTATAAGATTAGGCTAGATCATAGTGTTATAAATAGGCCTAGATCTACTGCTCAATCAACCAAAATGCAATGCTTTTTGAGATTAATGACATTTTGCCAGTAATTTTTGTAAATGGATCTAGATAATGGAAAGTCTACTTTCGACTTTTCAATCTAGCATAAAGACAAACACGCTCGTTCGGTTTCAAATAAATTTGTGTAAAAAAAGTTGATTTTACTGGATTTTAACTGTGACTTGTGATTTGTTTACCGCGCCATATTGGAAGGGAGGCAACTATTTTTAACAAAAAGACTACAAACTAAAATGAAGTCAATGGTTGTCATGTTGAACGGAAAGAATGATATGAATGGACATAAAAGTTTAAAGTATCAAACTTGGTCAATTAGAGTAGCCTAGGCCCTTTAGGCCTATACATTCATCAGTTGGATTTACCAGCTGCTATGACTAAAGAATAGAATCTCTAAAAAGTTTAAGATTATAAATTTTGTTGGTCATCCTTAGAAGTAGTATATCTTTAAAGATACGGTCCCAGTCGATTGGTTTATCAACCTATTATTTCAAGGCTTTAAAAAAAACATCTACACCGCATAGCCTATGTACCATTCAGCTTAGAAAAACTACCACGATTGAAAAAAAATCGCTCACAATGAAATAGGGCCTACGTGGGCTGCTTAGGCCCTCAACTGTTGTCATTAATAGCAGCGAAATAAGAATCAGCGTTTTAAAAGGATTCGCTAACTCTTAATCTAGTTTAAAGTTCTGCAAATCTGGTTTGAATCCGAATGAAAAAAAGTGAATTAGTAGGTCAAAGGTCAAATTGACTCGAGGCGCCGCTCAACGGTAAAACCTAGAATTAATAATAGAATAATGATTCGCGCTACTGTTATTTGTTTATATTTTAATGTCTTAAATTGATGATGGGAACAAAGGAGACATTTTGGTGTTAAGAAGACATATAGACCTTCAATTTTAACGTCGAAATTATAGCCCATATCCCAATGTAGGTATGGAATCCTCCGAAGTATAGTTGGGTTTTATTTACCTCCACAAACATGGCGGACAATGAAGACGAAAATGGCTTGATAACCATTCCTACACTTCCTAATGTTTCCGATTCCTTGCATCCTGAATCTGTCATCGTAAATGAGACAGGTGAAGGGAGGGTGATTACTGATGAAGAGGCAGAAGACATTTTACAACAAGCTATACAGGATGCCCAGGAGTTTGGAGAAGAGGCAGTGGCATTATCTTATGTGACAGCAGATGGAGAAACTGATCATACAAATATTGCAACACAAGAAATAGTAAACAATGGTGTGACCAACAGTAATGATGATTTGGTCAGTGTCCAAGAGAATGCTGGATATGATGTAGCGTATGCAGTAGTTTCTGATAATGGTGACATTATCCAAACAGCTGACACCATGTCACTTGATGACAGTGGCATGGACAACATTATGTTGGCATCAGAATCACAGAGCCAAACTCAAGTTGTGACTTTTCAACAAGCACCGTCATCAGATAACACAATAACATTGCAGGCTAATGAATTTGCTAATTCTGTGCAACAGGGTGGGCTAAATGTGACCTTAGTTCCAGCAAACCAGAATAGTGTTGCTCCAATAGGTTCGAGCCAAAATCCAATACGCATTGTGCAACAAGGGAACCAATATACACCAGTGCAACAATTAACAGCAGAACAACTGCAACAAATAATGCATGTTGTACAAGAACAGCAACTCGCTAAATCTGCAGATAGTAATAACGGTTCTAGTATTTTATATAATCCACAAACTAATACCAGAATAGTGTATCGTGTTATTTATCCATCTGAACTCCATAAATCAACCAGTAATTCTTCTACAGAGAATACTTCTATCACAATCGGTAGTCAGACAGGAGTTGATAATACTCAAATTCAACGTAGAGCTTATAAAAAACGTACTAGAGAAGATGAAGAAGACAAGGTTGAGGTTCCAGAATTATCCAAGGAAGAGAAAGAAGAGAGAAAAAAACATCGACCAAGGACTAGATCTGGGCGTGTTTCTAAACCACCTAAACATATGGTTAAAGACTATAAACATATTCATGTGTTAGATTGGGATGAAGATTATGATGATTCTGATGGGGGATATTCTGACTTTAAAATTAGTGATGAAGATAAACGTGGAGCCAAACCCTTAGTGGAAAATGGTGAAAATAGTAGAGATGCTGCAGAAACAGATGGTAACTATACTGTCATAATAACTATATGACAGGACGTCACTATTGCTTTATGACTAAGACTTATTTTATTAAAAACATTTCTAAGCATTCTGTCTCGGTCATGCTATTATCAAAACTCTGTTTTGTTGACATGTTCTGTAGTGGTACGATAAGCACCACCCTTGACCTCTGCTTCCTGTACTGATTCATTGAGAGTCCCTCATTAAATGCTAATGCTTTATTTATTTAAATCAGATAATTAACATATCATATTTTAACAGGTCTCAGTGGAGTAGAACGGGTAAAAAATCATAAATGTGAAACATGTGACAAAGCGTATATTGGTCAAGGTGGTTTGCGGCGACATTATCAACTCAATCCTTCACATGGTTCATTACCAGATGATATAGAAGATGTTGACAAAGGTATGTGTACACTTTAAAGCCAAGGATGTATGATGCTAGTTGAAATTCGGTCAGATAAATTGGTCTGAATTTCATTCAGTATGTTTCATTGGCAAAAAACTGTGTAAGTGATAAAAATAAAATTAGTTTTCATGGCCTAAAAATAGATGAAAATTTTTTTTTTTTTTTTTTGAATTCACTCATATTTCGGAACTACAACTGTGCATATGCAACACGCTAATTCCTTACTTGCGCAAATGTTCCAGACTTGCTTCTTGAAGAATACACAGTTTTGACTGACCTGGTCTTATTGTGGGTATAAACATATGTGTGAGTCCTTATAAATATTATGCATGCCTTTGATGTTATTTGAAAATGAAAAAGTTTATGTTATGGCAAAGAAGAATTTTAAATACTGATATTGAAATTTGCGTTTTAACTCATTTATCAAAATATTCATAATTCATGTGAATTCAATGGAATCAAAATTTCGTGATTTAAGTTTTACAACAGCTGTTACTTTAATGAACCAATTTCTGACCAGATGATAAAATTTGATTGACTTTTTCAGCTTCAAGTATAAATAGTAATAATAATAAAAGTAATGGAAGTATATGTAGCTTATCAGAGGACAGTAATACTCAAGATTCATTATTAAGTCAGTCAGTAACTCCAACATCTAATACCGTGATTCAACCAACAAAACGCCGTGGACCTGGGAGACCCCCCTTTAATGTTGAAGGTGCACCTGGTAAGAGGAGAGCCAAACTACAAGATGTGAGTTCAGTTTTAATTTCTTGAAGTGCAGTTATTAAAGTTAGTAGATACTCAAAATATAAAACTTACATATGAAAAATTGGCTGGAGCTTAGTGCAAAAGACCACTGTCTAGAGACTGTTCTTGATGTCAAAAAGACTGAGCTTAGGCTGCAGTCGTGACATAAGACAAATCTCCCTCATTGCACACTGCATGACATTGCCCATCTTCAGTAGCATATCTGGAGCATAATAATAGGAAAGCTTCATATGAGAATGTGTTTTGTGGATCTTTCACTTTTTTAAAGAAAATTGTTTTTCTCTGATGGTAGGTATATTGTATGTATTCATTTCAGCTAATAAGACAATGTACTGATGATGAACTCATGGAAATTGTTCTACCTCGCTTAGCCAAAGTAGTTACGTTGTGGGAATTTCTCATGATGAAGTTAGAGAAGGGAGGAAAAGCCACACCTAAAGTTGAAGATATCTTCCATGAATTCGAGTCCATTCAGAAACAAGTGGCAAAAACTTGTCAAGATTGTCTGATACCAATGGCAGAGAATAAAGAGTCAAATGAGCCAAGTGCTGGATCTAAACTACAGGTATCATATTTTTTTTATATATCTCTAATAGAGTATATGCAATAGTTCCTTTTGCTACTTTTTGTGTTTGAACTGCATTTAATGCAGAAAAATACTTTTCTTTTGGAAAACTACCCAGTGGAGAAGCCAAAGGGGTGTCAGAGGGGTCACATATATCTGCTTCAGTGGTTGAAAGTTGCCATCCAAGATCTGAGATGTTTCAACCCAAATTACTGCTTATTTCAAAATCATTTGCTTTATTTTAGTTTAATAATCATCGCCCACAATACCACTGCAGGAGTATGAGCATGTGACATGTTGAGTTGATAAAAATCAGAAATAGTATAATATATCAATATATCTTGTACTTTTTTTATATATATATTGATGACATCTCAGTCAATTTGTGATGATTTTCAGTTTTGAGTTAGTGTTCTATAAAAAGATTTGTCAAGTTAACAACCATGTTTTGTTCTTGAAAATCTGTCGTAGAGCTAGTAGCTCCTATCTATGGTAAAAACCATATCCACAGTCTACAAGAGCGTTAGTGTTTTTGGTTGTCAAAAGATTCAACATTTAACTTTCCATTACTGCAAACATGGCTTACTTCTTCAGAAGTTAACTGTTAAATCTTTGATGTATTCGATGATATCTTAAATGCTTCTAAACATACATGCATTAGTTTTACTCTTGCAATAAATTTTTTTACTAAACAGTAGCAGGTTTTTTTTTTCACTATATAATAAAATAATATCTCTTTATTTTTTCTTTCAGATTGAGGATTCGTCTTTGGCTGCTAGTTTAGGACTTAAAATAGGACAATATCAAGTTAAGTCTTTGCCTGTACAAGAAAAATCATTCCACTACAAATTTCTCACCACTGAACCTCGTGGAATACCTGTACCAACCAAACGTCAAAATAATCGTCGAACAATTGAAATAGTGACACCAGACGAATTAATTCAAACTAACTCAAAGAAACCTAGAATGACTACTATACTTAATAATAATGTTCTTTCTATGGCAGCAAAAAGTGCGACACCCACAGTTGTCACGGCAACCAGCTCATTAACTACTTCATCTATACCCACATCAGGAATCATCAAATCATCTTCATCTTCCTCTTTATTAACCCCTTCTCTTTCAAACTCATCCATCACCCCCATTTCTCAAAACCATACCATTATATCCGAGCCCCTGTCAACATCATCATTACCCATAACCTCTCAATTCGTCAACACAGCATCTACTTCCAATGGCACTTCTCATGTCAGAAACACCCAAACAGTCATATTAACAAACAGTGCTCCCACCTCAAACTCTTTTACTTCGTTAAATGGAGGGACTATCTTAGCTGTAAATGGCAGCGGTAATCAAGTTCAGGAAAATTATCGTGTTCAAATATTAGGAAACAGTGCAGTGCTAAATTCGTCTACAGTGAACTCTACAATTGGTGCAAGTAATTCAGTGCTATTAACAAATTCATCTATTGGAAACCAACCTGTGCTAGTGAATTCAGTGAGTGAAAATAAGTCAATTCTATTAAACAATTCAGTTAATGGAAATAACAGCGTTTCGTTACTAAACCCTACAAAAATCCCAGAAAATAGTGTGGTATATGTTCAAGGAAATAATCAAACACCATTAGAAAACAATGCAGTTTTTGGGAACAACACAATTCTAGTTAATTCAACTAACACAAATTCTTTACTGAATGGAGATTCAATAAAAACTGCTGACACAGTAAATAATGCATGTGAAATAACTCCAAAAATAGAAATGCCTGAAACAGCTGTGCCAAATTTCATCAGTCCAGATGAGTTAACAAATTCTACTTTAGATGTGAAGCCAGACATTTCTAGTGAACAATTAGATATCAAACACAATGATATGCAGTTACAAGACTTAAATACTGATCAGCCAGTTCAAAATGTTGCAGAACTGGGTGTTCAAGGGGAGATAATAAGTGAACAAGGGCAGATAATCAATGCTGAAGGTGAATTTGGCTCAGAACAAATACTTAATGTTGGTCAAATTGAAGGTGAGATATTAACCCCTGATCAAATAGTGACGTCTGGTTCTAATATTTATCAAACTGAAGATGGCACTTTAATTATTCAGCAGCCCGACGGGACAACGTTTCAGTTACAAGGTGCTGAAGGAATTCCAATGGAAACCGTGCAAGCATTATTATCAATGGAAAGTGAGGGTCAGTATGTTGAACAAGAGCAAATCCAAACTGATCTGCAGTAGGTTTGGGACAACTATTATTATCTCTGGTCTCTTCTGTTCTTTAAATTGTAATCAGTTCATGATAAGATAAGAAAGAAAGGTTTTTGTGCAAACGGTCAGTGGGTTACAAGTTTTGAAAGTATCATATGGTCAATTATAGTTGCATGTCCGGGTTTCCATTTTCAAACAATATACAAGAGCAGTCCATTTTGATTGGAGGTATTATAAGAAGTAATAAGTGCTATATAAAGCCCAACGCAGATGAGGAACATTTCTGTCGATGAACAAGAACATCAACATCGAACAAATATATTTGTTTTCCGTTTTCTAAAGACGACAAACATAATTCCGCAGACAACAAACATTTAGCTCGAACAATGCGCCAGTATCACGGAAAAAATCACATGACCTCAAAATGGCGATGTCCAGAAGATTATGTAAAATTGCGTTAGCTATTTTATTAATTTAAAAAAAGACGCCAACGTAGACGGCGAAATAGGAGCATTTGGGTCTGTACCTGGATTCAACGTCGTAAAGAGCAGGGTGTGTTCGGCAACCTTGTAAATTTACTGGTTGTTTCCAGGGCTTGTGCTATTTCTTGCATCACAGCGTACTTCTTGTTCCTATCTGAATAGTCGGGCGAAGAAATCATAAACAAACAGGCAGATTGCGACCACATATCTACTAAAATCTGCTCTTTCTCCACAGTCCAAAATTTTGTGTTGGTGGATTCACTGGACGTCGCCATTTTGAGTGTCATGTGGTCTGACTTCGATCGCTGATTGGTCTTTCGTCGATAAATGTTCGGCGCTAATGTTCGTCGTTGACGCAGACGGCGAACAAAGAATTGTTCAGGAGGCGAACAATTTTAAGAAATCAAACATGTTTGATTTCACGAACAATTCTCACGAATATTTTTGTTCGTGTTTCTGTAATCCGCAGACGGTGAAAAAAATGATCGAAACAAAATTTTTACGATTGTTCGCTTAAAATGTTCCTCGTCTGCGTTGGGCTTAAACCACACTGATATTGTGTGCCTCTTAAAATGAAATGGATTGGTTGTGATTATGTTTTGATTGGTACCCAGTATTAATGTCTTTGCTTGACTATACTATACATAAGATATCAGTTGTTATTTTTATTTTCATACTACTACTTGAAGGGATTGTAAAAAAAAATTAATGTGTATCGGGTACACTGATAACATCTACTTGCACTATTCTAATTTTAAGTCAGCCATCTGTTGTTCCTGTAATTCCACAAGACATAAATGTTTAATGACATCATTTATAGCAAAATATGCTTTATCACATAAGCATTAGTCTCAGCTTCAAACACCTAGTTTTAGTGGAATTGCAGGAACCTCAGACGTCTGATTGAAAATTGGAATGATACAAATTGATCCTATCAATTTCCCTGATACACAAAAATTTTGAAAACCTCTGTACAATCCCTTTAAAACTTAACATTTTGTATAGTAGTATGTATCAGATGTATCACTTAGTTGAAGATGCCTTTTAAGGGTGAAGAACTTGCTTTCAATACAAAACAGTTTTTTAAATTTCATGAAAGATTGTTGCTTTGGCTTGGTCATATAATGATTTCATGAAACATTCCATCAATTGTCAAATTATGTCAAAAACTGAGTTTTATAGAACACAACATTTCAACAATCGAAAACAATTTAGATTGTCATCATCATGAGAAGTATGTCTTTAAATTGTTATTTAATGTGATCTAACTTAAGTATCGCTCAAGGGTTAGTTTTGCACCAACCTTGAGTTTTAGTCAAATTTTGGAACAAGAACACAAGCTTTGCATGCCAAATTCCTTTACAAAACAACAATATTACCAAGCCCAAAGTTACAAATTTGTATGAAATGCTAGAATCTGATGGTATTAGATGTTACATTAATAGATGTCATCTTGATTTCTTTGAAAGTCTTGATACCTTAACATGGCATTATGTTCATTGAGATATTGATACCAAATGAATCAATTCTAAATGTTCAGTAGTTTATATCTATTCAGCCTTTTGTATCAAGTTCATCACTTTTTAGGTTTCTTGGACTTGCCTAGTTGTATTCGGATATATCCTCTTAATACACCGGATATGAAATCAGTGGGTTGTCTGATTGAGTTAAAAATATATGATTAATAATTGTTTATTTTTTAATTATTGACACAAGCAATAAGAACTAATTGTAAATTATGATATTTTAAGTGCTAAAATTTGGGCAAATATTGTATTTTATTTATTAAACTGAATTATGTAAAATTCTGGTTAAATGCAGGGTTCAGTCCTTGGATTAGTTCACTTCAGCACTGAACCTTGCCTTAAACTGTCATTCAATTGTGTCAAAACCTTTTTGTATACTTGAAATCGGTCATCTATTAGGTCTACCTATATTTGGGGCATTCAATGAAATTGATAATATGCTAATACACTTTTAAGTTAAAGAAATGCATTGACTTCCAGTCTCCTACAATCTAATATATTTTCTTATAATAATTTTTATCTTATATGAAGAACCATTTTATAGTACCAAACTGACTTTTTAAATTGTTAGGTTTGCCATCTGATTGACAAATCTTTTGGCCTTAAAGCACCATTTTCTTTAATATTTTATTCCATCTTAAATTGTCCAAACCTGAAACCTACATTAGCTGTAGACTTTGAACAAATGTGTGTCTGCAAAATATCACGCTTTAGATCAGAATTTTGATACAGCACAGTTAGATTGATATTTATTAAAAACATTGATATATTTCAAATGGGTTAGCTTCATTGAAATTTGAAACTGTTAAAGATCAACATCATAACCCCCTCCCATCATGTGGTATTATTCTGACCATGTGTTTCCCTTTGATTATGTTTTATGGTATTGAGAGGCAAAAGATTATAGAAAATACACATTATAATCTGTATAAAGGCAGCAGCTATTTATGGAGAAAGAATGTCAACATTAAATTGTTTATGAACTATTATAATGAGAATAGATTTATTATCATGTACCATATCATGGTCCAGAATGTTTTCTGAACATGAAATGAAAGTAAGTGGTGTTCTAAGGTATTTTGTTAACCATTCCATGCCTGCCATTGTATCATGATAGCAATAGTGAAAATAAATGTTGAAAAATATCCTTCATAACACATAGATATATATTAAAGTTGAAGTATGCACTGGTTTACATTACATAATTTGAATCGCAGTCTAAAAGTAGAATTAAAACTGTTATAGAAAAGCAATTTAGTTAATAAAACAATGATTACTTCTATCGACATTAAAATTAATAATCAAAAATGATAAAAGAAATTGATTAAGCTGTAAATCCAATAATTGTAAAAATGATGCATACTTCCCCTTTAATTTTATGCAAAACAAAATGAAAACATTGTTAAAATAAATGATTTTTAGGAACTATACTATATCAGTCATCCAAAACCAAACCTGTTTTATAGTCAAATCTGGAGGGAACTTGAAGAAATTCGAAAGTATTAATTAACAGTGATATTGTTGAAAAAACTGTATGTATGAAGTGCTTGAAAACTTGACTGTCCCATACTGATACTTATGGCAAGAAATACTACATGATAGAGAAAGAAATTTGTTATCAATGCATGTTTTTTTTTACAATAAAATACAGTCCTAGAATAGGTAATAATATTTTCATGTCATTTTGTTTGCACCATTTTTATCTTATTGTTATTTAAAGAAGAATATTATTGTCTTGTAATGTTCTTGTACAAATTGTACAAATAAAACATTGTTTATTCAAGTACTAATGCTTTGTTTATATCACCATTCTCCGTGGCTAATTTCTACAAATTTCTTATTATATCTTTATTTCCTCCATATTGAAGATTCATCAAGTAGTCCTTTCTAACATGCTATGTTTACCAGTTACCATACCTCAGAGAATACGAAGCTATGTTATCACAAGTGTCCTGACAAATATATATACGACCTACATGAAAATTTGCATGTCTGTTCAACCGTCCGTCAACTTTGGCTCGTAAACACTCTAGAAAGCACAATTCTTGATGGATTGATAGAGCAGTGTTCACAATATACTTTCAGCAACTCCTATCAACATAAATGGGCTCAGAACACTGAGTATAAATATTAGATACATAAAGATAAGCTCTTATCAGCCTTTGAAATTTATGTGATATCTTCACTTTAAACCAGTTTCTAATAATAAACTATCCAACAACAATTCAGCTTTTGAAGTAATGTAGGGTTGATGAATCCATGAAGCAGAGTAAAACATCAGCATTTTACGATTTGACGCATGTGCCACATTTTCTATCAGACATTTCTTTAATTTTAGTTCCTCTTGGTACATGCCATGAAGTTCACTAATACATTCCACTGAAAGAGAGAAAAGATACATATAGCGCTCTTGTAATCCAATCTTATTAAAACTACATTGGAGACTGGAAAGAAACTGTAAACTAATTTTTATTAGATTGTCTCCCTTGTGTCTATGGGTTTTCAATGTTGCACAAAGAGCTTAGCATAGTTAGTCTGCATAGCACAAAAGTGGTATGAGCTAAGCCCTGAGGGTAATATTGAAAACACTAGTGTGGTTTGACTTCAGCTACATACTATTTCATTTCATTTCAGCTTAAAACTAACCCTGAAATATTTAAATGGGATTTGATATCAAATAATTTCTGCATTCATTTTATACCAGGTAGACTCATCTTAGAACAGCCAAATATAATTGCTCAATTGCAATTTGTGTACAAACTTTTTGGCAGAAAAAATTTTGCAGTATGATAATTAAATACATACCAAAGTCATGAAGTGTCCAAGTTTTGAAGAATATTTCACTATGACTTTCACCGTGTTGATAATCACTCAAATCAATAATACCATTTATCATTATTATAATTTTCTTTATCTTCATCACTGCTTTCTTCTACACAACAAATGCATAATAATTATATAACTTTATGGGATTTACAAAATTGTGACATTCAGTAACATGATTGGACACCATAACAACATTAGACCCTTTGTGAACATGAAGCTTGTAAAATGTATTACTACATACTGGAAACAAACCTTATAAATGTAAAATTTTTAAAGCAAATTTTATTGAGCTAGGTTCATTAGATGTTCCCTTGTGTTACATACTGGAGATATACCTTACAAATGTGATGTTTGTAAAGCAAGTTTTATTGACTAAGGTTTACTGAATGTTGATATGAGAAAACAAAGTTGAGAGAAACCTTACAAATTTAATGTCAAAACTTCAACTCATTGTATAAAATAATGAATATGCATGACAGACAAATTAAGTTTGTCAGTTCAATAAAATACTAATGAAGATATAAAGGCAATAATAACCATAGTTTGATACAATAGTAAAAGTTGTTCACATAATGGTTCTAATGAGGCTGGTAAATCATCTGATTCCTTACTCTCATCAAATCTAAAATAAAAAAAGGAAAGGGCTACAAAAAATCTTTGAAATTATTTACGTAAATGAAAAATCTATATCTCTATATTCTGCAAGAGAAATGTCAAATAGACAGTCTTCAATTTCATTCATTACTTATTTTTTGTATACATTTGTAATCTTTCTACTTTTTCAACTCCAGTCCTGTTCTAAAAAAGCATCTAGTCGTTAGGATGGGACAATAAACTGAGGCCCATGTGCTACAGGCTGTTCACGTTAAATATCCCGCGACAGTTGGAAATCGAAAAAATAGTAGGCTAATGCCGCTGTCCTGGCAAAATTTCCCTCATTGAACTCTGCAAACAGAGTTGTAAAATTTATATTGGACTGTCTTTAAAAATTCAAATTCTTATAGTCTGCTACAAAATTTACTATAAACACTAAAAAGTTTGCCTAATACTTACACTTTCTCCAGTTTGATGTTAGCTATTTGGTTAAAAAGACTTGTACCCTGTATATTCAGTTGTTTCCAGGTTAAAATAGCATTATGGACATCAGCAGCCCCATCTTTTAACTTCCTCGGCTTTCCTGTCAGGTTGCCTTTTGGAAGTTCTGCAACTAAATTAATATACATGTATTAATTGTAGCCTACTTTGCAAATTTCTAATTCTATTATTTTAAATATTTCCTCTAAATCATGAACTATGCTTCTGAATTAAAAAAAATCACTGAACGAAAATCAAACACTCTGGAAGTGGAAGACAAGGCAGTGGTTTTACTGCTAATGCATCTATTTGACACTCTTTGAATTTCTCTTGACCTCTTCCAAATACGTATAATTTCTAAATTATGTATGATTGGTACAGCCTCATTTATAAAATAAGGGGTATTTTTTGTTTGTTTGTTGTCTGTCAAATTATATCAAGAATCCAGCCTTTCAGAAAGAATCTTTAGTTGGTTCAACTTGTAACCCATCCATCACAGTCTGCAAGTAGCCAGAGAAAGTAACAATGACAGTTTTTGTGGTTACCTGGTGATTTGACAGGAGAAAACATAAATTCTTTGCCTTGCTTTATTGGTGATGACATTTTCACACGTGTGTTTGTTTACAGGATTCGAACAAATCTCAAACCTTTTCTACGGAAAGAAAATATAAGCATTGATATTGATGCGAATGATTTTTGAACACATTTGAAGCAAAATATTATGATCAATTGATAGTAGATATAGAATAGCGAAATTCAGGTAGATAATTGCAAAAACAAAATAAAAATGTTAATGTTTCAATTCCTGTTTAACATGAGATAGGAATTTTTAAGGAATTGCTTCAGACCACTGTTAACTCCCGCTGTAGTCTAAGTTGTACCATAACTGTTATGAAAGTACACAGTTCAAGGTTGTGAAATCTTTATTTTAAAACATTTATTAGAACTGACAACTGAACATATAATTCATACAAATTAAAAAAAAATACCATTGTGCACACTACTGCCTACCTGAACTTTTTGATTTGCAGTACAAATGAAAGTGTTTATCCACCAGATTCTTTTCAGTAGGCTAACCTGTGGCAGAGCCAAACCCAAAGGGGGGACAGAGGGGGCAGCCGCACCCCTTCGCAGCCCCAAAAGCAAGTCTTTCGGGCAAAAATCTCTTAATTAGGTGAGAAATGAGGGCAATTTCAGATATTTGGCCCCCCTCGGTCGTAAACCTGACTCCTCACTGAGGCTAAAACTTCAAACAGTTCCACTCTTCTCAATTCTGGCTCTGACTCTTCATGGTCTGGCCCTGGTCACGTTTGTGCCTGAACTTCAGCTTACCAGTTGATTTGTGGCAACAGAAACGTTTGATTGTTTTTATACCAATGCAACGGTGATGATATAGCCTAGAGCTGAAGGGGGCGTTTTGCTAAGACATTTATATGTCCACCCCCTCTCATTCTTAAAATGTTAAGCCTTTTATACTTATACCTTTCACTGAAGACTCAGGATACTTTTCTAGGAGGTAAGTAAAGTAGGGTTAATTGTATTTTAGTAGTAATGAAGAAGGTGACTAAATTCAAGTCCAAATAAACAAAACCTATCTAAGCCAGTGACCCAAATCGAGAAAATGATAAAGAAATAACAAGAATATTTTTTTATGTTAGGTAGAATTCTATATACAGAATCAGTATGGCATCACATGAAAAGTTAGATATTGTGGTGGTTGGGAGTTGTATTATGGATTTAATAAGGTGAGTAGGCCTATATATTGGCCTAGAAAAGACTAAAATGGTGTAATTAATTTGGTTTATGAAAGCTTCATTTTCCTGTGAGTTTCTCAAAAGAAGGCAAATATTAACTGGCATGTTCATTGGAACACCTGAAGCCACTTGACAGTAGAATAGATCTTTTATAAACATTGTTCATAAAACTCAAAATATGTATGTTATATTGGTTTATATTGTTTAATACTCATGACGTCATTTGCTTGGTTACATCGAGCAAATGGCGGATATGGGTTCCGATCTCAATCGGCGTGTGAAAGTCTGATGACCATGTCATCTTCACTCGCAATTCCAGTTGACCCAGCTGTAAATGGGTACGGATAATCCCGGAAAGATCAAGTCAGGAGGTGTGGCCAAGGGCTGGTAGAAAGGATCCTTAAATGTGAACCTTAGTTGTTATCCTTGTAAAATATAGTTGTTTTTATTTATACCAACAGTTATTCAGAAAGACAGCCCAAACCTGGTGAAACTATTAAAGGTAGTAAATTTATGACAGGTTTTGGTGGTAAAGGAGCAAATCAATGTTTTATGGCAGCTAAGTTGGGAGCAAAATGTCTTATGGTTTCTAAGGTATGCATTGACTGGCTCATCTGAATTGTGGTCTTGGCTGATCTAGTTGCATCTAATCGAGACCTGCATAGATATACTTCATTGATTATATTATGACTTATGACACAATGTATGTATGACAATGTAAATTGTTGAAACATTGTGTACGATGAAACTCAGTAGTAGTAAGTTTATACCATAAAATTGTGTTCTGTTATTTAATTTGATCACTACCCCTAAATATCACCAAACGATTCATGTATGTTCTGTTAAATCGCTCATATTTTTTTGCAACATTTATATACCTCTTGCTCTTAAACATTCAAATATTATTTCATGTCTTCTTAAATTAAGGTTGGGAAAGATGACTTTGGTAATAGTTATATAAGAAATTATCAAGAACATGGAATGAGCACAGGTAGTACCTTAGATACTACAGACTAGACTAGAATATATTATTTATCTATATAGTATTCACTTTCCAATGGTCAGATTATGTTCATAGTATTCTATGCAAGATACCTCGACTGTTGCAAATTGAAAAAGAGTAGGCTAATCCTGCTGTCCTAGCAAAATTTCTCTCATTGCACCTTGCATGGGGTACCCGTCTTCATTAGCCCACATGGTGCAGAAAAGTAGGATTTAAAACTCATTTCATTTTTTTATCCTGTTCAATAAAGATTGTGTTTGGGATAGTGAATGAAGGTGCTTCAGAAATGTCCATGGCTAGATTTATTCCTTTATACCCTACTTTGTTGGTTTTGAGACATTTTTTAAGATTCAGGAAAAGTAGTCTAGCCAAAGCATTTTTAAAAGCCCACATTCTAAGGCAAAAGTTTTTCTCAGATTTTTATAATTTAGTTTGTAGGTTTATGACCATGGTATTAAACCCTTGATACACCGTAATTGTGTTAAATGATTGATTGACATCGCCCATGACATACTGAAATATTATTAGGTAAGTTGGCGTATCTTGCTAGGCAATGAAGAAATATGTTTGTGTTTGTTACAGAATATGTTCAACAGACATCTGAAGCATCTACTGCTATAGCTGCTATTACTGTTAGTCAGGATGGTAAGTAATAATAGGATCACATATTCTTAGAATACAATAATATACAAATATCATTCAAAAAGATTTAAAAAACAATTTTCAAAATATTACAACCAAAAGATATAATACTTCCAACTGTTCATTACTGCTATTATATCAATATATTTCCTTGTAAATTGGGACTCCAACTTTAAATAATTTGTTATTAGGTAACAGTGAAGAATTTATCGTGCTTAATATGAAGATTGATTATATAAAGAATGTTATTTTCAGGTCAGAATTGTATTATAATTGTTACTGGTGCTCTAGATTTATTATCAGAATCTGATGTTCTACAAGCTGAATCTTGTATTAAAAACTGTAAAGTGATGTTATGTCAGTTAGAAATAGACCAGAATGTTTCATTGTTTGCTATGAAATTAGCTAAGAAACATGGAGGTATGGCTTCAGTTTGTATTTGTCACTGTGGTGGGCACTGCTTGTATAAGAGGTCTGGTTACCCAATCAACTGGATTTGTCCCCTTTCTTTATATTTATATGTTATATATAATATAAGCATTTAATAATATAAGGGATTTAAAAAAGGTTTTCAGGACCATTGATAGCATCAATTTGCATGATTCCAATTTTCATCAGACATATGTGGTTCCTGCAATTCCAGTAAAACTAAGTGTTTGATGACGTCACTAATTGCAAAATATGCTTTATCAAATCAGGTCCTTTGCGATTAGTGACATAATCAAACAATTGGCTTTTGTTGAATTGTTGAAAAATGAAAATTAGAATGGTGCAAATTGATGTTTTCCTGATACGCCTAAAAAAATTATAGAAAACCTTGTTACAATCCCCTTAATCTTAAAATTACCTCTTAAAATCTTCCTTAGAACAAAATGTATTGAATTTTGTTAATTGTATCATAAGAATATATTTATTTTATTTTGAGTAAGAAGAAATAGTTATGGATATGATGTTGGTTTAACATCTAACATCAACAAGAACATGACTGACAGTTGGATTATATAAATCATAATATTGCTAAATTTTTATTTCAGTAAAAACAATTTTTAATTCAGCACCAGCTCAATGTAATATAAATCCTGAATTCTTTACTGTCTGTGATATATTTTGTGCCAATGAAACAGAGGTAAAACCATTTTGTCTCTAGTTTGGAACTCTTTTCAAACAATTTTCTTCTATATCAAATTGCGCTTGATTGTCAGAAAGTACCATTAGAATGACAAGATACTTTTTTGTGTACAGATCCGTGTCATAGAAATTGTGGATCACCGGGTTAATGTTCTAGCCAAGTGTTCATGCTTTCTTTGAAACATTATGATATGTGTGTGTGGAAAATTAGTGAAACATGAATATGCAGTAGTGAAAAATGATAAAATATAAAGTAATTGTATGATACATGTATGAATGGTATAGAAACATGATTGAAACAGTATAAAGATAAATATGTAGTAGTGAAACATAATAAAATATAGAGTAATTGTATAGAAACATGATTAAAACAGTATAAAGATAAATATGCAGTAGTGAAACATGATAAAATATAGAGTAATTGTATAGAAATATGATTAAAACAGTATAACGATGAATTTGCAGTAGTGAAACATGATAAAATATAAAGTAATTGTATGATACATGTATGAATGGTATAGAAACATGATTGAAACAGTATAAAGATAAATATGCAGTAGTGAAACATGATAAAATATAGAGTAATTGTATAGAAATATGATTAAAACAGTATAAAGATAAATATGCAGTAGTGAAACATGATAAGATATAGAGTAATTGCATGATATATTTACGAACGGTGTAGAAACATGATTGAAACAATATACAGACGAATATGCAGTAGTGAAACATGATAAAATATAGAGTAATTGTATAGAAATATGATTAAAACAGTATAAAGATAAATATGCAGTAGTGAAACATGATAAGATATAGAGTAATTGCATGATATATTTACGAACGGTGTAGAAACATGATTGAAACAATATACAGACGAATATGCAGTAGTGAAACATGATAAAATATAGAGTAATTGTATAGAAATATGATTAAAACAGTATAACGATGAATTTGCAGTAGTGAAACATGATAAAATATAAAGTAATTGCATGATATATTTACGAACGGTGTAGAAACATGATTGAAACAATATACAGACGAATATGCAGTAGTGAAACATGATAAAATATAAAGTAATTGTATAAAACATAATATGAATGATATAGAAACATGATTGAAATGGTATGAAGATGAAATCCAAATATGACACAAGATATTGTCAAAATTGATAAGGAAATCCACTATTTTGCATTGTAAACAGTCTTTTTATGAAATGGGTTGTATTTTCAGGCAGAAATTCTGACAGGTTTAAGTGTAAAATCACTGGAGGAAGGTAAAATAGCTGTTAAAGCACTGTTAGATCAGGGCTGTAATACTGTTATACTAACATTAGGTGAACAAGGATCATTGTTTGCTACCAAAGATAGTCCTACTGTAGTTCATGTACCAATAACAAAAGTTAAAGCTGTGGACACAACGGTAGGTTTGGAGAAACGTGTATTACTAAATTTCACGTATGGATTGAATCCTTGAAGCATTCCCTCCTTCCAAGGCAATGACACCTATAATTGGTCAATGTTATGAGCTTTCTCACCTATACCAACTAACTAAGAAGTGGTGACATTTAAGAACGACAGATATGTTTCATGATAAAAAGCCTTTTCGAAACCAAGGCACAGTATTGTATGGTAGCTTTACAATGCAAGCACACTTGTGTTGAACACATGATGTCACCCTTAAATTGGGTTTTTCAACTTGACATTTGTTGGAGTTCACTTTGCTTCATCTTTTTCCAATCAATCTTTCAAATCCCCTTTAACATGTATTTAACATCTATTCGTCCAAATTATTATTTGAAACAAACAGAAATATATTAGCCGGTAATAGTGCCTCTCTATAGGCAGGTGTTTTCAAATCTGTTGGCAAATCTTACGCCCTTAGCCAAAGTATAATTAGACATTTCCTTGATCAAATAACTGCCAGTTTCAGATGGTAAGATTCCTGTTTGCATATTATTATTTGAATTGTTTGAATAATTTCAGGGAGCTGGAGATGCATATTTAGGTAGTTTAGCATATTATATAGCTCTAATGCCTGAATTACCATTATTAGAAGCTATTAAAAGAGCTAGTGCTATAGCAGGATTATCAGTACAGTCTCCAGGAACCCAATCAAGTTTTCCAAAACGAGAACAATTACCAAACAATTTATTTTGATCTCTTTGCTAATTTCGTGTGGTCATTCTTAAAGAATATCAAATATGGCTGGTTTGATAAAACGTAATTGATTTTTACTTAAAAGAGTACTACTTCTTAGGATGTTGTGTACAGTTGTTTTTGTTTTTTTGATTGTTCAATATATTATGATGATATTTTATTTGAGATATTCATAACCCTATTATAATTATAAATGAATATATTGAGTGTAATTATGTGAATATGTTTAAACGTACTATTTAAAACATGACTTAAATTAAATAGAACCAATCCTGGCAGTTTTGGGAACAATTAAGCTTTTTATTCTACAAATTTCCATATAAATTTGCCATTTTATCTAAATTATTATGTTTTATTAAAAAGTATAAATATGAGATTATGTTTTCTATATAAGAAAGGACAAGTTTGGATTTAAGGTTTTTAGTATTTGTCCAATTGTTGTGTTATCTGTTATACTTCTATAGAGTGAAATCCAATGTGGTTTTCACACACCCAGTTCCCAAACTCTAATGTAATAATTAGAAGACAAAAAGACAAAAATGCATTGGTACATTTCAAAAAAATTTGGACATGCGGTTTCAAACAACCCTTTCATAATGAAAACAAAAATATGGTATGCAAAAATATATTTAAATTAGTAATTTGTTAATTACATCAATTAAACAATTGCTGGTCCAGCCAACACATAGTTAAACAAGTTAATATAAACGACATAGTGACATACCGGGATAAATGTTTTAGACTTAAAGAATAATTTTCCTCCCCCCCCCCCCTCCCCCCTTGTGAGCCAAAATGATACCACACCATAAGACAGAAAAAATAACATAAAAACATAATATATGACAGTATCTCCATTATTTTCAGTATGTTAGTAGTATAGTATATTGTATTGTGGTCTTAAACGAGATAAATGATATATATAGAACTATAAATCAAGCTTCTTGGCAAAGATCATCTATTATCCACTCAGATTGGAGGTTCTTGTAACACATTTGTGAATGACAAAATAACATTTACATTATTCTCAAAAGTCCTTGATAAAATTGTTAAAAATACATATTTAATAATACATAAAAAGAAATTCTAAAATATTTACCCATGTCATCATATCCAATTGTTAATTTTGAAGAGAAGAGTTTGCAATCTTACTTGAACTTTTGATATTATTCTGGATACTTATATCAAAAATATAAAGCTTCAATTTATCTTAGGTTGATAAAATAACAACATTTTTTTTAAATCTCAAAGGCTTTAAGATATCAAAAGTTTAGAATGAATTCACAATATTCATATTCACTGTCCAATAAAAACAGTTGTTTTGGATCTGTATCTTTGAAGTATGTCGAAAGAATTTAAAGAAGAAAACACAATTCATACAATAATAAAATAATATAATAATATATGCCTCATCTAGAGGGTGTTCGTATTTACATTTTGATGAAATATCTCAAACTGGCGCAATTAAATGAACCAATATCAATCAATGATAAAGTCACTCTTCAATATATCATCGTACGTTAATAACAAAAATATAACAAATATATCATAAGTGAATTTTAAATCGTTGTCTTTTATGCAGCAGATTGTCGATTACCCTAAGAAATAAAAACAAAAACAAAATTTTATTTAAGAATGTTATGCATTTATTTTAGATGTTAAATTTCACTGATGATGAACATGATGAACCTTTCACAGTTTGGAATCATCCCATAGTAACTGTTAATCATCGGTTGGACGGCGATGATTCTGTATAGACTTTCAGAGTTAAGCACGCCTGTCTCTGATAATAATTCTGTTTCAGTACTTGAATATTTGCAACCAATGGTAGACTTGTCAACTAAAGATTTCAGAGAATTTGATCTTGCCACCGGGTTATGGCAAATAGGTCAAACATAGCCATTACTAACCCTGCCTTGTGGGAACTCTTTTTTATCGAATGATTCCAGAAGGAAAAAATATGTTTAAAAAGATTACTAACCTTTTTAAGCTCCGGTACTGGAGAATCATTTACCTTTGGTCTTCTGATCTCAAACTATAAGGATAGATTTTTAAAGATAATTATGTAAATAGTGAGATGTCGAACAAGATGTGAAAATGGAAATCTGGTTTGACTCGAAAGCGTTACATATTCCTGTAGTATGTTTATTCAAATATGGACTACTATTGCCAGTGGAACTTTTCTGGAAGTTTACTCAATATATAGGCTTTGTTGAAACTATTACTACTGTATACTTACTTTAGACTCGGGGTGTAACATACTATGAAGATAATCCCATGAGAAGTTGGAATTGGGTTGTGCCTCATGAGGGAATGATTGGCTGTCATACCATGCTGAATCTCGGACATCGTCTCGACCGTTACCTTTCTTGGTTTTCCTTGTTCCAGATTCGGAGCCCGAGGCTACAGACAGACCATCTGGTGTATAAGGTAGATACATTGCAGCACCATGACTACTTCGTTTCGGTATTGATGACCCGAACGCAAAGTTGTTGATACTACAAAATATATATATTCCACTCTTTTTAAGTTTTAAACAAATGATTTGTTAGATGTTATTATGATTTTGAAATCACGACTTTAAAGTACCATTAACAAATCAAAGTGACCAATACGGTCTTAATTGGTAAGCGGTATCAACAAGTCCATTCAGAAGCCAAGCAGTTGTTTGTCCATGCCATTGTTGGAAAACTATCGTTATTATTTTTTCACACGATGAAAGCATTTATAATTACCTTCCATTATCATATCCATTTCTACCGACTAATGCTTCTTTCTTGTTGTTTCTTGCGTTAATTTTAAAAAAGATAACACAAGTAATCAGGGCGATAAACAAGAAAACTAATGGTATGCCAACACTTAAACCAATAATCAAATCCAAACCAACATCACTTTCTAAAATTAAACAAAACATCTATTTCAGAATCCACACGAGGTTTCAGAATTTAAATTAAAACCAAACATCATAAATGTTTAGAACTCCATTAAGTACAAGTAGCTGTTATAAAAATGTAATTATTGAATGGCCAATGGAATGGATCAGGTGCTTTTATAATTGATTCCAAAGGGCAGCGATACATACCAGAATTACAAGTGAACTATTTTCATAACTTGTCCGAAAAGGAACAAAGCGATTGCATTGAAACAGGGTATTATTTTTTATTTCAACAGAATTTCCAAATAAATTCTAACTATAAACAGATATTACAATTCATGAATTAAACTTAAATATTTTAGGATGCTTTTCCAGATACTATACCCATATAATTATTTCAGATCTCTGTGAAGTGAGATTTTAAAATCTTTGGTATTTACTGAATTCTACTTACTCGTGCTCCTAAAAAAAAAATGCGAAAATTGATCATGAAAGTCACCAATGAAAACATAATCACAACAAAGAGAAAATCGACATTTGTTTTTATTTCATTTTATACACAGGTCACACAAATGAGGTAGACATGATTGTAATGGAAAATAGTTACCCCGTAGCATTTCAGATCTAATTGAATGACAAAGTGTAAACTGTACGATTAAGCGCATTCTGTCCAGTGCTCTGAACCCCTTGGAGATACCATCTTTGAATCATTCAATTGAATACAACCCAAAATTAGTATATTATGAACGATAAACGGTCAAGATTCCCCCAGAACGTATCATTGAAAATTTATGAATACATAATGTACTGCTTTTTACATAACTGGCTGTTGGAGATTTTTCAAACTTACTTGCAGGCTGGTTTTTCACCTTCAGTTTGGCATTCTGTATCAGAGGGACACTTTCCATTTGCTATTTCAAACAATTCACACAATTTCAAATTCATGGCTGAAAAAAAAATAATCTGCATGATTTTTCATGGATCACCCAAACAAACTAAAATTAATCATTTAATTTTGTTCAACCGTCGCTTTATCATAACTCAACAGAACTGTCATTTTAGTAGTTTGAACTTTCTTGAAAGTCTAGGCAAGAAACCGTGTGATGAAAACACAAGGAGATAAGCTAAAGGCGATCTTGACATTAGGCTTACCTGTTTGGTTGTTAATGGTAAAGTCTTTCAATTCATATTTATCATTTCCGATTTCCAAAGGTTTACCATCGAGTAGTAGTTTAGCTGTTTCTGCTACACCCAAAGAAGAATCGACTCTATCACCAGACGTAAGACGTAAGACCAAATCATATTCAGCTATAATACTACCTCTCCTATGAAATATCAATGATTATGTTTTCAATAGCAGCAAGTTTGATGTCCAAGAAGTAAGCATAGACGTTTTTGGCATCAGATAAGTTGATCAGGAATTTATGCATTTTCTTTTTTCAAAGGGACGAAGGTCTGTTGGGGAGTTTTGGGGTAGGCTGCTTTGCCCAAAATTTTCCACGAATATTACCTGTATTTTTCTTTGTTCTTATTTTTAGAGCAATAACCGGTAGAATCATTTGACACACTGTCAGAAGATTTCTACAGTATTGTCAGAAAAAGTCCTTAAAAACTACACATACCTCAAATCTTTGATTTCAACTCTCAAAAGTTCTTTTATTGATTTTTTAAACAATTCAAAAAGCTACAATAAATAAATCAATGAATTCAATGACAGGAAATTAATAATTGTTTTAATATCGTTATTAGTTAAATTAAAGTTTGTGGTAATAAGACATAAAATAATTTCTCAATCTTAGTAATAAGATGATTTTTTTCAAATTTAAGTACTATTTATCTTGGTGAATCCTGTACTTTAGAGATACGAAGATTTGGAGCAGCAAGGGCATTTATAACATTTATATCTTAGTGACAAGATGGTGGAGCATGGGTTAATGGTATCCTAAGGACAAGACGACCCAAGCTCTTTGCAAGGCCTATAATAATTGTTATTTAGATCGTTGCGATGACGATTTCAGGTGGGTCCAAGTCAACAGTAACAATAACTACAGCTACTTTAAACTGTGATCAAGGTAAGGGGATTGTGTTACTTACCGATAATGCGATAGATTCTTTGAAATTTTTGTATTCTTGTGAATCTGGATCATTCAATACAGTGGATGTGTTTTTGGGGTCATTCAGTGTAATCCTCATTGCTACTATAGCTCGATCTAAATTGAACAAAGATATTTATTTATTTACTATTACTGATTCTTTTCGGCTTTTTATATAGTATTCCTCAAACCTGGATCAATATACCCCATATAGCCATGGTATCATTCCAAATTTGACTCGATATTAATTTGAATACAAAATTTGAATACAAAATGTTAAATAAGCATAAAATGGTATATCAAAAGAAGCATTCGTCGTTGTATTCATATTCTCTATTCATAACAAAGTAACATTCGTTGTTTTCATATTCTCTATTCATAAGTAACATTCGTTGTTTTCACATTCTCTATTCATAACAAAGTAACATTCGTTGTTTTCATATCTTCCATTCATAACCATAAATATACATACTATTCAGTATTGAGTTTTTCACCAAAGTTTACTAACCTGAGCAAGTTTTATTGTCATCATTCAAAGCAAAGTTTTCGTTACAATTACATTCAAACGAACCATCTGTATTGGTGCAGTTCTGTTCACATCCATCTTTATTCTGTACACATTCATCGATATCTGAATAGGAAAGCCATATTGAATCAACTATATATTATGTTATATAAAGATGTAGAATACTGAACACAAGGTCCCATAGCCAGACTTGATTGTTCGAAGAGGTGCAATAGTGTATGGCGTTCATTTGTAGTAATGGAATTGGTCGGTTTTCAGCATTATTATAGGGGACAATCCACTCCTTCTTTCCACCGTAGCGACGAACCTAGTGTTTATAATAGTAACCCTTTTAGTTTCGAAAACATCTTGGAAAAAGACATAATAGTAAGACCTCACCTATAAGATAGATTAGAATATGTTGCGGTCCCAAATATATCTGTTATACAAGCTTACCGTTACAGTTTATGAAATCCTTTTCATAACCTTCAGGACAACTACAATAGTATGTACCAAGTGTATTTTCACAGGCCGCGTTTGCACCATTACAAATGTTTGGAGTCAGGCATTCATCTTGATCTGAAAAAAAGAATCATTACTTAATTATTACATTTCATGGTCATTACTAAAGTCTCTTTCGTTTGAGGCAAATATACTGTTCGCTTATAGATTCGTGCCTATATGTAGTTTACTTTAAGAACGAAATCAGTGGACTGTAACTCTACATGGTAACTGGTTGCAATCTGCTACTGTGTCACCGGCAGCTAGCCACTTGGACTAAAGATTCCAAATGATTTCAAAAGCTTTATCAGCTGTTTTGGGTAAATGGTTATTTTTCTTGACAGATGAAATACCAATCAAAACCGTTTGTAAGACCATACCTTCACACGTTTTGTTGTCAGATCTTAAGTTGTAACCGGGATTGCAATTACATTCAAATGTTCCAACAACATTTTTACAAATCAGCTCACAACCACCATTATCAGTATCACATTCATTAATATCTAAAATAATATCAGTATTACACTACGAAATTTATTCCCTATTAGATTTATGTTAGAAGTTATACGAATTTCCATTTTAACTCTAATATCAACTTGTTACCTTTCAACCACCTGTAAACCATTAAATTAGCTAAGGTTCTTGCCCTATCCAATTCGTCCGACGTGATATTTGGACGAGAACTGGGGTACTGCATCTATTGTCGCACCTATCGTCGTATCAACGTGGCTTAAAGATTTGATATGTAAGGAAAAATTATATATTATCTCAAGCTGATCTGATTTAGAAGTTATATGGTAAGGTTCGGTTGCTGTGAGTTACTGTCAAACCAAAATAACACAAGAGGAAAATTAAGTTGTATAACACCCATTCACTGTTGAGATACACAAGAGCAATTGTTAAGGTGCCCCCATACCATAGCGATTACCAGTTACGGCAGTGGTTGCGAATAATAAAAGTAGCCATATCTTCCGAACGCAATTCACAACTCAGTTGCTGTCGAATTTTATGACCGCTATCCCTTTGGTGTGAGGGAAACTAGGTGATTATTAATGATCTTTTTTCATCAAAAACATACCTTTACACATAGTTCCATCAGCTTCAAAACCTGGTTTACATACACAATCATAGCTTCCAACAGAATTTTTACATTCAGAGTTATCTTTAGAATTACAAATATTAGGATCGGCACATTCGTTGATATCTAAAACATAATTCAATAATAAACCAATACAGACTGACAACAAATGTTTTGTGTAAAAAATCATCATTCGCTTAAGTAGTCCATAAAACTTATGTCCATTGCACAGATATAGAATTTAGCCACAATGTCTTACTTGTCCCATATCATATAAGTTATAATCAAATAATAAAATCACCTTTGGTCATTCTATAAAATTAAGGTAGAATTCGTTAAAAAACCTAAAACGAATTTATCCCACCCTTAAGTAAACCTCAATTAAAAAATAACAACCTTATTATTATATGTTTATTAAAAAATATCTCGATTAGATGCTGGGTTCGTTACGTTCGGCGTTCGATTTTTCCCCTGAATAAGATGCCAAACTTACCATCACAAGTTCTATTATCATTGCTTAATTCAAATCCCGTTCGACAGACACAGTTATAACTACCATTAGTATTTTGACAGTTATGGTCGCATTGTCCGTTTGAAGTTTCACATTCATTAATATCTGAAAATAGACAGAAACATCAACATAAAGTGAATGTTCAGTGGCAGATAACCATGTAAAAATAGATACAGTCCACAAGCGGAGTTGGGTTAAACGTTATGGTTAAAAAATATTGAAAATGGTACTGTTCTGGCAAAAACTGACTAAGAGATAACCGTAGTGTCTAGCTTATCTATAAATTTTTCAGATTGTTACTGTAATTGCATATTGCTTATCATTACCAATATCCCTTCACCATGTGTTGTACCCGCCATTTTAGTTTTGATTGTATTAAAGCAAGTATGATTAAATTCGGAGCCAAAAAGAGGGGGATGAAATAATAACTCCCTAAGTTAACATAAAATAATCAAGAATGAATTTAAAACGTTAACAGAAACTGATAAATCTGTGTACTAAAAGAGACTATAAAGACTTAACCCTCTGCCACCCCCTTTAATTTATCGAAAAACTTGATAATGACATCTCTATAGGGATAAGGAGCTTTAGAACAAAAGAAAAACTGTTACCTTTACACGTGGTAGTGGTATCATTATAATAACCATCAGTACATCCACAGATAACACCAGAACCATCATCTTTATTATCACATGTTTGTTCACAGCCCCCGTTATTTATTCCACACTGGCCAAGATCTAAAACCAAAAGAAAATACGTATTTTTTCTCCTTTTGTCTAATGTGCCATACACTATTACTATAATGTTGAAAATGCAGATATTTGACATAAATTATGGGCACATACGGAAATACAGGTACATGTATATAGCAGTAACATGTTTTCGTGATTTGAAATCTATTAAATTCTGGTGCAAATATACATCAATGAAATATGTCGTAATAACCTAACGTAGAAACAGTCTAGTTGTTACGGTCAGCGACGACTATTTCACTATCTTTAAATTTTGATAGAAAATAAAGAAAAACGTCCTTTCAAACATATTTTTCAGTACACCTACCTTTACAAGTTTTACCGTCAGCTTCTAGTTTGAAACCATCTGGACAACTACACTCATACGATCCTACACTGTTGCTACAAGTTGCATTACATCCACCATTATCATCTTCACATTCGTCAATATCTACCAAAAAAACACAAGATACTAAGATCTTTCTTCTCCTAACTGCACAAATCAATACTATACATCACGTAATACCATTTTGCCTATAGCGAAAACTCAGTCAAGAACGCAAAAACCAGTTAAAAGATTAAGTAAAAGGTTTACGTAATTCTTAAGATCGCCATGCTTTTTTCTTGGATTTCTTTTCAGTGATAGCTGTCGACATTCCACCAATCGAAACGAGAAAAGTCAAAAACAATTCCCAAAGAGGAATGTGTTTCAGTGATTGACAATTTGGCGCAACGTAATCAACAGTACTTCCAATGCCGTGGAGACCATTAGGAGCATGTTTTGAAAAAAATATGACCATAAAGCAACTAAAATAACTGGAACTTATAGGGAATTGGTCATACACAGACCGCAAGTCATTTTATCACTGTTCAATTTGTACCCGTCATCACATGTACAAGTAAAACTACCATCAGTATTTGTGCAATTGTGCTCACATCCAATATTATTTGTTTCACACTCATCTTGATCTGTTCAATACAATGCAATCGTATAATAACAGCACACAATTTTATGATATTTTGTTTGACCATTCAAGGAATACTACTTCTTAGAATGGGAACATGTATATATATATTCATTGATTGAACTTCCCACCTGACATGACTAAAGAATATAAATCTCTATTTAAGATAATGTATCTATCTATTAAACTAAGTAATTATTGAAACAAACTTCTAAACTTGTTTGAAAATTACTTAAGTTAGTGCATTATTACACAGATTTTTAGATATTTTGGATTCTGTTGTATATGACACCAGGTAACTCCATTGATGAAAAAAATACTCATGTTAAAAAAGTTTAAAAATTTTTATTTTTTGGTCATTTTAAGACGAAGTATACCTTTAACTTGCAATGTTTCAACGATCGTAATTAAAGTCTTCTTGATCGTTCAATGAGGATGCTATTTAATTGCAGTATGTTATATTGAGCGGTAGGGTTTTTCTTTCTGTTACCCTTTTCCAGATCCTTGATTGAATGCATTACCCCCTATCCCCCTATAAATCATTACTATTTCTAGATTTTCTCTTAGATTTTCCCTGCAATCTATTTCATGTCAAGGGATATATCCTGACTGAATTGAACGACTTAAATTATAACTGTCCAAAAAATTATGCTCGACTACAAACTAAGCGCCTCATTACCAAAATATTTCAAAATTACGCCCTACACACCCTAGTATTCTGCTATATATTTGGCATAACATGTATATTATTTTATAAATATTCACGAAAGGTGAATGTTTTTGTTTTAGTCATAAATCAGGGGACTCGAAATAACTCGAAAATAATAATATATTTAGCAAGATATTTCATCAGAAAATGTTTTTTCTCAGATCACAGATATTAGCGTTTGCAGGCTTCTAATTCTAAATATTATCGGGGTGGGTCTTCAATAGTACTTTCGAGGCTCAATAGTCAATAGTAAATTAAAATTACCCTGTTACCAATAATAACTTATTTTATTACTAATGCTAAGATTCTGCTTACCTGTACAAACACCATTTTCAACTGTAAATCCTTCAGATGGACACGCACAGCTGTAGTTTCCGGCAGTATTTGTGCATATTTCAAATGTAGGGCAAGGTGTATTATTGCATTCATTTACGTCTGAAAAAATGAACATGTCTAATTGTTAGTTTCTAATAATCTTCCAATTAGATTCAAGCAATCAGAGAAAAATCTACAAAAAAATGTAGTTCTAATCTTAATCAGTATGAGCACGAGCAACGACAGGAATAGACATAGAGCTTTGTTTAATATACAATTTCTATATCGCTCTACAGTTGATATATTGAGAATTAATTTAACAGTGAAAATAATTTATTGCATTGTACAACGATACAAACAAATAAATTCAATTTGCCTGTAGCATATGATATTCCTGAGAGTTAGCACCTGACAATGTTAATGTCACGTAAATTTCACAAGATAATATGAACAAGTTGAAAACCTTTCTACTAAAATGTCGATTTGATGTTAAAAAAAATTCATATGCATTCATCAGCAAGCTTACCAATACATTCATCCTCCTGATTCTTTTGATATCCATCTGAGCACTCACAGCGATAACTACCATTCAAATTAACACATTTGTTTTCAGCTGTACCACAAATATCAGGAGTATTTTCACATTCGTCGACATCTGTTTCACATTTCGTACCACGCCACGTCTCTTTACATGTACATGATCCATTTATTTTGTTACAGGATAATACATTATTAAAGTTACAAGTACAGTTTTGTTGACATTGTTCACCCCAATGTGTGTCGTCGCATTCTGCAAATAACAAAATAAAAACGATACGTCAGTTTGTGCCTCGAATTTTTTTTGTAGGCATTCCAAATTTTAATCGAATAAAAAGAAAGTATTGAACTACAGTTACCCGAAGTACAAATTTCAAAGAAAAAATATGGACTTACCAACACACGAATCTCCGGATTTAAAGAAACCGATTTTACATATACACACAGCAGATCCATTAGTATTTTCACATTGTGAGTTAGAAGGACAGGTTACTACTCCCTTGTCACATTCATTGATGTCTGTTTCACAACTGTCTCCTTCCCAGCCATTTCGACAATTACAACCACCATCTGTTTTGTTGCAGGATAAAGTGTTTACAGCTGTACATGTACACGGATTAGTACATCCAACTCCGTACAAACCTTCACTACATTCTACAAATGAAATTATTCCACAATACATAAGAAAGGGCCACTGGAAAAGGTCTTTTGGGAACCGTAGGCAGCAATCAATAAGTTTTGTTACAAAAACCTTGTAGACCTCTTGTCAAAATGATAATCTTACACTCAATCCGTCTATAAATCTTGAACAGTTGTTTCTATTATAGCTTATCTTCGCAATCTGAAGCTACTTGAAATACCTTGACTGTAATAGTCACCCTTCTTGTTTCACGGAAAGACTGTCGACAATTTGGCTGCATGTGTAATCGAGTGCTATGATTGGCTGCATTTGCCATTATTAGATGATGATCATCATCATCGTTATTGATGATTGATTATGGTGAACAACCAGATCATATCGGAGCATAACAAACAGAATATATTTATTTATTTATCATATATTTTATCAAGAAACGCCCTGAACCTCTGATATACCGACCTTTACAAGATATCTGATCAACATCCAATTTATATCCAGGTTTTGTACAGCTACAGTTATATGTTCCTGGTGCACCTTGAGTACAACTATCTTCACAAGGATTTGGGGTACATTCATCAATATCTACAATAGTAAAATGTAATATAAGACAATTAAGAGAGATACTGCATAAGTAAAAGGCCACGATTCGCAATTTTCGGGTCTTGAATATATATAAATAGTGTTCAGAAGCACTTGAAATGTACGAAAATCGCATATTTCACTTTCTTTTTCTATATAATAATATGTTCTTTAGTCTCAAGAAAAAAAAGTCGTCACTATAACTTTCAAACGTTGATAATTCTGGTCACACATGAAGGCCAAAGTCTCGAGCTGTGAGCTGTGAACACTATTAATGATTAGCTTATGTACGATTGGTCAAACGTAGTAGATAAATTGGCAGTGTGCGTGGTAGTATGAAAGTAGGAAAGTTAAGCTTATGGCATAATTTTATTTAGTTAATGATCTAAGAATCTGTTGTAAGAATAAAATAAATGGTTTATCCCACCTGTACAAGTAACTTCATCATTCTCAAGTTTGAATCCTTTGCGACAAAAACATATTTCTTGACTTGAATCGGTAATTTCACATGAATGAGTACAATTAGTCCTAGAACAATTAGCATCACTGTTTCCTGTAGGATAAAACAATAACGAAGATACATTAATGGCGAATGAATGGAATGAATGGAATGAATGGAATGAATGGAATGAATTAGTATTCAAACCTACTTACTAACACATTTACTGGCATCAGTGGCGGAAATTTTATAACCATTTCTGCACTCACAAGCAAAACTTCCAATTTCATTTCTACAGTTGTGTTCGCAGTTATCTTTTCTAGTGGCACACTCATCAATATCTACAATATCAGTAATACGTTAATCCAATATATTATTGAGCATTAGTTACTTAAAATATGAAAACCACTTACTCATATTACAAACATTTCCTTTGGCATTCAACTACACAAGTAATATGGATATCTATTTATATATGTTTAAAAATATAGAGTTACCAAAGATATAGTATATAACAAAGTTATCGAAGATATATACATAAGGGTGTAGAAAGAAATATAGTTAACAATGATATTATCTACGCGGATGTAATAAGAATCAGTGTTATCATTAATAACACCTACACGCTTGTGATAAGAATCAGTGTTTTCATTAATAACACCTATACGATTGTAATAAGAATCAGAGTTATCAATATTAACGATAACACCTAACGGTTGTAACAAGAATCAGTATTATCATTGATAACACCTACACGCTTGTAATAAGAATCAGTGTTTTCATTAATAACACCTATACGATTGTTATAAGAATCAGAGTTATCAATATAAACGATAACACCTAACGATGTTAAGAATCAGTGTTATCATTAATAACACCTACACGCTTGTGATAAGAATCAGTGTTTTCATTAATAACACCTATACGATTGTTATAAGAATCAGAGTTATCAATATAAACGATAACACCTAACGGTGTTAAGAATCAGTGTTATCATTAATAACACCTACACGCTTGTAATAAGAATCAGTGTTATCATTAATAACACCTACACGCTTGTAATAAGAATCAGTGTTATCATTAATAACACCTACACGCTTGTTATAAGAATCAGTATTATCATTAATAACACCTACACGCTTGTAATAAGAATCATAGTTATCAATATCAACGATAACACTTAACGGTTGTGATAAGAATCAGTGTTATGAAACGCCCTGAACCTCTGATATACCGACCTTTACAAGATATCTGATCAACATCCAATTTATATCCAGGTTTTGTACAGCTACAGTTATATGTTCCTGGTGCACCTTGAGTACAACTATCTTCACAAGGATTCGTTAAAAACGAAATCATCTAGAAGGTCGTACTAAGAATCAGAGTTATCAACAATATAAACTACAAGTAGCCTATGTGGTTTGAATCACAGTTACCAACGATACCATTAATAAGAATGTAGTAAAAATCATCAATTAAGGCATGAACCCTTACCTTCACATTTACCAGATTTCAAAACGAATCCGTCATGACATGAACAGACATAGCTTCCTACAGTATTTGTGCATATAGAATCACAGTCGTTCAAATCATTGTTTGGACATTCGTCAATATCTAAAATGTAAAAGAAACAGATTGCAAGCTAATTTACTTAAAACTAGACTTTCGTCCTGTATTTCTTTTCGTTTTTATTTCAACCACTGCATACCTCTTAATACCACATATCAATCAAATTGTTTCCCTCCATTCCTGGGACTTTAGTCTCGAACAAATGGACGGACTGATATATTACTAGGAGCATTTGACTAGTCCACTATGGGCTTTTAAATTTCAAATCAATTATCATTAAACTGATTGCAAGCAATACTTTCCAAATTCAATATCCGACGCAATATAAGTCTGTCAACAAAAAGGTAGATAATAAATTAAATAAGTATTGATTTATAATATTTAGTAAGCTGAATTATAGAAATATTAAAACAGCCCCCCCACCACCAAAACAAAAACAAAAAAACATGTTGTTACTCAGAGTTTCACGCTATACGATCCTCAGACAACTGACCTATTTCAGTAGCATGTCTACATTTCGAGTTAAATTATGGATAAATTGGACAGTATCTGAAAAGGCTGATTAAGAACTATCACCTATTATCTATGTTCATTCAAAATGTTCTTGTTTTAAGACTACTAATGTGTCTGTCTGTATTAAACAATATGCATGCTTTACAATATTCTTACCTATACAAGTCTCATTTGGTGCCATTGTATACCCTTGTCTGCAGTCACATACGAAGCTTCCGGGAATATTTCTACAGGTTGACAATGGTGGACAGACGTCTACAGCTGCACATTCATCTTTATCTTGATCACATTTTTCACCTTGCCATCCGCTTTTACAAACACAACCTATTTCTTTGTCACATTTTGATGCTCCAATACCACAGGAACAGTCGTTTACACAATTTTCTCCCCAATGAGAATCGTCACAATCTAAAAATTGTTTCAGCATTTAAATAATAAGAATCAAAAGAGAAGAACAATATGAACAAACGCGTTAGATTTCTAGATTTTCATTTTTATTAAAGTGGTCTGATAATATTCTGATAATATTCTTATATCAATACATTTTGTATATGAAGTTTCTAAACTGCCGTCTTCTGGACTATTACCTGAACATCTACGACCATCATTTTCCAATTCTTTCCCAATTGGACAGGAACAAGAAAATGATCCAAGTTTATTTTCACAAATGAATTCACATGCATTTACATCGTTACATTCGTTAATATCTGAAAAAGAGTAAGAGTTGCAAGGTTTTACGACTTACATTTCTAATGAAATCAGAGGCATTAGTTCACTGTAATTGTCGAGGAATTGTACACATCCTGTAACACACTGGACCTCGGTTTATCTTCCTCGTATTTCTCTTTAGAGGAGTCCGCTATTATACAAACTTTACTCCCAATTTTTGACGGAATTGTTTGTTGTATAGGTTTTTATAATCCGAAAGCATTATCTCAACCTTCGGCTTCAGGATAGTAAGAAAGCGTCTCACTCACTGAGTCATCTCAACCTCTGATCAAAATGATATGAAGGACAACTAAAACGACAATCTGTACTTACCTTGACATGTTTGTTCGTCACCTAAAAGCTTATATCCATTCTGACAATAACAGTTGGCTGAGTCACCTGTTAAACTTACATTACAGGCATAGGAACAATTTAAATTCTCGAAGTGGGCACATACATTTTCAACTATAAAAACAACAAAAAATAACAAATATCGATCTTTGCATAATAAAAGATGTCAATTTCTGTAAAGCATAATATTGTAAAGACTTCGATCTGTTTATTAGCAAATTTACTAAATGACTAAAAGATTGAAACTTGATACAGATTACCGATACAGATGGTATAGAGAATACGTAGACGGATTTATCCTATTAACGTTGTGCATCGAAATTAATTAATAAATTTACCCTTCAGACAAGATTTTCTGTCGCCAGCCAATTCGAACCCATATTCACATCCACAGTTATAGGTGCCATCAAAGTTCTCACAGGATTGCTCGCAGTCGTCGCTTTTGGTAGCACATTCATCAAAATCTAAACAAATATTTTATTGAGGTTGACAATTAATTTAATAATATACATCACAAGAATAAATCAGTATGATTCCGTTCAGAAAGAAAGAAAAATGGTGTAATATCACATTGCACATAGTTAGGATAGCAGATATTGCAGGCCAACTAATATAGTCGACTGGTAGAGCGCACCATTTAGAATTAAAATCAGACCAAAAACAACATGATAGGGACAATAAAGGATTCCTCTGGAGTTTTCAAGGCGTGTTTTTTTTTTACACGAACTAAACTAACCACATTCTTTGTTTTAGACAAGGATTCAAGGTGATTGGAAGACTAAAATATCATTACCTTTACATTTAGTCGATGTATCTTTTATATATCCACTGTTACATTTACAAACATACGATCCATTGGTGTTTTCACAAAATGTATTTTCACCACAATTTTGTAACAGTAAATTATTAGCACATTCGTCTATATCTGTAACATAATTAAGTTGCAACGTATAATAACATAATATAACTGCGAGTCAGCTGTTAGTGTCAAACCCTAACCTCTCCGAAAGCTTACACAATTATAAAAGATTCAAAACTTATGCTGGGGCCTTATCATGAGCAATATCATGTTCCTATTGATGATAGAAATGGGCACTTAGTCACTATAGTATACATTCATCTATTTTAGCCACTGGTAACAGCCACAATAAAAAAGATTTTATCTCCTCTTTTTTATCCACGTTCTACTATTATGATGAATAAAAAAAATATGATCTATATACACAGTTTAGCTGTAATTCAACATCAGCATAATTTTAAATCAATTCTTAAATGGAAAAAGTATCGGAAAGGTTTGTTCAGATATACTTACCAACACATAATCCGTCTTTCTTCTCGTAACCATTTTGGCATTGACATTGATAACTACCAAGTGTATTACTACATGTTGTGCTATCAGAGCAGTTAAAGGTTTTTTCATCACATTCATTAATATCAGTATCACAATTTGTACCTTTCCATCCGCTCTTACAAACACATCCCCTCACTTTATTACAGGTTGTAGAGTGTTCACTACAACTACATGTTGATTCACAATTATCACCATATCTTCCAAATTCACAATCTGAACATCAAATGAAGAAACTTGAGTTAGGACAGTTAATTAACAGATAACATGTTGATATTGGGCCTAATTTCTGAACTGTTCATAGGAGTAATATTATAAATTGTGAACAGCGATCCAAATCAAATTCAGTTCAATAATGGCAGACTGGCGGGTTTTGAAGCGACGACACAATACACATTCTTATTTCCATGTGAGCGCATCAGAATTTCATTATCTCATACATCTTGATTTTGAATTCGTTGATTTTTTAATTACCTTGACAGGAAATCTTGTCTGAAGCCAGTGTGAATCCGGGATGACAGGAGCAGTTAAAACTTCCAACAGTGTTGTTACAGATCTGAGAGCATGGTGTAGGATTCCTCATACATTCATCCTCGTCTGTAAAAAAAACAAAGAATTTTTACCTTTTTTATATTGTTTTTGTATCATCTTTCAGCACTGAAATGCTTGTCTGACAAATCTAGCTCTACCAGCTCCTCAGACGAGATAAATGGAAGTCCAGGGGTATGTTTTTCTTTATAAGAACAGAAACAAATTTGACAAATAATTATCAGTATATCATTTGAACAAGGATTTGGGTTACATTGGAAATTTTGTAAAACTCACAAATATCAAGGGATTTAAGATGGGATTAACTTTTTCACAGAAGCCAAAAGGTCGGCCACTCAGTCCTGTTTAGCAAACTCAAGACAATTGGCAAATTTTGAAGCTTGATTTTTTGTGATTTTTCACTCATTTTTCAACGTTTATAATTTTAAACTACAGACATTGATCACGAAGATTTTGGATAACTATCGCCTATTGGAATATTCCAACTGAAATTTGACACAATCATTTATTTACCTGTACAGTTTTTGCCGTTCGATTCCAATTCATATCCAGAGTTACAAAAACAACTTGGATTCCCATCTATAACTTCACATCCATCTTGGCAGCCAGAATTTTCACACACTGTAGCATCATCTAAACATAATTTATTATATTTAATTACAAGCACGGAGGTAAAATACAAACCTGTGTATTAAAAACTATTCCAGATATCGTAAGGTCAATTTCTGCAGATCTAATACTATGCGGCAGTGATTGATATTTTCGGTACTTAAATGGCAAAACATCCATTAAAGATGGGTTTCCTTATTTTTTTTAAATTAAGCAAACTTTTTGATTAATTCGTGTTTCTTATGATTTATCATGTATTCTTAATCATATCATTATTTTCTTATTGCACATAATGAAGAGTGTAAACCAATCATAAATGTCCATGTACGTACAGTCTGGATAAACAAAAAAAACTTTTTTAACCTTTCTTGGTCGGTCACTCATGGGAATTCTGTCGGTAATTCTCTTCCAATTTAGCTAATTATGAATTAATTATGGACATGTGAGACAAACTAGTATTTTACCAAGTCATTAGAACACCTCTACTTTCTATACATATAAGTATTAGCATTTTCATTCTCTTAAATGAAAATAAGGGAACCCATCTTTAAGGCATAATAAAAATAATTGCATCAGAAATTCAAAGAACGAAATACAGAAATTACACTTCTTACTACCGAAAACATGGCTACCGCATGTCATTAACGTATTGGACGAGGTGATACTTGTACGTATATTTTGATTATATATTTTTAAATGCTATGACGCAGATTTAAATCAAATCATTGTTACTGTTGCAATAATTATGTCTATTCTCTCAAAACAAAAAGATGTGTAAAAACAAAAAATACATAATCTTAAAGTGATCAAAAGTTTTATTATATTACCTATTTGGCAAGTCTTCAAATCATTTCGCAAGGTATAACCTGATCGACAAGAGCAATTATAACCTCCGACTGAATTTTCACAAATATGTTCACATTCATGTAAGAGTTCATTACATTCGTTTATATCTGTCAAAATAAAAAACACCAAGAATCAATGCAAGGATTGGGACGCCCTGAAGAGTACAATTAAAAAATATTTGGACAGTGACAATGCCCTCAGTGGCGAGCAGGGCCCACAAAATTTTCTAAGTGAGTCACAGACCATTCTTTGAAAGTGAGGGAGGGGGCAAAGCCGGGTCAGCATCTTTTCTGGCACGCCCGTATACTCTTTTCCAATTTCTAGTTATTTTTTACATGCACACAGCCTATCACTTGTCGCACATCGACTTTAGCTGACGAAGATCTAGACACTGCATGACTAACAAAGAAAACCGGGCTGAAAACGCTAATAAGCATGTGGGTGTAAGTTTCTGAATGGCTGAGCCAAATTTCAAAGAATGTTTATAAGAAACCTACCGGTACATTTCCCAAAGCCGGATTTTCTAAAACCGCTTCTACAAGAACAGATGTAACTTCCATCAATATTGGTACATATCTGATCACATTCATTTGTTTGATCACATTCATCGATATCTGTAAACAATGAGAATTAGTAAAAGTCCAAAGTCATTGATAAAAATAAGTAAAGTCATCAAAGTAAGGTGAAACATTGATATCTAAATAAAAGTCACAAGTATAGTTATTGGTATCTCTCGAGAAATATCACGAGTAAAGTGATGATAACTATATAATCAATGATATATATAATGTCGTTCACAGCTACATGTATATATAAATGTCACAAATAAGGTCATCGATATATACAAATAATGGTACTGAGTAAAGTCGTTGAAACGAGTAAAGTAATTAATATATAAATAAAGGTAATAAGTAATTGATATATCATACAAATATAGACCATGAGTTAAGTGAAAGGGATGGCCAGAAGTCATTGATTTCTTAAAGTAGAAGTTTGGAGTAATAAAAAAAATAAACCATGAGGTCACGAGTGAAGTCATTGATATTTATAAGATCACTGATCATGTTTAAAGATGAAGTGTAAATAAATGTCACGAGTATGACCTGTAAATAAACAGTCTGATGTAAAACGATTAGTTTGTATATTAAAGGATTATATCACTTAATAAATAATAGATTCTCACCAGTATAACAATATATAAAATACCTACCGTTGCATTTGGAAGCATTAGCATCTTCTAGAAAACCATCCGGACATGCTGTACAATGATACCCGTTATTTGTTTCATTGTGTTGATCGGGCGTTAAGTCAGTACAATTTTGGCCATTTAAACAAGGACCGGTTGAACAGGCATCTAAATCCTCTGAGCAGCTTTCACCTGAAGTAAAACCACAAGCAAATCAAATTATTCTCGAGAGAGGGATTGTCCGGATTATACGATCATCATTATCGCTCCTTGTTTGGTCGTTTGCTTATTCATAAAACGCTTCTAAGAAAATATATTGTATCAATTACCTGACCATCCTAACTGACAATTACACGTCACTAGCTGAAAGGTATTAGACTCCTGTCCACTAGTTTGTTGCCGAAGCGTGGCGTGATCACATTCACCATGGCCACTACATCCATCACATAGTCGAACTTCGACATCAAACTGGGATGATTCAACACCTCGAGAATCAGCAACAGAGAATCTACATTGTAAGAGAATCAAAATTGTAAGAATATAATGTAATCAAATTAGTGAGTGTTAAGGAGAATGGTCGCCTAATTATTCATTATAACCTTACCATTCCAGCCCTGGAACAACAGAAAAAAAACGTTTTCTGGCTATCAGTGGAGTAGTAGAACTAGTTATAATTCACGGACTGAACCACAGTTTTGCTCTTCCACCAACTTCGGTTGATCACTGGTTTTACAGATTTAAGGACACGGAGAATCCAAAGTCTATTTGGTGTTGGTCTTTCTGAACGCCGTACAAGTAATCTGTGCAAATAATTGGTACAAAAATCGTTTAAGGCTAATAAAGGCTTGTCGCTGATATAAATTTCTTAGGGTTGTGTGCACATCTGAAATTCTGATTATAGGTTGTAATATAACAGGAGAGACTTTATCATGACCCGATTTCCATAAATCAGTAAGTATTTAACATTAGGCTACTTACGCTATCTCTACTGTGTCTGCACTGTCAGGAGTCCAGCTCGCTTTTCCTGTCTCATTGTCAAACGAAAATCCATTGTCTGGTTTGCTAACGATATTATAGACAACCTTTGTACCATCTTCTGGATCAAAACCTTGGACTTCCATAGAAACCGTCTGGTTTACTGTAGCATTAATCACTTCTGTACCGTTAATTTCTGGAGATGTGTTTGCTGAAACAACGAAAGAACTATATTAAACAATGTCGATTTGATTCCATATGTCGCTTAAGGACAGTCTGACTTAGTTAGGTGGACAATCCAAATATATGAAGTAGAGAAATATTACTATTATTATCACCATAATCAGAATCATTATTATCTCATTATTGCTATTACATTATTATTACTATGATTATTATCATTACATACCAATGAGACTGTCAACTGCCACCGATTCTTCATCATTTGATCGTGTTGCTATGGCCACATCTTCGCTTCCAGTTGCAACATAATCATAGATACACGCTAAATTAGTAGCACCTCCACATACATTAGCAGCTTCATCTCTTGTAGATTGTGGTTGTTCATCAAGGAACAGCGGAACGAACTCAGGAAAAGCAAAGTCGTCCACTCCTTTCCTTGGTGGATATTTGAATACGGATTCTGCGGTTGAAATCTGCCCTGAAAGAGTGCGATTTTGAAATTAGATTTCATAGGCACGTCAAAGCACTACTATACTTGGATGACCAACAAATTCAAATTTTTAAAACGGGACAAAATCAGTCTATTGGCATTAGCCAATTAACGATTTATGTTCATTTTAAGAGGTAGTATTCCATTGATGCTGATACACGAAGGAAATCATCTCATGTTGATAATCGTTTCACAGCTTCGAGCCACATCTTTAAAGCCCAATGTTGTTGATTTATATCTCAGTTTAAACAGA